ATGCTCGCGAACTGTGCGTTTGGCGCAATGCCGTGACCGCCAACCCCGTTGTCTCGTTCCGCGGCAATAATCCCTGCCACGCTAGTCAACACTCGATCCGGAGGAAAGAGTGTAGTGTCCACTGGCATAGTCAAATCAGGATCATAGTTGGCATCAAGATCTGTATGAGCAAAGTCGAGGTGTTCGATATTGCTCGGGCGAGCGATCCCAATTGTGATACCCGCTCCTGTGTAACCCATGACATCATAAATGTCCTGTGTCACATTGTTGTCTCTACCAAGGAAGATTGGAAGTGTATTGTTCAGGTGCCAGAATGAAGCGAGCGATGGATCAGATGTTCCTGCAGGTCCTACATTTGGATCAGCTGGCTGAATTCCAGGAGCCAAGGTTGAACGATAAGATGCAGAACCTCTGTTTCCATTTTTGATCGATTGTTGCCAAGCACGCTGACTGATCTGGGAGAACTGAGCAACCTCACCGGAGTCAACCGACGCGTACCGGACTTGATCGCTTTGCGATAGAATCTCAGCGACAGCAATAGCAGATCGTACAGAGTCAGTTGTCAGTTCCCATGCATCAGTGCGGTTCCCAAGAGCACCTTCCAATGAAACTTGTCCAACAGAGTCTGGCAACTGTGCGATCAGAGAACGCATCGTGGTTAGCCCCTCGGCACGGACAACAACTTTGTTGCGGAGAAACAACTGATAAGGTTCTTGGCGATCAGCAACATCAGCAAGACTCGACTTCGCATCGGGTGAGTGCAGATGGATCGCTTTACTCTGCTGACCGCGAACCTTCAACGCGACCAGTTCTCCTTTGCTGCTCGCATCAGACTGTTGGGGAGCAGCGGCACTAACAGAAACGGCAAGTCCCATCGCGGCGAGAATCATGCCTTTGAGCAGTGCGTTGGTTCGGTTTCCGGTTGCATTGTTGGATTGCATTGAGTACTCCATCTGGTCGTCGTGTGTCCGGGTTTTCGGGTGCCACCATCATACCGCATTCTGCTCTGTTTTTGAGCCAGAATTGCGGATTATCTCGATCTTGACCGCCAATGCTCGGGTTCATGGGCTGGTCGATGGCGTTGTATACAGCGAATAGGGGAGAACGCTGTTCTTCATTCAGTCTATTCGATCAGAGATTAGTCGTGGTTCCTGCGAATCATAGGGGATTTCAGTATCCCCACTCAACAGCTTTGTTAGGGCGCAGGATGGGTCATGGAAGCCGGATCGAGCAGTTCATTGAGACGATCCGCATCCAGTTCTCCTTGCTCAAGCGCGAGCTCACGCACGGTTTTACCTTGCTCGTAAGCCGCGTATGCCAGCTTTGCGGATGCGTCGTAACCAATGACGGGTACGAGGCTTGTGCACATCGCGAGTGAGCCTTCGATCAAATCGGCGCAGCGTTGTTCATCAGGTTCGAGTCCCTTGATGAGTTTGTCTTCGAACATCGAGCACGATCCAGTGAGCAGTTGGATCGAGTCCAAGACATTCGCGGCCATCATCGGCATCGCGACATTGAGATCCAGCAGCGACCCGACACCGCCGATCCCGCCGGTGGTAACTGCAGTGTCGTTCCCAATGACCTGGCAACTCGCCATGACCACGGCTTCGCAGATCACAGGGTTGACCTTCCCTGGCATAATGCTTGATCCAGGCTGAACGGCAGGGAGCTTGAGCTCACCAATCCCGCAGCGTGGTCCTGATCCCAACCAACGGATGTCGTTGGCGATCTTGGACATGCTGACCGCGATGGTTTTGAGGAGCCCGGACACTTCGACATAGCCGTCCTTCGCGTGTTGTGCTTCGAAGTGGTTCTCCGCTTCGCAGAACTCGATGCCGGTCTTCGTGCTCAGTTCTTTCGCGACCATGCTGCTGAACTGTGGGTGTGTGTTGATTCCTGTGCCTACTGCTGTACCGCCAATCGCAAGTTCACCCAATGTTTTGAGCGCTCGATTGAGTCGGCATTCTGCGTGGCGCATCTGCGATGCGTAGCCGCTGAACTCTTGTCCGAGTCGGATTGGTGTCGCGTCTTGTAGGTGTGTACGACCAATCTTGACGATCGAGTCCCACTTTTTCGCTTTGTCTTCAAGCGATTCTGCGAGCGAACGCACGGCTGGCAGCAGCTGTTCCTTGATCCCGATCGCAGCGGCTATGTGCATCGCTGTGGGGAAGGTGTCGTTGCTGGATTGACCCATGTTGACATGATCATTCGGATGGATCGCGGATTCGCCTTCGAGGTACTGCGGATCCTTACTGGAACCAATCGGCGCGTTGTTTGCAATGCAGACGAGGTTTGAGACTACCTCGTTGACATTCATATTGGTTGAGGTTCCTGATCCGGTCTGGAAGATATCGATCGGGAAGTGACGCTCGATCCCGCCATGCTCAGAGAGTCCATTGAAGATCTGATCACACGCTTCAATGATGCGATCACGCTTCGCTTCAGTGAGCTTTCCGAGCGAACAGTTCACATCCGCCGCCGCTGCTTTGAGCAGCGCATAGGCGCGGATAATGGAATCTGGGACTGGACGACCAGAAACAGGGAAGTTGAGCACAGCACGCTGGGTCGAGGCGCCGTAGAGGACATCCGCTGGGACGGTCATTTCTCCCATCGAATCTTTCTCGATGCGTGTCATCTCGCTGGTCTGGGGGGTGGTGGTCATCTGAGTGCTCCTGTATGATCTTCCATGAGGTACGCTTTGATGCGATTAATCATAGTTCATCGTGCTCGAGTAGCTCTCGAAACCGGAGCGTTTTGGTCCCGTATTGTTCACTACAGACAGGTGAGTGCTCAGTAGATCATCGCACACATGATCGAGCCGAGCCTTCAAAGCATCCGATTGGAACATGATGAATACCACCACCCGATCCCACTCCCTCTTGATTCTGTTGATGGTCCTCGGAGTACTCGTATCGATTGCGAGTGCTCAGACTTCGTCGCATCCAGATTCAAAGTCACCGCTCAAGCCCAATCCGTATCTCAAACACAACGAGCCTTGGAGATGGGACATCAAGACACAGGTGTTTCTCCGGGCGGGTGTGATTTCGTATCGCAACGGACGCTATCGCGCGGATTACAACGGCAGTTGGGATATCGATGAGTTCGAGTTCATCTATCCACTCGCAAAGAATGGTGGTCACTACTGGACCTACAACGACGAGGTCAGCACGCTGCTGCGTGTGGATGATCGGGTTTATGAACCGAACGCACAGACCCTGTATACACCAGAATCCAGAGCGCCGTATGTGTGGTGGAGGGTCAAGGTAGTACCCCATCACGACGATGTCACTGAACAGATCCATGCAGTCCAAATTTCGCATGTAGTCAGTGCAGACACTGTGTTTGACGAACAACTCGCCAAAGAAATCCCTTGGCCAGATCAATGGCCGCCCGAGGCTGAACGGTTCTTGACGCCGCTGATTGATCCGGTTGGTGATCCAATCGATCTTCTGGGTCAGGACCGGTTGACCATGCTCGTCAACCGTTGGCTCGAGGGTAATGATCCCAAATCCATCGATTCGATCACGCTCGCAAAGTACCTTACTGGGAAAGTGATCGAGTTCGTTCGCAATACACGCAGCGGCGTGACCTTCTCACCGACACTGTACTCAAACTTCAATAGCAATCAGGAACTGGTCATCGATGGCGAGGTCATCGGAGGATTTTCAACCTTCCCGGGTTCGTCCTGGTCAGGATTCATTGTCCGATCGTCAGATCAGATCGCGCTCAAACCCGCAGGCTCGGAGTTTGATCAGTCGATCTTCCTGACTTCAGTCCTAAGAACCGCTGGATTGCCCGCGAGGACATTGATCTGTTACGACACGCGTGAGAACAGCCCATATCAGGATCGAGTTTGTGTGCTCGTTGAGTTCGCGCTCTATGACAAAGCGCGAGACCAGGTGCTCTGGATTCCGATCGATACACAACGCTTGCGAGACAACGGACGCCGATCGAGTATGTTTGAGCAGCCATGGGCGTATTTTGGGAATCACGACGAACTCCATTTCCTCGCGCCTCTGTCGTATTACTTCCTGCCCCCGGTCAACTACAACGCGTACGGCATCCCAGCTTTGTTCGGGTTCCGAACTCCGACAGACCTGGGGAATCGCGTCGCGCAGATCATTTCGATCGATGTGATGAACTCTCCGCTGAGAGCGGATGAACTGAATAAACCTTGACCTGGCGGCTCTATTGAGCGACGGTGTTGTGTGCCGACGCTTGGATTGGCGCGAGCACTCGAAGGATCCCACCCAGCACTTGGGCTGGTGTCCCGATCGCGTCAACTTCATGTACAAGATCCGCATCAAACTGATCGAGAACCGGACGCGTCTCGCGTTCGTACACATCGAGACGATTGCGGATCACATCGATCTTCGCATCATCAGCACGCTTCTGCTCGATCGCTCGCTTCTGCAAACGAGTGACCATCTCCTCAGGATTCGCGGCGACGAGATGGATGATCCCACGCACATCGATGTGCTCGTTCATTAGCTTGGTCTGTTCGACTGTCCGAGGGATTCCATCGAGAACCAGAAGATCCGAATGCGGCTTGTAGAGACTCAGTACAGTCTGTGCGTGCACATACTGCTGCCACATCTTGACTGTCAGTTCATCAGGGACCAGCTCTCCACGGCTGGAGTACTCATCGAATGTCTTCCCTATTTCAGAGTGATGATCGAGCGTGCGGAACATGTCACCTGTGGACATGTGAAAGAAACCAGGTATGTTTGAGAGCAGTACACCCTGAGTTCCCTTCCCAGCGCCGGGCATACCAAAGAGCAGGACTGCTTGATACCGATCTGACATGTGCTGGACTCCTGTGGTCAGCGTAGAGAGGTCCGATATACAACCCGAGCTTCAACGGGTCTTAACGATAGGTCGGCATTCTTGATACTGCGATTGATTGCGAGCGCATGCACCGCAGAAAAAGAAAGCCGGGCGTGCTGGATGCAGCACGCCCGGATAATGGTTGAGTCAGATTTGTGCGATCTAGAGAGCGATTAGACGCCGGCCTCGATCACTTCTTTTTGCAGGTTGCCCGGCATTTCGCGGTATTCCTTGAACTCCATGGAGTTTGCAGCGCGACCCTGGGACATGCCGCGGAGGTCGGTGGTGTAGCCGAACATCTCGCTGAGGGGGACATCCGCGGTGATTTCCTTGATGATGCCCTTGTCCTCGGTATCGAGGATCATGCCGCGACGTGAGGAGATATCACCAGTCACATTACCAACATACTCCTCTGGAGTGGTGATCACGACCTTCATGATCGGCTCAAGCAGCACGGAACCAGCTGCGGAGACGGCTTCGCGGAGTGCGAGACGCCCTGCCTGCTCGAACGCGACCTGGCTGGAGTCCACATCGTGGTACTTACCGTCGGTAAGCGTGACCTTGATGTTGATCAGCGGGAACGGAGCCGAGACGCCGCTCTTGGCGGTGTTGCGGATACCGACCTCGACGGACGGGATGAACTCCTTCGGAATCGCACCACCGACGATCGCGTTCTCGAACGCAACATTGTCAGTGAAATCCAATCCAGCTTCTTCGGCTTGCTCAGCAGTGAACGGCTCGATGTTGATGGTACAGTCACCGAACTGACCACGACCACCGGACTGCTTCTTGAACAGACCACGGCAGCCATCAGCAGCCTTCTTGATCGCTTCGCGGTACGAAACGCGAGGACGACCAACCTCAACACCGATCTTCATGTCACGGATGAGCTTGTTCTTAATGATCTCAAGGTGAAGCTCGCCCATGCCCGCGATGATGGTCTGGCCGGTTTCTTCGTTGTACTCCGAACGGAACGAAGGGTCCTCGCGACGGATGGTCACGAGTGCTTCAGACAGCTTGCGCTTGTCGTCGGCGGTCTTCGGCTCGATCGACATCGAAATAACCGGCGGCGGGAACTCCATGCGTTCGAGGATGATCGGGTTGTCCGGATCACAGAGGGTGTCACCGGTCATCGAGTTCTTGATACCAACGACCGCGACGATGTTGCCCGCGCCGACCTCGTCGAGTGCGAGACGATCCTTTGCGTGCATCTCGAAGATACGCGATGCGATCTCACGCTTGTTGTTGCCGGGATTGAGTGTGCGAGTACCCTTGACGAGTTTGCCTGAGTAGATACGCATGTAGGTGAGGTCGCCGTGGGTATCGGAGACCACCTTGAACACGAGCGCGGAGAACGGGTCCTTCTCGTTGTTCTTGCGGGACATCTCGATGGTCTTGTCCTTCGGATCGGTTCCCTTGGTGTCTGGGACTTCCTCTGGGTTTGGCAGGTAGTCGATGGTTGCGTCGATCAGGCGCTGGACACCGATATTCTTGAGCGCCGAGCCACAGAAGACTGGGTTGCACTCGAGCGCGATGGTGCCTTTGCGGATCGCTGCACGGATCTGCTCAGGAGTGATCGAGTCCTCGTCTTCGAGGTATTGTTCCATCAGATCGTCGTCGAGAGCCGCACCGTTCTCAATCAGATCATGGCGCCATTTCTCGGCTTTCTCTTTCAGATCGTCTGGGATTTCCTTCTCAGTGACGATCGCACCTTGGGATTCCTTATCGAACTCGTATGCCTTCATTTCGAGCAGATCGATGATTCCTACGAGTTCGTCGCCTTCACCCCAGGGGATTTGCATCGCGATTGGATTCGCTCCGAGCCGCTTCTTGATGGTGTCGAAGGAGTACTCGAAGTTTGCTCCCATCTTGTCCATCTTGTTGATGAAGCACATACGAGGGACTTCGTAGCGATCAGCCTGACGCCAGACAGTTTCGGACTGAGCTTCCACGCCTTCTTTTCCGTCGAACACAGCGATCGCGCCGTCAAGCACGCGGAGGGAGCGTTCCACTTCGATGGTGAAGTCCACGTGACCTGGAGTATCGATCAGGTTGATCTTGTACTCTTGACCCTTGTGGGTCCAAGGACATGTTGTAGCTGCAGACTGAATGGTGATGCCGCGCTCTTGTTCTTCTTGAAGGAAGTCCATGGTCGCGGTCCCTTCGTGGACCTCACCGATCTTGTAGCTTTTACCGGTGTAGAACAAGATGCGTTCGGTGACGGTGGTTTTACCCGCATCGATGTGGGCGCAGACGCCGATGTTGCGGATGTGTTGGAGGTCGGTGGCCATCGTTTTTGTCCTTCTGTTTGACAGTCGTTACTCTTTGAACGCCGGTTTTTGACGATGCGTTCGGTCGTTTGTGGTTACTCTCAAGCTCTCGTTTTGAGAGCCATACTGAGGATCAGTGAGCTGACCCTTTGTTACGATTTGATTGGTGGTTTGATTTGATGTCGAATCAAGCGGTCCTGAGAAACATGCACAAGTGATTATTCACTCTGGTGTGCATGACCTCTTCGGTCGGGATCTGGATCTGATGACTCTTCCATTCGCCGGCTCCGTGTGTCAGTCAGTTCGCGATGACACCGCATGAAACTTCAAACATCAATGCCATGATCCGGATTGTGGGAACTTCAATGAGACCCACCCATCGGACCATCGCAGAGAAAGTGCGTAATCCTAGCCCTCCCAGCACGATATTCAAGCAAAAACCACCCCTCTGATGGGATTCTCGGACCTAGTACTCTTCAGGAGAATCAGCCGATCTGAGTCTCAGTCGGACAAGGCGTAGGACCGCACTCTGGATTTCGTGTCCGTGTTGAGCTGCTTGAGCGGATCAAGCTTCATGCGATCGGACCGCTCGAGCGCTTCATGAGCCCATTTTTGAGCCTCAGAGGGACGATTGAGCTCAATGAGCAGATCCATCACACGGACGGCGTGCTTGGGATCATGTGGATTCAATGCGTCCGCTCGTATCCAAACTTCAAGAGCGTTTGCCTGGAGTTTACTGCCTTGAGCAGGATCCACATCCGCAACACTGAGCAGTGAATCTCCGGCCCATTTCAGTTCCGCGAAGGTCCCGCCGCGGCTCGAAATGCGATGAGCTTGCTCTTGGACCCAATCCCAAAGCGGACCGCTCCCAGATTCTCCGATCGCATCGAGCGACATCGCGGCTTTCATGCTGTGCTCCAGAGCCGCGATCGTGAGGGTCGGATCATGATCGAGTGGCATCTGCATGAGCACCTGAGCGGCGTGGACTCGCTCATTGATTTCGATCAATCGGAGTGTGTCACTGATTAAGCGAGGATCCGCCGGTACGCGTGTGTTTGTGAGCTGTGATAGATCGTCAGCGATTGATTGAATCGGTTCGGCGTTTGCCATGGATGCTTTGATCGAAGCGATCTGTTGAGCAGGAAGAGCAAGGTTCATGAGCGCCCGATCGCGTTCAATGAATCTTAATCCACCAAGCAGTGTCAGGATGATCGCGACAAGCGATGAAACGATCATCGGCGATTGGATGACATCGAATCGTTGTGGTGTGAGGGCTGTGAGTTTCTGTGTGCTCATTCCCAACCCAACGCACATCCCGAAGAGTGGGGCGCTGACAATCCAGACCGGAGTGAGGTCAAAGAGTGCATGCAAGATCAGCACAATGGAGCACGCGAGCATCGAAAGTCGCAGCGCCCGAGCGCTGCTCAGGGCGCTGAGCACACAGCTGATGACAATCCAAAGTCCCAATCCGATCAGGAGAACCAGCATGATCTCAAGATCGATTGCGCCGGTTTGCAGACGGATTGACACCACACCCGCGATAAGTGAAATCAAAGCGATAATGCGGACACGCACGCGCGTAGGGATTGAATCCTGCTCGCTGTCTTCTTGATTGGGTAGCAACGCAGAGAGCACGATGACTATCAGCAGCAGCACGAACGCGACCCCACTGATCCCGAGTTGTGCGATCAGATCAAAGAGCAGATTGTGAGCGCTCGTCACATCTTCAGGACTGGTCGATGGTTTGTGCACCATGTACGCGTCTTGGAACAATCCCGGTCCTACCCCAAAGATCGGGTGGTGCTCGAAGATCCGCAAAGCGCCAACCATATATTGACCACGAAACAGCAATGAGAGCTGCCCCATCAGCGCACCACCCAGCACTCCGAGCATGAGGAGGATGCTCGCACCGAAAGTGGCGGTCCCGACGCGAGAGAATCGACCTTGCTTGCGAACCAACGCATACTGAATGACCACGAATCCCAAACCCGCGGCACCGATCGCGCCTTTGGACTTTGAAATCACCAGCAACACAAGAAACGCGACGGTGATCAATCCCGAGATCATCCACCATGATCTCTTGAGCGAGCACAAGGTCAACATGACCATCGTGACACCAAATGACGCGAGAAAGCTCGCGTAGACATTTGCAAGACCGAACCATCCTGTCGGTTCTGGTTGATTCAATCGGCGTTCGTAACTCAGAACTTCAAAGGATCCATCGCTCCAGCCGCGTGCGTTGAGGAACGATTCTTTGTTGTTTTCGTACAGTTCGACAGTCAAGGGGTGTTGGATGTACACCTGATGGAAGCCGTAGATGAGCATGTATACCCCAAGCCCGATCACGGATGGTGTTGCGATCCGAACCCAGTCCTGATTGTTTGACAAGAACGAGCGAGCGGCGACCAAGATGGTGATCATCGCGCCAAATGTTGAGGCTTCGGTCATGCCTTGGGGGTGCTGATAAAGATGGACACACAGTCCGATGAATCCAATAGGTAGTAGGTAGCAAATGACCCGATCAGTGCGGCTTCGAATAGGTTCAAGCGCGAACACAATCAACCCAAGCAGCATCATCACGGCGTTGAGCAGCATGCCCCATCCAGCGGTGAATCCGACAATGGGGGTTTCAAACTCAAATGGATCCGAATCCCACATCGGGAATGGCTCATGCGTGCTCAACGCACGAAGAAACACGAGCGTCATCAATAGACCCATACAGACTTGAGATGCGAGTTCCCGAGGACCCCATTTGGTTTGTCCTTCGGAGAGCTGAGCAGCTTCAGTCATCAGAGCCCCCGCGTGATTGGATCGGGGATCGATATTCGAACAATGCGATCGCACCTAGGATCAGCACAACCTGCAAACCGAGCAAGACAGCTTCCCATGAATCGGCTCGAGTCAACAAAATCCCAGCCACACCTGAGCATGCCGTGAGTGCGTAGATGATGAGAATGGTTCCTCGATTCCCGAGTCCTCGGTCGCGCAATCGATGAGAAAAGTGTTGTAAATCTCCAACAAATGGACTTTTTCCTTGGGAGATCCTGATCAGTGTCACACTGATGAAGTCATACAAAGGAACCGCGAGGACCGCGATTGGCATCAGCAGTGCGTACCAGTTCCCAGAGAGCGGGCCTGTTGCTTCTTCGGGGATGTAGGTTGTCCGAACAGTCGTGATCGCGAGGATGAATCCGATGACAAGCGACCCGCCATCACCCATAAAGATCTTCGCTGGAGGGAAGTTGAACACGAGGAACCCCAAGCATCCTCCCACGAGCAGCGCAAGAATCACGCCGATAAACCATTGCGCATTGAGAATCGCCGCGACGAGGAACATCGCTCCTGCGATGGTTGCGATTCCGGCGCTGAGCCCGTCCATGTTGTCGATGAAGTTCATCGCGTTGGTGATTGCGACGATCCAGATGATTGTGAGCATGATGCTCAGCCAACTTCCACCAACATATGCATCGAGCATTGTGAGGAGTCGAGTGTCGAAGAAGACTGAAAACACCACCGCCGGCGCAAGCATGATGATCAGCTTGGAGAGTGGTCCCATCGGTCGTCGATCGTCGATCAGTCCCAAGATGTGCAGCAGCAGCACGCACCCAAGCAGTCCCCATCCGAGCTTGACGCGTTCTTGCAGTTCAGTCCACACAGACTGGATTGGTTCAAGCACGCCGTAGAATGAGGATGCGTCCAAGACCGACACACCAATCAATCCGATGAGGATCGGCAGCCAGATTCCAAGGACAATACCGATCCCTCCAGTGTTGGGGATTGGTCGTTGATCGTGCTTGATCTGTCCTTCCATCGGTGCGGTGTCCAGAGCACCGATGCGTTGGCTCACACGCAGCGCTGCGAATGTCCCTGCAAGAGAGATCATCGCCGCGAGTGCACTCATGATGAGCAGGAGAACAACCATGGATCCAGTGTAGCGATCAGTGATCGTTCTGTGTTTGCGATGAATGCTCTGAACCAATGAATCTGGGAGGTGGTTTCTTGAGGATCTTGGTCCGCAGCGCCATGGCGCCTGCTGAGAATCCGTAGATCGCAACAAAGACCACCGCGCAGCCGAGGATCAGGAACAACGCTCGCCATGGATACGGCCCGAGCAGATCGATGACGGAATCTCCTGGATGCTGTCCCGATCCAAGATACGCGTAGTTGGTGCCGAGGAAGATGTTCAGGAAGAACACCAGCACCCCGAACCCGATCCCGGTGAGTGTCGCGAACACGAAGTCCTTCATGTTTGGTCGATATCCCAGCGCGACGACATCGTACAGACCCACCCCGACGATCTGGAGGTGGTTGAGCCAATAGATCCAGAATCCGAGCGAGCCGTGCCCTTCTTTGAGGAACGGCGTGACGAAAACCTGTGAGCTCAGTCCGAGTCCCCAGAAAAGAGTCAACGCGCGTGCATTGCGATTGAGTGTGAGCATCGCCCAAGCGACGATCCAGACGGACCATCGGCACATGTGGAGCGGGAGCGAATCATCGATGTCCCAATGCGCCGGAGTAAATCGACGGAAGAATATGAAAGTTTGCGAGATCAGAATAAACCATCCGACCGCGTGACGGATTCTGCGTTCTGTATTCCTGCCTTGCTCTGTATTCTTTGCGAGCAAGATCCGACCGAGGATGCACCATCCGATCATGATCGAGAAACAAACTACGACCACAAGAAGATGTTGCTTGGTGAACGCGTGAAACTCCTGCGACCAGTCATACACACTTGAGTTGGATGGGATCTGCATCAGCATGGGTTAAGTGGTGGCGTGCTCATGTCGGAGCTGTCCGCACGCGGCCGCGATGTCTCGTCCTCGGCTCGCGCGGATGTGGCAGTTGATGCCATGCTCGCGGAGCAGATACTGGAATCGATGGACATCGTCCGTGCTTGGTCGATTGAACTCCAATCCAGCTACCTCGTTGTATCGGATGAGGTTGACATTCGCTCGCAAGTCTTTACAGACTTGGGCGAGCTGCGTTGCGTGTTCGCTCTGATCGTTTACCCCTCCGAGGAGGATGTATTCGAGCGTGATCTCTCGCCCCGTTTTCTCAAACCACTTCCTGCACGCATCTTTGAGCTGATCGATGCTTGTGAACTCTGCCCACGGAATCAGTCTGCGACGGAGTTCGTCGTTCGGAGCGTGCAGCGAGAGCGCGAGTGTTACTGGGAGTTCCAGTTCGTTCGCGAGCTTCTCGATTGCTTTGTGCATTCCAACTGTTGAAATCGTAATCTTTCGAGCACTGATCCCGAGCCCCCAAGGTGCGGCGATCGTGCGGACCGCATCGACGACCGGCTTGAAGTTCGCGAGCGGCTCGCCCATCCCCATAAACACAACATTGGAGATCCGATCAACGCCTTGCAACTGATTCAGGCGCCAGACTTGCTCGACAATGCGTCCCGATGATAGATTCCCATCGAGTCCACCGATCCCTGTTGCACAGAAGGTACATCCGACCGGACATCCAACCTGCGTCGAGATGCAAGCCGTGCGTCGGTCTGAATCTGGAGCGGGAATCATGACGCACTCAGTCTGACGCGTCGTGTCCGAATACGGCATCTCTTGTCCAAGAATCGGCAATCGAGATTCGTGGTCAATCCCCGCTTCTCTCGCATCGATCGGCGTGGTGTCCGCATCATCACTCCACTCGATGAGCAGCTTCTGTGTGCCGTCTGTTGCGAGTTGGTGTGCGACCGTTGGGCCGCTCAGGAAAGTCATCTCATTGTTGAGCAGCTCACGATCCTGATTGGACAGGTTACTCATCTGCGTCGGATCGATGACCCCCTTGAGGTAGGCCCATTCCATGATCTGCTTGGCGCGGAACTTGGGGAGACCGCGTTCCAAGCACCAGTCGGTGAGCGTTTCGGGATTCATCGCAAAGAAATGGTGGCTTGGATGCTTCATGCATCAGCGCCTGAGATCGTGAGCGGGACAGGCGTATCGCCGTATTCTCCAGCGGTGATGGTGGGGGCTTCCACAGTGATGCGTCGATCTTTGTGATCGATGCCGTGCTCTTCCATCAAGCGTTTGAGCGTGAGTGGCAACCCGAACTCTACAGATTCCTCAGTGATATCCGCGACATGCAGCGTCGCGTTGTGTTGTTCAACAAAGTGCTTGCAGATTTCAGAGACGAGATCTTCTGGAGCACTCGCGCCAGCCGTGAGCATGATGGTCTCATCCCCTGTTGGATACCACGCGGGGTTGAGTTCCGATGCATCATCAATCAGCACGCTGCAAGTCCCCATGGTTTGGGCAATCTCTGTGAGCCGAACCGAGTTCGACGAGTTCTTCGAACCAACCACGATCACAAGATCGCACTGAGGAGCAACCAAACGCACCGCTTGCTGACGATTGGTCGTTGCGTAGCAGATGTCTTCAGTCGGAGGCGCTTTGATGTTCGGGAAGGCGCTGACCAACGAATCGATGATCACTTTCGCGTCGTCCGTCGAGAGAGTGGTTTGTGTGAGATACACGAGTTTGTTGGGATCTTCAATCTTCAGATGCTCGATGCATTCCGGAGATTCGACAACCTGTGTTTGACCAGGTGCTTCTCCCATTGTCCCGATGACTTCTTGATGGTTCTTGTGACCGATGAGCAGGATCTGGTATCCCTGTCTCGCATAACGCACGGCTCGTGAGTGCACCTTGGTCACAAGCGGACAGGTCGCATCGATCGCCGTCAGATTCCGCTGCTTTGCTTGTTCGCGCAGTATTGGGGGAATCCCATGGGCACTGAAAACAACAATGCTTCCCTCTGGAACATCGTCGAGCGATTCAACGAATCGGACACCACGGCTGACAAACCGTTCGACCACATGACGATTGTGCACAATCTCGTGGTACACATAAATAGTCTCATCTGGGAGCAGCTCAAGAACCTGATCGACGACATCAATCGCCATCCGGACTCCGGCGCAGAATCCTCTGGGATTGACTAACACAATCTTCACGATCAATGACTCCGGAAATCAGCCGCAATCGGGGCTTCAGTGCTCGAATCAATGGTAGCATCCCGCCGCGAGCAGACCCCCTAGACTCCCCCTGCAATACCTTATGGAGAAACGCATGACCAACTTTGCAAAACTGCTCGCAGCTCTCATGCTTGCCGCACCAGCATTGGCGATGAGTCCGGTTGATTCGACCCAGGCTGATCCCGATGCTCAAATCGATAAATTCAGTAAAACACGAGAGATGATGCGTCAATACGGAGTCGATAAAGCACCAGCAAAGGCAGAGGACGCTTTCCGGCTCACAGCCTATAACATCGAAAATCTCTTTGATACGCATGACGATCCGTCATTGACCGGACGCAACGATGATGCGGACGAAGCGAAGCCTCAGCACGAACTCGTCGCGACTGCGATGGCGATCCGTGCTGTCAATGCGGATGTGCTGTGCTTTCAGGAGATCGAATCCGAAGCGGCATTGATCGAGTACCGTGACAACTATTTGTCCGATTTGGGATACGAGTATGTCGTATCGATTGACGCCGGGAATGATCGAGGCATCGAGAACGCGGTGCTCTCGCGTTATCCCATCACGAACGCGAAGAACTGGCCGAAGAAACCACTCGGGGGTGTGCATCCAGAAAAATACGGCACCCAAAAGAACTGGTACGCCGGTGAACCGATCGAGTTTCGCCGTTCACCGCTGATGGTGGATCTTGAGATCCCATCAGCAGATGGGAGCGATTCATGGGCACTCACGCTCTTTGTGATGCACCACAAATCGGGACGCTTCAACACCTACTGGCGCGAAGCCGAAGCGACCGGCACCCTCGAACTCATCAACAAGGTCACCAAGGCTCACCCTGATCGCGCGATTGTGGTGCTCGGAGATTTCAACGCCGAGGTGACGGACAAATCAGTGCAAACCTATCTTGACGCAGGATTTGTGGATATCTTCGCGGATCGAAAGTCCAAATCTGAAATCATCACCCACGAATCGGGACGCCGGATCGACCTCATTCTTGCCAATAAAGCCGCGCTGGAGCATATGGATACGGATTCCGCGTTCGTCTACGGCACCGCAGCACGCCCTGAGGGGACGAACTGGCGGGATCTGGAGACCTTCGACGGATACGCCGCGGATCACTATCCAGTGAGTGTGGACATCAGCCGCTGATTTGAAGTGTGATTGCGGCTGCAACTGGAGTTTGGAATCTCTGTTAGACTTACTTGAAAGAAACTGGAGATTCCCGGAGTGTTGAGTAGAATATGTGCCCCCGAGAACCCACAAGGCCGGGGCGAGTGAATGGACGCTCGGAATGAAGCAACGCACGACGAGCAACCACGACGGGAAACGAGGCAGGACGCATGAGTGACATCAAACCCTGGCAAATCATTCTGATCATCGCAGCAGTCGTGGTCCTCGCGTTCTCTGGATGGAGAATGATGTCCGCAGGCTCGATCGATCAACCAGATGGACACATGACAGTGGATGTCATGACGGGGCAGCTTTACCTCGTCCGGAAAGGCAAAGCGAAAGGCATTGTCTATCCATCCACAAATCCAGACACCGGCGATCGCACACTGATCCCTGTCAGCCAAGACGAAGAATCTGGAGTCTGGAAACTCGACGAGCGATTCATGGATCGAATCACAGACGACATGAGAAGTCAATCCAAAGCACTCGGGAGTGGCTCCAGAGTCACAGTGTTAGACACCGATCCGATTGTGCATGTACTGAAGAAATAACGAGACCCATCTCGCACTTGGAGATTCGAAATGAATCGTCGCAAAAACGCATTTACACTCATCGAACTGCTCGTGGTCATCGCGATCATTGCTCTGCTCATCGGCATCCTGCTCCCAGCGCTGGGACAAGCTCGCGCGAGCGCCCAAAACTTGGTGTGCAGTTCAACACTTCGTAGTTTGGCGCAGTTGAATCTGATCTATGCGAATGAAAATCGCGATTACTACGCAAGTCCGGTCAATATCGGCGGTCAGTACACGGGTAGAGTAATCGAACCAGGAGTTGGCCAAATTCTTGGTACTGAGGCGCTCGAAGGAAACACAGAAGCGAGCAGACCTACGACTGTCCAGGACTGGATCTCCCCGATTGCGGGTGAAACGCTCGGCTTCTCAACCAATCGAGCTCAACGAACGCGTGATATCTTCAATACACTCGGCTGTGCTCGTGCCAATGTCTTCAATGACTTTGTCTTCGATAGTGGAAACACCGGTGACATCGATGATTTCGATGAAGTTGCGGAAGAAGGCATCAAGCAGGTTAGTTATCTCATGCCAACCGGCTTTGCACATGTCAGTCAAGATGATCGGTCTTACTTGGTAGGACTCGCTGCACGCGTTCCTGGAGGATCAATCAGTGTCGCTCCGAATGTATCAACATTAATGACTGATTCAAGAAATCCACAACAACCTCGAGGATTTCGTCACCGTGTGGATCGTGTCGGAACCAGTGCATCTGCTAAAATTATGGTCGCTGATGGTACTCGCTTCTGGACAGATGCTGATGGTTTGGATTTCGATGCCGGAACAAATGGCACTTATGGTTCATTCTCAAGCACTTCCCCGATTTTTGATGGCTCACGTGCTTACGGACGCTCTAATCCTTGGGCTCTTGAAACTGGGAACCATATCAAGCTTTCGTACCGGCATAGTGAGGCAATCAATGTGGCGAAGTTTGATGGTTCAGTAGATTCCATGACACAGATCGAGTCCTACACCGATCCGAATCCTTGGTATCCAACTGGTACACGCTGGGGTGGAAATGACAACACGGAAGAATCTGAAGCATTTGTAGAAGAGCAGTCCAACGGGCGTGCGAATCCGAAGCTCTACTAAATCCCGATTCCACACCCATTCCCAAAGTGTGATAACCATCGCCCTCCGGCTTCGGAGGGCGATTTGTTTGGGATGAGATCGGTGTATTTTGTTCGCCTGCCTTGTCTTAACAGGAGCTTATTTCTCCCAGATTTGCCTCCATTTCATCGATGATCTATGGTATGATCATGCGGAGAATCTGACCGAAGCATGGGTGTTTCGAGGTCCCTGACCAGTTCCTGACACGCACCTGCGCCTAAGAGGGTTCCTCGCTTTGTGTTCAGAGATTGAGAGAAACATTTCCAAACTGGAGAGAAAGAAAATGAAATTCACAACTGCAATCGCAGCAATCGCAGGTATCGCCGCAGCAACCAACGCAAGCGTTACCATCAACGAAGTGCTCGGCTCAACCGCAAGCACTGACTCCGAGTTCATCGAGCTTTACAACACCACCGGCGCAGCAATCGACCTGACAGGCTGGAGCATCGAGCTCTGGGACTCCGATGTCGACAGCACCGGCTTCATGGGTTCAGACGGCGGTGCACCTTACGCACTCTCCGGCTCCATCGCAGCAGGCGGCTACTTCACCCTCGCAAACGCACAAGCTCAAGCAGCAAGCTTCTTGAACTTCACTGCAGACATCACCTTCGGTGCAAACTCGATCGAGAACAGCTCATACACCATGATCCTCCGTGACGACATGGGTGCGATCGTTGAAGCCGTCTTCATGACCGACAGCGCTATGGATGTCGCAAATGACGGCACAATGGCAATCACTCCTGACCTGACCGTTGGTCCAGATGGCACCTTCGTGCCAGCTGGCTTCTACCGCGTTGGTGATGGTTCATCGACCACTGCATTGCTCGAGTTTGACCAGGTTCCAGCATCAGCAACTCCAGGCGCAGCAAACCTCCCAACTCCAGGTGCACTCGCACTCCTCGGACTTGGTGGTCTCGCAACCGCTCGTCGTCGCCGCTAATGGTGATGACTCACGCTTGATTCTTCAAGTGTGTTGATTTGATTCATGATCCCGCCGCTCACCTTTGGGCGGCGGGTTCTTTTTTGTCTATGCTGCTTTGGAACCACAAGCAGAGGAGCATGAATATGTCCACCCAGCAGGTTATTGATTGGCTCGATCAGCACGAGGAACAATCCATCGAGCGCATGATCGAATGGCTCCGGATCCCATCAGTCGGGACCGATCCGAAGCATGATGCGGATACCGCGAAAGCCGCACAGTGGGCCGCGGATCATCTCAAGGCGTCCGGATTCAGCGTGGAACTCATGGAGACTGGAGATCCCGCTGGATCAGGTCAACCCATCGTGCTCGCGACGACCACTGGTGATGATGATTATTCAGGTCCTCATGTGCTGTTCTACGGGCATTACGATGTACAGCCAGCGGATCCGATCGAGTTGTGGGAGTCCGCGCCTTTTGAGCCGATCCGTAAATCCGCTGAGGGGGAGATTGGAGAACGCATCGTCGCGCGTGGCGCGTGTGACGACAAAGGTCAGGTCATGATGTTCCTCGAAGCGATGCGTGGTTGGTATGAAACCACTGGTAAGCCGGGTGGTGGAGTCAAATACACCGTGCTCCTCGAAGGCGAAGAAGAATCTGGATCGGTCAACCTCGAACGATTCGTCGATGAGCACAAGGACACGCTTAGCGCGACCGATGTCTGTCTCATTTCCGATACCGGAATGCTGGGACGCGGGAAGCCCGCGATCACCTACGGCGTGCGTGGACTCACATACCTCGAAGTCACACTCATTGGTCCAGATCAAGACCTTCACTCCGGACTCTGGGGAGGAAAGGTTCCCAACCCAATCAACGAACTGACCAAAGTGCTCTCTCAGTTGTGGGACGACAAGCGGCGTGTCACTATTCCGAACTTCTATGACGGCGTGCGAGACCTCACTCAAGCTGAGCGTGATGCGTGGAAGGAACTGGGAGCCGATCCGGAAGCCGCACTGCGAGGCATCGGGCTTCCACCTGAAGCAAGCATCGGTGAGGATGGGTTCTCCTTCATCGAGCGTGAATGGGCACGACCAACTTGCGATATCAACGGCATCATCGGCGGATATACAGGTCCCGGAGCGAAGACCGTCATCCCGTCAAAGGCGAGCGCGAAACTCTCGTTCCGACTCGTCGATGATCAAGATTCAGAAACCATCGCTTCATCGGTCATCGAGTGGTTCAAACAGCGCACCCCTCCAGGATGCAAGTGGGAGTTCCAGAATCATGGCGGAGGAGCTCCAGCAACCTGCGCGACCGAATCCGAACCACTGCAAGCCGCGTTCCGTGCGATCGAGCGTGGATGTGGCGTAAAGCCTGCGATGATCAAATCGGGCGGATCAATCCCAGTCGCGGGACTGCTCAAAACCACAGTTGGTCTTGAAACCATCTTCATGGGATTCGGATTGGAAGATGATCGCGTCCATTCACCCAATGAGAAGTTCGAACTCGATTGCTTCCAGATGGGTGCTCGCGCTCACGCAGCTTTGGTGGAAGAGCTGGCCGGATCTGATGCTTGAGACTCGCTCAGGTTCTCTGGATCTGTCTCAGCAATCTTGAGATCAGGATCGTGGATGATCTCGACATCTGATTGCTTCATTTCAGGCGTGAGCTCGCCGGTGATTTCTGCGAGGTGGAGCGCCTGTTGATTTGAGAGTTCCTCGACGCGATTCCGTAGATTGTGGAGCGTGGTTTCATGCCGGATCACATTGGCATAGACGCTGTACAGGCACAGGATACAGATCCCTGAAGCGAGGGCAGAAATCAGCAGGATCATGGTGCCTGAGTCGAGCATAGCTCTGTTATGATCGGACGATTCTGAACAAAACTTTGCTCTCAGAGCGTCCAGGCACGCAAGTTTGGCCTTGAAGTTGTAGAATCGGCACATCCGCGATCCCAATGGGATGGTGTGGTGGGGGATCAGCCGAGGTTGGCTGTTATGGAGGACTCGATCGTTGCGGTTCTGGATGCGTTTGTTGAGTGTGCTGTGCGTGCTGATGTTCTCTGGGCATCAGGCATCCGCGCAGGTAAATCCTGATTCTGCAGGTGCAGGTGAAATTCAGCTCTCGATCCTGAATCTCGGTGCAGGCGGTATGATCCGAACAGGGGATTGGGCCGGGATCCAGGTCCAGATGCTCGATCAAGGATCCCAGCAGCGAGAGATCATCCTCCGCGTCACCATTCGAGATTCCGACGGCGATGACGCTCAGTTCGATCGAGTCGTCAGCGCAAATCCAGGTTTACCCCAGAGTTTCTGGTTGTACTGCTGGGTCCCATTTCAATTCGGACAGGCGAGCTTTGAGATCCATGCATTTGAGGCCGAAGAGCGAGGTAGCGGCGAAGGCCAACTCGGATACCGCGCCGGTCGATTGCTGGGATCGGTGTCACAGTACAACCCGATCTTCCAAGAACCTTGGGTCGCGATCGCAGGCATGATCGGGACTCGCCAACTCGGGATCGAGCATTATGCGATCACTGTCGACAATCGAACTTGGCGTCCGCTTGGACACGAACTCATCCGAGTCGCGCCGGGACTGACCACGCTGACGCTTCCAGATCGTTGGCAAGGTCTTGTCTCTATGGATTTCCTTGTGTGGGGGAGTTCCTCATTACGAGAACATGATCCATCGACACTCACTCCAGAACGAGCACGCGCGATACGCAACTGGGTCGAGCAAGGCGGACACCTGATCATCGTCATGCCCCCATCGGATGATCCATGGTTCACAGGGAATCATCCGCTCCGCAACCTGCTCCCTGATGTCCAAAGACCATCGCGACGCGACGGCGTGGACTACAACAGCATCCGCAGACTGCTGACCGAATCGAGCGATGTTCCACTCCCTACCAATGGTACGCTCACCACATTTGTACCCAATCCAGAAGCGGAACCCAACTCTGCGATACCTGTGCTCAACACAGTCGATCGTGAATGTATCGCAATCCGCAGGCTCATCGGAACAGGGATGGTGACCGTCGTCGGCATCGATCTTGGGCACGGCGAGCTTCGTCGCTTGGGACTCCCAGAACCCGAGCCGTTCTGGCATCGCGTGCTGGGAATGCGTGGAGATATCCAGCGCCCGAGCGAGATGTCAGATCAACTGCTCGCGGATGTCCGTTCGCGAACCGTGCTTGAGTTTGACACTGAAGTCTCTGGTGAGATCGCAAAGACAGGCCGAGCGATCCAAGGCGTATTCTTCGGATTCATCGTCTTCGTGCTGTACTGGGTCCTCGCGGGACCTGGTGGGTTTGCATTGCTGCGTCAACAGAAAAAGAGTCAGCACGCGTGGGTAGGGTTTGTGACCCTGATCGCTGTGTTTACCGCGTTGTCCTGGGTCGGCGCTTCGCTGCTGCGTCCAAAGAAAGTGAATATCTCGCACTTGACTATGCTTGAGCAGGTCTATGGCCAATCCCATTCTCGTGCACGATCATGGATGAGTGTCATGCTCCCGAGTTACGGCACTTCGGATGTATCACTTGTTGATCCAAGCGATACGAGCATGATCAACTCGAGCGTGATGACCAATCTCATCACGCCTTGGCAACCCAGCACCTCATCCGCGTCCATTGTCTCTGGTTTTCCAGACAACACTGGGTATCGCATCGAGAGTCGATCGCCGGATTCAATCCGCGTCCCGACACGCGCGACTGTGAAAGACTTCCGTGTGGATTGGGGTGGAGTGTCGAGTTGGTCGATGCCGCATCCGATTGTTGATACTGAGAGCTTCCAAGAAACCAAGCTCACGCTCGATGGGACCGCGGTGGTCGGCGAGATCGTTCATGATCTTCCTGGAGGACTGACGGATGTCATGCTTGTCGTAGTTTCGGGACAAATCCCGATCCGGCGCGAGGGGCAGAAACTTGTGAACACCATGATCTCTAGAGTCGATACATGGTCGCCTCAGATTCCTGGAGGCGGCTGGGATCCCGGCGAGGTCATCAGTCTGGAAGGATACACAAAGCTCTCAGAGACCAACCGCAACGCGGATAAGGGGGACTACTTCCGCGAGGCGATCTCGACTGGGTTTGATCCCCTCGCGATCCAAGGTCCTCGCGGTGATGTCATGGATCGGCTGAAAGTTGGCCGGATGCTCTCGCAGCTCCAGCCTCCTAGATACGGCGTGCTCACAGACGCCGTTGGAAATCGATTGGCGAACCGCCGTCAACTTCACGGCTGGGATCTCGGGATGTGGTTCACGCAGCCCTGCTTGATTGTGATGGGGGTGCTCGAAGTCGATGCGAATAAAGCGAATGAGGACGGCTCGCCAGTCCCGGTCTATGTCGACGGCAAGCGAGTACCGGCATCGGGGAAGACCTTGGTGACTTGGATCTATCCCTTTGAACCTGACCCACCTTCGTATGTGGGTGTGCTGGAACCAGAGAATGACCAGAGCGAATCAGAAGAACCCAATGGGTGATAGAGCGGTAGGATTGCAGATATGCCAATGATCGAAACCATCAACCTGACGAAACGCTACGGCGAGCTCACCGCACTCAACTCGCTGAACCTCACCATCAATGAGGGTGATTGTTTCGGGTTCATCGGTCCCAACGGCGCTGGAAAGACGACCACCATCAAAGTCCTCGCGACGCTGCTCAAACCCTCGTCTGGGCAAGCACAGATCGCGGGATTGACAGTTGGCTATCAAAATCGTCAGATCCGTCCGCTCATCGGATATGTCCCCGATTTCATGGGCGCTTATCAGGACATGGTTGTGCATGAATACTTGGAGTTCTTCGCCGCCGCGTACAACATCAACGGCTCGCAACGCAAGAAGGTCGTCAACGATGTGCTCGAACTCACAGACCTGACGTACAAGCAAACCGCTGAGGTCAGCGGTCTCTCGCGTGGTATGCAGCAGCGATTGAGTATCGCGCGTGTGCTGCTCCATGATCCAAAAGTGTTGTTGATGGACGAGCCGGCTTCAGGGCTCGATCCGAGAGCTCGTATCGAGATTCGTGAGCTGCTCAAAGAGCTCAAGAAGATGGGCAAGACCATCCTCATCTCTTCGCACATTCTCCATGAACTCGCTGAGCTCTGTAACACTGTCGGGATCATCGAGAAAGGTGAGTTGCTCTTCAACGGCACGGTCGATGAGATCCTCCGCCGAGCGAAGGTCGGTCATGTTGTGCATGTCGGGGTCGCTGAGCGATTGGAGGACGCCGCGAAAGTGCTCCAGACGATGCCTGGAATCGAGAAGGTTGCGATTGTCCAAGGCGATGGCACCGCGAGTGGTGGGGGATCAGGACGACTCATCCATGCACAGTTCGACGATCGCATGGGGGGCAACTACACCGACATCCCCAATGTGCTGATCAACAACGGCTTGCGGATGACCCACTTCCAGGAGGAGCCGGTCAACCTTGAGACCGCGTTCATGCGTCTGACCAAGGGTTTGGTGCAATAAACACGCTTCAGGTTCGAGGCTCAGTGTGGTATTTCGCCGCATCCTTTCTGAGTGCAATAGGTATGAATCAGAGGCGTCGTACTCGCTGAACTGGTATCATGCGCCTGTACCTTTTTGGAGATTTAGAACATGAAAGCACTACTCTTGTCTGTCCTGGTCGCAGGATCGACCTTTGCCCTCGCCGCTCCCCCGGCGACCGAATCTGTACCGGTCACGGACACGATCCACGGCGAGATAGTCGTCGATGAATACCGCTGGCTCGAAGGTGACAACTCTGATCCGAACAACATGGGTCTGTTGACTGATGATGTCGTTTCATGGACTGATGGTCAGAACGGCTACACCCGCTCTGTGCTCGACAACCTGCCGGGGCGAGCGGCTCTCGAAGATCGATTGCGCGAACTCATGGAGGTTCCATCTATCGGGACCCCAAGCGCGTATGGGAATCGCTACTTCTACTCTCGTCGGGAAGGCGCTCAGCCACAAGCGGTGCGTTATGTGCGTGAAGGTCTTGACGGCGACGAACGCGTGCTTCTCGATCCTCAGACCGTGGATCCAAGCGGATTGACCACCATCGCATGGACAGCTCCTAACGATGACGGCTCGCTCATGGCGTTCGGAATGTACACCGCCGGAGATGAGAACTCGACGCTCTATGTCATGGATGTCGATACCGGCGAATGGCTCGCAGAAGAAATCCCTGGAAAGGTCCGCCTCTCAGGTTGGCTCCCAGATTCTTCAGGATTCTTCTACTCGGCGCTCGAAGACCTCGACGACGCATATTCGTCCGTCATGAAGCTCCACAAACTCGGCACGCACCATCGTCAGGATCAAGTGCTCTTCCGTCAGAAGGACATCGAGTTCTTCTACGGCGATCTCAACAAAACCGATGCGGAGCTCCAAGCACTTAAAACCACATGGGGACCATGGGGCTCACCTTCGGAAGACGGCCGCTGGATGACAGTCGGGTACTGGACAGGCACAGCAGGTGTTGATCTCTGGATCGCTGATCTATCGAAGTGGTTCCGGAGCGGTGAACTGGAACTGGTCCCGATGGCGATCGGCAAAATGGGTCGCGTAGGGGGCGCACACTTTGATGGTGACCGCCTCTTCATTCAGCACTCATTTGAAGCACCAAACGGGACGGTATCAGTTGTTGATCTGTCGAACCCTTCATTTGAGAACTGGGAAACTGTTGTTCCTCATGATGATGAACTCGTTGTTGAAGGCGTCAACTTCTCCCGTGGGATCATCTCGGTTGAGTATCTTGATTCCGCGAAGACCCGAATCGCGATGTTCGACTTTAACGGCAACTCAAAGGGTGATCTTGAACTCCCAGGAATCGGTTCAGGTGGACTCGCAACGAGTGACGATCGGACAGAAGCATTCCTGAGCTTCTCGAGTTACAACATGCCTCGCTCGATCTATCGCGTTGATCTCGCAACCGGCGAGCGCGATCTCTGGGCGCGTCCAGATGTCCCAGTCGATCCATCAAAGATTGAAGTGAAACAGGTCTGGTACGACTCCAAAGACGGCACCCCAGTCTCGATGTTCATCGTCCATAAGACGGGGCTTTCCCTCGACGGCAACAACCCAACCATCCTCTACGGCTACGGCGGGTTTGATATCTCGATGACGCCGTATTTCTCATCGACCATGTTCCCGTGGTATGAGAACGGCGGAGTCTACGCGGTCGCAAACCTCCGTGGTGGTGGAGAGTACGGCAACGCGTGGCACGAAGCCGGGATGCTTGAGCATAAGCAGAATGTGTTCGACGACTTCATCGCCGCAGGAGAGTGGCTTGTGGAAAACGGATACACCAATCCCAGCAAGCTTGGTATTGCCGGAGGTTCCAATGGTGGTCTGCTTACTGGAGCAACAGTCGTGCAGCGACCAGATCTCTTCAGTGCCGCGATCAGCGCGGTGCCTCTGCTGGACATGGTTCGCTACCAGAACTTCCTGATGGCGCGATACTGGGTCCCTGAATACGGCACTGCTGAGAATCCAGATCACTACGAGTTCATCAAGAAGTACTCGCCGTACCACAATGTGAAACCCGGCACTAAGTACCCAGCGGTTCTGTTCACCGCCGGCGAGAACGACACGCGTGTTCACCCACTCCATGCTCGGAAGATGGCGGCTTTGATGCAGAACGCTACCGGTTCTGATCAAGAAGAAGAGCCGATCCTGCTCTGGGTTGATCGTGATTCAGGTCACGGCGGTGGGAAGCCGCTGGAACTTCGGATCCGTGATGTCGCGGATCAACGCATGTTCATGATGTGGCAGCTCGGGATGCTCGAAGACTGAGATTCTGGTACAGTGTGTTTGAATCATCGACCCCCGCGATCGGATTCGCGGGGGTCTTTCGTTTTCAGAGGAACGAGCTATGGCAAAGAAAGTCTCGAAGAAAAGAACAACCAAGAAATCAACGAAGAAAACTACGAAGAAATCGACCAAAGCAACCACCAAGAAAGCATCAAAGAAGACGGCCAAGAAAGCAGCAAAGAAACCATCAGTAAACAAAACCGTAGCGAACACCAAATCGGTCGACGCTTTCCTCAAGAAAGCGCCATCGAAGTACGGCGACGATTGTCAGACACTCATCGAGATCATGTCCTCGATCACCAAAGAAGAACCAAAGATGTGGGGGCCTTCGATCGTCGGGTTTGGTCAATACCACTACGTATACGAGAGTGGGCGTGAGGGGGATATGTGCTTGGTAGGGTTCTCGCCTCGCGCGAGCGCCATCTCGGTATACATACTCGCTGGATTTGAAGACAAACCCGAACTCATGGAATCACTGGGGAAGTACAAGACGGGCAAAGGATGTCTCTACATCAAATCACTGGACGATGTGCATATCCCAACACTCAAGAAACTCATACGTCATAGCGTGGGCACGATCAAGAAACGATACCCAAGCTGAGTTATCCCAGCAGATCGATCGATCGTTTGCTCTGCTCTTGTCCGATCACCATCACACGCATTGATGCTTTGCTCAGGACCGAGGCGCGGATGGAGTTGGAGATCTCTTCCGCGTAATCGGTATCACGGATCTGAGAACGAGCCGAGGCGGTGTTGATGGACTGCTCCTCCATCGCACGGATCCGCGCTTCGTTGATCCGCTGTTGCGTACCAATCTCCGCTTGACGCTCGATTGATGCGTCCGCTGCTTCGATGTTCAGACTCAGATTCTCGCGTTCTAATGAACCGATCTGCGATCGTAAACTGGAGAGGTCCTTCGTCAAGTGCTCAGATGCGATTAAACCAGCGGGATCATCTGATCCGCGATTGATACGAATCCCTCTCGCAAGGCGCTCAGCTGATTGGGTGAACATACGATTGCTTCGATTGATCCCCTGCAGACCGATGGTCAACAGCGACGAACTGGATGGTCGGATACCTTGCATGGGACAAGTATGCAAAACAGGATTGGATCTTCCCAGAAATGGTGCATGGAAAGTAGTGCCGATTGTATCGATCGTGCCAATTGTGATGCTGTCAGAAGCTCATCCGCTCAATGAACGCCGAAGGCATCGCGGTGGGTTGTTCGAGTAGCTGCGGCAAAGAGTTCACTGTTGACAGAGCTTGGAACTCGTTCGCCTGTGAAAGCTCATTCATCAGCTCATCGCTGTGGACCATATTAAAATCTGGTGTAGCGGTGTAAATTTCAAACGGAACTTCTGTGTTCAAAGACAGCTCATTCAGTATGTTGAGTCTGTGAGACGAGAAGGAAGTTGTTGGCTCGGCATCTGATACCCCTGCTTGAACACGAAAGGCAGGCGCGGTGATGAGAATGATGGCGGCGATGTCGAACAGCTTAGACATAACTGGTTCCATATAAGCGGATCTGTGCGTGAAATACCCCGAACACAATGATTGGACGCGATCTTTGCGCAGACCATGAAAGATGTGTTCAGACTGCGAAAATTGATCCAAAAATGAATCCGCACTGTGCGTACGAGACTGCGACAGTGCGGATGTATGCAAGAGAGTTGTGTTATGAATGCCGTTTAGCGTCGGCGACGAGCGATCACAAGACCGCCGAGTCCGAGCATGCCGAGTGCGGATGGGGACGGGACGATGTTGATCGTGAGCTTGTTCATCCGGCCTTCGAAGGATGAGAGGCGGAAGAACTCGATGTTTTCGCCGAGATCCATGCTGCTGATACTGCGGGTCTCGGTCGAACTCACCACCGTGTTTGCCAAAGCAAGATCTGTTGTAGCTCCTACAGCTTGAATGATTGTGCAGCCGATCCCACAGAAATCGGTCCAGGAGACTTCGACAGACTCGATGTACTCGTCTGGAGCGAGTGAGTTGACGGAAACTGTGACGAGGTCTGAGTAAAGCCAGAGTGCTCCTGCGAAGAGGTCGTTGGTGTCCCCGCCGCCGGTGAAATCGGTATCTGTGCCGAAATCAAAGGTCAGTTCTGGGTCAAAGGCTGGTCCCCCAGCCATATCGCGAAAATCCTCATGGATCACGCGTGCATGCGTGGATGCAGCGATAACAGAAATCGCTAGTAGTATTGCTTTGATGTTCATGATGGTCCCTCTAAACGAATTCGAGTTCAAACCGCCTACGAGATTGGCGGATATGACAAGGAATACATCAGGATCGAGGGATTGCAAGCAATTATCGCGGTTTTATTGGCACCTTGTCCGAGAAGCTTGAAGATGCTGCCGTATGAAAAAACCCCGTGAGAGCACGGGGCGTGGAGTGAGAGTTTTGGTTGTGAGCATTCGTTTATTTGCGATTGCGGCGGTATGAGATCAATCCGCCCATCCCGAGGAGTGCGAGTGCGCCTGGAGCCGGGACAGTGGTGGTGTCATACCCAGCTCCGTCGAACCAGCCCTGTTGACCGCTCCATTGGGACAGTCCATTCTCGTTGTTGTACGAGGTGGAGAGATTCTTGAGCGGGTGCATCCAGAGTCCGAGCTGCTCTTCAAAGCCGATGCCGGTCCATTCGCCCGGACCTTCTGGTCCAGGATATGCTGGATTGTGAACATTGATGTAGGTCGCATCCAGCTCAAGGGTCATCATCCGCTTGCCGTCAAAGTCGTTGACAGACGCTTCAATGATGGATGAATGGTTGTAATCGAAAATTTGGTCGGGGGTTTGCTCCCCAGCTTGTGGTGAGCCGTCACGGTAAGTGAGTAGGGTATTTTGGCCGTTGTACGCATACGCAGAGACACGAGCTTCAGGTCCCGTTGCGTCGAAGTAGATCAGTGCGAGTTCGCCCGCGTGCCCCTTTGGGTTTGGGCCGTTGTTCACAGCGAGTGTGTAGCCGTCGGTGATCTGGTCTGAGAACAAGACCTGCCAGACGAAGCGATTGGTGTCTGTATTGAACTCTGCGTGGATGGACTCGAATGTTCCGCCGCGCATGTTCAAGCCCGATGTTCCATCGGTATCTGCGGACCAGTCCCAGTGATAGATATCTGCTGATGCGCTCGATGCGATTACGCCAGCGCAGGCAATCATTGCTGCTTTGATTTGTGCGTTCTTCATAACGATGTCCTTCTCGTCTTGTTGCGAGCTATGAGAGTCCAACGATGGCGTGGGTACGGATCACGCCGCACGACGAAGATACAAGACACCTACGCAAAGGCCATCAGTCTCCGAAGTCCGTGGTCCTGCTGAGTGGGGTTGTATCGATTAGGCAACACTGTGAAAGCGATAAGGAGTCGCTGATACAGGATCAAAAAAGAAAGCCCCGAGCAACCATGGCGTGCTCGGGGCTCATAGTGGGCGGTGGTTTCCAACAAGCTGCGACGAATAGGCGGCAGACTATGATTATCGGCAACGGCGCGATGCCAACAGTCCTGAGAGACCGATAATCGCGAATGTCGATGGCGTCGGTACCGGCACTGTGAATGCAAGATTATCAATTCCGAGACCAAACTCATCAGTGATCGCAAACAACTCGACGCTGTTTACATCGGAGTATGCCGACAGGTCGATCTCGATAGGATCGGTGAAGTTGCCGTTACCAGTCACATTCAACTCTGTGAACCCTCCAGAGTGGAAAATGCCGAGCATCGCGATGACGCCTGAGCTGTTGTCCGCAAGGATGTCAAAGGACAGGTTATTCGCGGCTACAGTGAAATCCATGTAGATATCGCCATCGAATGTGTCTGTAGTTGTAGAGATACCAGCGGTGAGCATGTTCGGGCTTGATCCGCCAACGAATCCAGCTCCCTCAAAGATCATCAGGATGTTGTTGTCATTGGTGCCAAACGAAACATGCTCACTAAACTGACCGTCCGTTTCAACAGGTGGAATACCGCCTAACTGATCATCAAAGTCTACCAACACATCTTGAGTGACTCCTGCTTGAGCAACTTGGACGCAAGCTCCAACAGTCAGGAGAAGTAATGCAGATTTCATCAACTGGATCCTTTCATGCCATCATCGCATACTGCTATGCGTGTCCCTTTCACCAAAGGCATACTCATACACTTGGTGTTTCAATATGACCGATAAAATGGTGAATACCAATAAAACTGACGAATTGTCTAGAGTGCGCTGATCAACAAAAAAGCGTCCCTAAGGACGCTAAATCGTGTTCGAATGACTCGGTCAATGGGTTAGTTGCAGCCGTTGCCATACTCTGCGAGGTATGCACTGACATCCAGGAAGTTCAGTCTTCCATCGTTGTTGAGATCAGCGATGCCGCAGGTCAGGTGCTGCCACTCGATGAAATCAAACGCGAGCACACGCTTTGAGGTTGGAGCGAGCTGGAAATGGAAGGTGTCCGCGTTGTTCCATTGGCGGAAGAATGGGATTCCATCCGGATCTCCTGGCACATGAGCAATCTGGATGATCTCATGATCAACGATCGAGCCGTCTCTCAGTGTCGTCACGGTGCAAACGACATCATCCGTTCCTCCAAGGGAAGTGTGGATCAAGTCAACTAGGAAGTTGACTGGACCATCAAATGTAAAGGTGACCGTTCCGCCTGGGTCGGTGGCCCACAGTGACAGGAATGCAGGACCGTTGGTGCCTTCGATATCAAAGTTGCCAAAGTCACCTTGGGAAACACCATCACCGATCCACAACGGTTCATTGCTTGAAATGGTCATGCCCATGTCGGCATAGAAATCCCCGATGCCTGGCGTTGAGAAATCTTGTGAGCCTGCACCAAAGAATGGAATCATCTCATCAAAGAGTGCGATGCCTGCACTTGGTCCACCAGCAACAGCTGGGGCTGTGAACGCAGCTGCGGCGACGATTGCGAATAACTTTCTGTTCATGGGTATGCTCCCTCGAGTCTGAGCTACACGGAATGGTGCAGCGATGAATGACCACCCAACTAGGTGATTTTCTCCATACTACAGGAAACTTGGTTCAATATGTGTTTGTGGTGAGTTAATCCCGTAAGTCGCTATAGAGCATGGTGATAAGCGGTTAAGAGTTTGTGGATTCAGACTCCGCTGTTCTCTTGATCCCTCTAAGCATCCCTCGAAACACAATGCCGTGGAATGGAAGAACACTATACCAATACAGGATACCGATGATCCCCTTTGGTCGGAATCGTGCGGTCATCGTCATCGAAGTTGTCGGGGACTCATTCGAGTTGTCCTGACCTGGTTCGAGTTGAAACTGGAGTGTTGCTACTCCAGGCAGTTTCATTTCTGCGCGGAGAACGAGTGAGCGGTTCTGCTCGATCCCGATCACGCGCCAGAAGTCGAGGGACTCTCCGAACTCAACGCGCTCCGGATCTCTGCGGCCTCGGCGCAGTCCTGGTCCTCCGACCAGGGTGTCCATCCAGCCCCGCACTTTCCAGAGCAGATCCGCGGCGTACCAGCCGTGCCCGCCCCCGATCCTGCAGATCGCTTTGAAGACGTGCTCGCTTGACGCTTGAATATCGATCGTGCGTTGGTCTTCGTAGGTTGTCCCACCGGCCCAATCTGGATCTCCAGGGATCGGGCCTGCGACGGACCATCGTGTCTGCACATCGTTACTCTCGATGCGCACGAGTGCTTTCTCGATCGCTTCCCGAACTCCCATCGGTTGATGGGGCATTAACCGTTGCGCCAAATCATTGGTGACCACCACGCGATTGCGTAAACCATCCGCAAGCGGTCTTGCGATCCGGTATGACACCGGAGTAACGAGACTGATCCATCCGGAGCTCAGTCTCGGAGTGAGCACCGGGACAGGAATGATGATCCGCTTGGGGAGATGCAGCGCCGCGGCCATCGTGCGCATCAAATCGTGATATGGCTCGATATCCGCGCCACCGATCTCAAGAACCTGTCCCGCGGTTTCAGGAACCTCCAAGCATCGTACAAGATAGTGGAGCACATCCGCGATCGCGATGGGTTGCGATTCAGTCTTGACCCACGATGGGGTGATCATGATGGGCAATCGTTCGACGAGATATCGCAGGATCTCGAATGACACCGATCCCGATCCGATGATCATCGCGGCCCGGAAGATCGTGACCTGCACTCCGGTTGATGCGAGCACCTCTTCAACTTCCCGGCGCGAACGCAGATGTTCGCTCAGCAAGCTGTCGCCATCACCGAGCCCGCCGAGATAGATGATCCGCTTGACACCAGCATCGCGTGCTGCTTGTGCAAAGTTTGATGCGAGCTGCCGATCCCGATCCGCATATTCTTTCCCGCTCGCTTGCATCGAGTGAACGAGGTAGTACGCTGAGTCGCAGCCCTCGAGTACTTCAGCGAGCGCCTCTATGTCAGAGAGGTCGCTCTGCGCGACATCAATCCGTTCGTGATTCCTCCAAGTCCGATCGTCTAGCTTCCGAGGCTCGCGTGCGATGCAGCGGACTTGGTATCCTTCATCGATCAAAACTGGGACAAGCCGACCACCCACATACCCGGTCGGACCAGTGACTGCGATGGTGGTTTGATTTGTGCGATCCCGATCAGTATCCGGCATATCAGCACTGTATTCGATCAGACATCGTTTCGTGACGCAGATTCGCTATGCGCATTCATTGCGGGGTTACCCAAGCCAATCCCTTGCTTTGAGCCGTGCCGGCACATACTCCTCAGTGACATAGCTGATGTCTTTGGTGATCAGGGATTCCACTTCCATCTTGAAGCCGTTGGAGAGCATCTTCTTGATCTCTTTCTGCCACTGCTTGTTCTTCTCGAACCATGGGTACGCCGCGATCTGTTTGGCGCGTTTGATGTCGCGATCGTTGAGCGAGATTTTGACATCGTCACTGAGGTCGCAGCGTTCGAAATCGATCGAGCGGATGCCGAGGTACTTCGCTTCTGGGATCGCGAGACGAGAGGACTCGAACGCGAGTGAGATCGAGCCCTGCTTGATCACGCTGTAGATGTAGTGCCCCCACGGATCGCAATCGAGCAGGCAGTAGACCGGTAGCCCGTGTTCTTTGTTGAGACGATGGAGCATGCGCCGCACGCCGCGTGTGGGTTGTCCAGATCCTTCGGTGAGGATGCAGTTGTGCTTCTCCCAGAAGCGGTCCTCGTTGAAGCGTTGCCAGACAGTGTCTTTCTCGACATGGAGGATGAACTTCGCTTTGACATCCTTGAACTGGATGACTTCTGGCTCGCAGATACTCGGGATCGCGTATCCGCCGGACCCCATCTTTCGGCAGTTGATCTCGTCGCCGTTGTCCACAACCGTGATGTTCCCGACCATCGTCCCGCGTTTCTTCGCGAAGATGTGGAGTTCTTCACGCAGCGATCCGAGCGAGACTTCGAGGTCTTCGAGGATGCCGTCGGATTCGGTCTGGTCATCGAAGGTCTTCTCTTTGGTCCCCTCGATCGTGTGGAGTGACTTGTAGAACATTCCACGAAGCGAGAGCGTCTTGTCCGCTTGGAGGAGTTCGTCGACTGACTTGCCGTGCAGGAGCGTCTGCATGAACTTGCGAGCTTGACCGAGGTTGAAGAGCTGCCGCGTCCCGACGGAGTCCCCCATCTCAAGAATGCCCTTCTTCGCGTTCCAGTTCGTGTTGGACGCGGCTCGGATCGGGACATCCATCTCGGGTTCTTTGTCCGCGTGGACCGCCGTGACGATGCTCTGCGCCATCGCGCTGAGCTTGACGGAAGTCTCCTGATCCCGCTTGCCCGCTTTATTACTGCGGGAGACAGTTGATTTCCCGGAAGCTTTCTTCGTGGTCTTCTTGGTCGTCTTCTTGGTTACTTTTTTCTTCGCAACCTTCTTCTTAACGACTTTCTTTTTGGTGACTTTCTTTGCCATCAGTTTTCCTTCAACTTCATCGCAGCTTTGTGGTACAGTCCGATTCGTTGTTGGTCTTTCATAGAAATGTAGTCAAAGGGCATCCAGACTTCCCCTTGTTGTTCAAACTCTACAGTCATCCCTGCAAGCCAATCAGCAAGAGAGTCGCAAACCTTTGCGTGCTTCCCGGTCTCATGATCGCAGAAGACAACGGTACCTTGTTGATACTGGTCGTCGCCTGCCCCGACCAGCCAGTCAAAATTGCCATCTCCCCATGAATGGAATGAGCACCATGGCTTATCCGGGTGTACGGCGGAGCATTCTGTAGTCGGCACAAGCATTAAGCCAAACAGCTCTCCGCCATCGGCATGCCTGTAGAGTTCAAGAAGTTCATCTGGCACATCACAATCAAAATTAGATTGATAGAAAGCTATGTTCTCCTCTGTAGCTGGAGGATTGAGCTCCACTTCTGAGCTATGGGGAGATTCTCGGATCAGGTTGAGGGCTTTGGTTACTGAATGAGAGTTCGGCATTCTCATCCCCCGAACAGCCCGGCGGCCGCCTTCTTGGATGATGACTTCTTCTTGCTCGTCCGCTTCTTCTTACTCGTCTTGCTCACACGCTTCTTCTTGATCGTCGGCTTCGCTTCCGCGACCGATCCTGATTCATCTGGACCACCGATCGCATTATCAAGGATGATCACATCGTCCGCTTTCGCGAGTCGGCCCTGATCGTCTTTGATGAACTTGCCCTCGTCGTCGAGCTGCGCATCCGCGATCTCGGTGCGTGCCTTCGCTTGTGCGAGCAGCGCGTCGTAGAGCTCCTGCGTGTCCGTACCAGTCAGGTAGTTGCACGCTCTGGAGATCTCCCCGATGTAGCGTTCGAAGACATCACGCTTCTGCGCATCGCGTTTCATCCGTTGGCGCCGTCGGATGTACTGTCCGAGCTTGCGGCCGCATTCCTGCAGCGCCAGCGACATCTCCTTGCGGATCTCGTCATAGTCCGCGATCGCGTCCTTCGACTCGCTCGTAAACGGCACCCACACACTCGCCATATGGATCATCACCACAAGCGGCCCAACAGGGAGTCCTCCGCGGGGTTGCTGCATGCCGTAGTTCTTCCATGAGGTCTCGACGACGGACTTGAACGACGAACAGGCGCTCTGCTGATGCAGCAGCGGGACGCGGTTCGCGTAGCGGATCACGCGTGCCTGCTGGTCCCCAGGAAGATCACCCCCAAACGCGATCGCCGCTTCGATCTGGAACGGATTCCCGCGATACACGCTCGGCTTGCGCGTTGAAGCCGTGTAGAACTCCGCCTTGACGCCTTTGAGCAGTCCCGCGAGCATCTGCTTGACACCGATCGGTGAGAGACAGTCCGTGGGGGGGCTGCGGAGCTTTGCTTCTTGGAGCGCTTTGTAGATCTTCTCGGCGTCCTTCGACTCTATGGTCTTGACCCAAGTCTGACCTGAGTACGACTTCTTCGAGTTTGACGCAGCAGCCGTGACTTCCTTGACCGTCGAAGGCGGGACTCGACAAAACTCCTTTTTGAAGAATCCAGCGAGTTGCTTCTCAGTCGTTTTGTTGAGCATCGTGAGGAAGGTACCCAACTCCACGCCGTAGGGGTGGGGTTTGATCTCTTCCGTCTCAGGGGGGAGTTCGTCCACGGTGCGCGGATACACGATCCGATCACTGAACTCTTGCGTGCGGACGATGCCTTGCTCGTCGGCTTCGACGCCATCATTCGCTTCAGCGAGATCAGGATTCTCTCCGGCTTTGTCAGGCGGGATGAAGGTGATCGAGCAGTGGGGGTTGGAGATCGCGGTCTGCTCAAGGTACGTCTCGACGGAGCCCTTGCCTCGGAAGAACTTCGCTTCCATCTCGATCGCGACGCGCGTCCCTGTGTTGTTTGGGAAGTCATCTGTCTCGACATCGACGGTGACTTCTGGTTTGTTCTTGGTCGTGTCCATCGCGAGTTCGAGATGGTGCGCCGGCTTGTTCTTCTTTGGTCGTGTGGTGATGACCATCGGCTTGCCGGTTGTCATCAAGCCGTACATGCCCGCAGCGGAGATCCCGATCCCTTGCTGTCCGCGTGACATTTTGAGTCGATGGAACTTGGAGCCGTAAAGGAGTCGTCCGAAGATGTTCTCGACCTGCTTGCGGACAATGCCGGGGCCGTTGTCCGTGATGGTGACGATGTAGCGTCCCGGCTTTGAAGCATGCGGCGGGGGGGTGATCTCTTCGATTTTGACTTCGATTTCCGGAAGGATCCCGGCTTCCTCGCACGCATCGAGCGCGTTGTCCACGGCTTCTTTCACAGTGGTCAGCAGTGCTTTGCGTGGATTGTCGAACCCCAGCAGGTGCCTGTTCTTCGCGAAGAACTCCGAGACGGAGATATCGCGTTGTTTGGACGCCATCGACTCAGCGTCGGCTTTGGTTCGTTTCGTACCTTTGGCCATTCCACCCTCCTTGGCGGGGCATTCAATTCAAGATCTAAAGGTAGAGCATACCCGATTCGTCCCGATTCTGCCCGATTTGGAGCAAATGAAACATCGAGCAAACCCATACAAACTGCCGATCGTACCCAGAGCGTGAGCGATTCAGATCCCAATCCGTCACCACCTCCCACGACGCTCCTCGTTCCCTGCCACAGTTGTGGATACGACATCCCAAGGAAGATCGGTGAGATCTGTCCAGAGTGCAATAGCAGCTGGACACCAGCGTGTGAAGTGCGTGAACCGGCTCGTCGATCGGTGGTCGTTGACTTTGCGCACACACTCAAAGCCGCTGGGGTCGCTTGGTTTATCACTCTGTTTGTTTACGGCGTAGGTGCCACGATCGGGGCGATGGGAGGATCGGCGCTCCCGTTCTTGTTTGTACTCTTTGGGATCGGATCGGGAGTATTCGTTTCAAATGCAGTTGGTGTAGGGATATGCAAACTCGGTCCGGAGCATCAGTTCAAGCTGATTGCTTCGGTCTGGGTGAAGAAGTTGTATTGGCTTCATATGCCGTGGATATCGATCGCGGCGTTCACAGTTGTTGGGACGATGCTCGCGATTGTTCTACGCGTCATACCAGTCCATACAGAAGACTGGTTGTTTGTGATTGTGCTCATCGAACTCATCTTGTGGGGGTTGTGCTGTATGTTCGCATTGATCAACTGGTTCATAGTGTACAGCGATCAGCGAAAAGAACTCGGGATCAAGGATGACAAGCCTGTCGCGCCATTGCACATGATCTTCGCGATCATAATCTGGCTCGGTTGTGTCGGAGTCGGTTTCTTCGGAGGCATACTGGGGGCATTGTTCATGGGATTCGCTTCCGGGATCAATCCAAGCGATTTTTAGTTCTACGCCGTTCAGAAAGCATCGATCATGCCGAATCCAATAGTCCCCAATCAAGATCAAATCGATGCATTTATTACTCGATTTCGTTCGTCGAATCCACTCAGTGATCCTGATATCCACAGCAAAGCGGTCGTCACAGACTACTTCGGTGACTCCCCAGAGATGGCAGACCGATTGCTCCAACTTGTACTCAATGGAACGAAGATCGCGACTTGCTCATCAAAGTGGGAGTGGGAGCATGAGAATGAGATGCCACTCACTCCTGGAACACTTGCTGTGATTCTTGATGGGGCAGGGAATGCTCGATGTATCCTTGAGACGCTCTCAGTCACGCCTACACCCTTCTGCGATGTTGACGAGCAGTTTGCCTATGACGAGGGTGAGGGAGAGAGGACACTCGACTGGTGGAGGCAAGCACACTGGGAGTTCTTCTCCAGAACACTTCCCAAAATCGGGAAACGACCCAGCGAGGACATGATCTTGCTTTGTGAACGATTCAGGGTCATTTATCAAGAAGATTGAGCACAATCTCCTCGCTCAATCACCCATCTGAAACTTGGACACGATCAATGCAGACGCTATGATTCTAACCGCGCCGGAAACAGCCTTCGGCGACCACAATACACAGAAAAACACCGGAGCCATCCAATGGAAACCACCCTCATTATCCTCAAGCCAGACGCAGTCCAACGCGGCCTCATGGGCAAGATCATCACCCGCTTCGAGGAAAAAGGCCTCGCGATCGTCGGGATGAAAATGATGACCATCTCCAAAGAACTCGCCGGGACTCACTACGCCGATCACGCTGGCAAGCCGTTCTACGACGGGCTCGTCGGATTCATGACCTCCTCCCCAGTCTGCGTCCTCGCTGTCCGCGGCGTCGGCGCCATCGCGATCGCACGCTCCATGATGGGCGCGACCTTCGGATCCAAAGCAGAAGCCGGCACCATCCGTGGTGACTTCGGTGTCTCCAACTCCTTCAACCTGATCCACGGCTCGGACTCCCCAGAAGCAGCCGCGAAGGAAATCGGCCTCTTCTTCGGAGAAGGCGACATCCAAGACCTCGATCGCGCGATCGAGGGCTGGGTCTACGACATGTCCGGCGGCGATCCTGAGTAAGCCGTCCGATATGGATACTTTCACTCAAAGAAGTATTCAAAATCAATCTGAATCATCGAGAAACCCCGGCAAATGTCGGGGTTTCTTCATACTCCGCGCCCCCTTATTTTCTTGCATCACAGGACAACCCCTGATACCCTAGCTCGAACAGAGCGGGGAACGCGATCGCGGTCAATCCAGTTACGGCTCCCAGGAGGATTCCAGAATGAATTGTCAGATGTTGATGCACGCCGCGACAGCGAGCGTGCTGGCGTGTTTCACGAGCATGACGCTCGCGATGGGGAGCTCAGACAATGGCGTCCAGTGGGACCTGCTGAGCCATGAAACGCGCTATGACCTCAGACCACTCGTTCCGATGGATGGCGAGTCATTCGACGTCCAGCTCTTCGCCGACCAAGGCGACCTCACCAGCGCCCGCGTCGGGTACTGGGTCGATGGCACCTTCGTCGGCTGGGTCGATGCAATCAACAGCGGGGTCCAGGGACCCAAAGCCGTGTGGTCCGCGACGATCCCGAGCACCGCTGGGACCGAAGTGCAATACGTCTACGAACTGACCGACGGCAGCGACACTGATTTCATCGGACCAGACGGCCCAAGCGATGCGGAACCTGCGAATACATTCGTGGTCAACTTCGACACCCTCGAGCACGCACGCATGGGCGCAACCCCAGTTGAAGGCGGCACCGTCTTCCGTGTCTGGGCGCCGACACGATCCAATGTCCAAGTCCGCGGCGAGTTCAACGGCTGGAACGTCGGCGACGCACTAACCAAGGTCGGAGAGGACTTCATCGGATTCGTCGAGGGCGCTGAAGCAGGGGACATGTACAAGTTCTTCTTCAACAACACCCACTGGAACACCGATCCCCACGCCGCGGCTCTGGTTCCGGGTGACAACCTCAACGCCAGAATTACCGACCCGTTTGCTTATGAGTGGCAGCACGACGACTTCGTCGCGGCGCCGCTCGATGAGTGGGTCGTGTACCAACTCCACGTCGGATCATTCTCCGGGCGCAACGATCCCGCAGGACCTGCAGGCAATCCGAGCGGCTACCGCGATGTTGGCGATCGCGCCTCGCATCTTTCTGAGCTCGGCGTCAACGTCGTCATGCTCAACCCAATCAACGAGTTCCCAGGGAGCCACTCAGGTGGATACAACCCGATCTCCGTGTTCGCATGGGAAGATGCGCTCGGGACTCCTGATGATCTCAAATACATGATCGATCAGCTCCACGGCGAAGGCATCGCGGTGATCCTCGATGTCGTCTGGAATCACCTCTCACCGACCGACAACTTTCTCTGGAACTTCGACGGATCGCAGCAGTACTTCGATGCCAACGCGCAGGACACCCCTTGGGGCGCTCAAGCAGACTTCGACAAGCAAGGCGTCACGGATTACTACCTCGACTCCGTCTACCACGTCATGGGCGAGTTCCGCATGGATGGCTACCGACAAGACGCGGTCATGGCGATGACCGACTCCGGATGGACGGCACAGTGGAACTCCGGACAGAACCTGATGCGTCAGATGAACCGCATCATCAATCGTCGTTACTCTGACGCGCAGACCATCGCGGAGATCTACATCGATTCCGACTGGGTCCAGTCCGGCATCGAGTTCGATTCCCAGTACCACAACAGCTTCAAGAACTCCATCCGTGATGCGATCTTTGGTGCATCGTTCGGGAGTCCGAACATCGCGGGAACCGCCGCGGCTCTGGACGGGACAGGGAGCGTGAGCGGGACGGAGGTCTTCAACTACTTCGAGCTCCATGACGACGCTTGGCCTCTCAACGGACACGAGCGAGCCGTCAAGGTGATCGATACCACAGCTCCCAACGACGACATCTTCGCACGAGGACGCACGACCCTCGCTCAGACCCTCACCCTGCTCAGCAAGGGCATCCCAGGCATCCTCCAGGGAACCGAATGGCTCGAGAACGACGGCTGGGAAGAGAGCAAGATCGACTGGTCACACAAGACAACGTACAACGGCGTCTTCCAGATGTACCGCGACATCATCGCGCTGCGGACCTCCGAGCCCGCGCTGCGAGCGAACGAAAACGCGTGGGTCTTCCACTCCAACAACAGCGCCGATGTGCTCGCGATGGAACGCTGGATTTTGGGTGGTGACAGCTTCGTCATCGTCGCGAACTTCTCCAACGACGACCAGCTCGGATACCGACTCGGTCTCCCTCGCGAAGGACAGTGGGACGTGGTGCTCAACACGCAGGACAGCATCTACTCTGGAAGCGGGGTTGGCACCAGCGGATCGATCGCGAGCGAAGCGATCGCCAATGGGCCGCACGCTCAGTCCGCTGAGTTAGATATCCCAGCGATGGGTGTGCTGATCCTCCAGCACAGTGTCGCCGCTGTGTGTGAAGCGGACCTGACTGGAGAGGGTGACCTGAACTTCCTCGATGTCTCCGAGTTCCTCGCGGCGTTCTCTATGGAAGATCCCCAAGCGGACTTCAACGCTGACGGCTTGTACAACTTCCTCGATGTCTCCGCGTTCCTCGCGGCATTCGCGGCGGGCTGCCCGTAAGCGACCTCACATCTGAATGCAATAAAAGAACCCCGACCATGAGTCGGGGTTCTTTGTTCAATATCCGATTTGACTTGATCAGCTTGTCACGGCTGGGGCGATCTTCGCGATCACGGCGGAGTCGAACTCCTGCTCGGCTTCAACGACAATCTGCTCTGCAATCTCGCGGCGATGGATCTCGACATCGCGAGGGAAATCGAACGCGACGCGGACGCGTTCTCCCTTGACGGAAGCAATCCGCACAACCCCGATGGGGTTCTTTGGATCGCCGATCACAACTTCTTCGCCTTCCCGTCTCGTAATGACAAGCATCCCTGGCTCCATATCTGCCCCGAGCATCGATGCCGGGGTGAAGTGCAGTATATCGAGATCCCAACCCCACGCCAAGCAAATTCCCCAAGCAACTGCTATATCAGAGATTAGGAATCACTTACCCACAAAACTACCCACAGAGAACCCACAAACGCGGTTTTGACGCATCTGCTGCACTCCGCTACTGATAGAGAATTGGATACAAGTTCTCAACTGACCGCTTCGACCTTGGTGATCTCAGGGATCCGATCCTTGAGCGTCCGCTCGATCCCGATCCGCAGGGTCATGTCCGATGAGGGGCATCCGACGCATGCGCCGTGCATCCGGATCGAGACGACACCCTCGTCGCTGACCTCGACGAACTCGATATCGCCGCCGTCGGACTGGACGGCTGGACGGATCAAATCAATCACGGCACTGACTCGGTCGCTCAGAGATGTGGACTGCGTTTCCATAGACCAATGATAGCCCGATTGATGAGGGCATACACTCGCGTATGACCATTGCCCGTGTTTCAACCGTTCTGATGCTTGTTCTGATCCCGATGCTGTGGGGGTGCTCCGCTGGATCGCAGTACAAGCCCACCGGAAACCCGATCCTCGATGTCCGCAACCCCGATCTGCTCGAACGCGATCGGATCGCAGCCGCGGAGCAAGCGTGGGCCGAGGTCGTCGAGGGGACACGCGTTAGAGAGCGTACTCGACAAGCATTCAAGAACCTCGCGTGGTCCAGCGCGACCTCTCCGGATCTCCGCTACACCACGCTCGATCTGCTCATGTCCGACACCTCTCCAGAAGGAGACGCGGACTCGGCGCGCATGGCGCGATTGATCCTTCCGACAGAGGAAGACCGACAAGCCGTCCGGATCATCCTCCAGCACGCGATCCGCGCGAAGTGGCAGGGACTGATGCCGGCGATCGTGCGTTCGTATGCGCGCGTGACTCCGGGATATCCAGATGAGCAGCGCATGGAGCGCAAAGCGATCGAGGCGCTCGAGCCGGGACAACCGATCGAAGCGGTGGTGTTCAGTGTGTTCCTCGATCCGCTCAAGGGCGCATCGGACAGGGAAGAACGCTCCATCCTCCGCGTCGCGGATCGCACGCGCGATGACGCGTGGGGATTGCTGGGACGACTCGACGCGGACGGCTCGCAGCGCGTGCGACTGCTCGAATCCAACATGACCCCAAGCGCCACAGACCAAGGCACGCAGCAAACACTCGACGATCTCCGCGCGTGCTGGAATGACTTCGGGATTCTCCCGAACCAAGCGATGGAACTCGCGTGGTTGCGTCAGCTCCGTCACGCGACCGATGACGACTGGGCCGCGAAGAACGTGGTCTGGTGGGACGAGTCCCGGCTCGCCGTGTCGTACCTCCGAGGCAATCAGCGCGATGACCTCGAACTGCGTCACCTCGAAGCACTCCGCTGGGCACGTTCGAATCGCTCGGATTGGTTCTCAATGAGCCGGCAGCAACTGATTGACGAGATCCGCGATCGTCAGAACGCTCGTACGCTGATTCGTCGCAAGCCCGACAAGGGGCAGCCGTCTCGCAGAGAGCGCATCGAGGATTGGCAGAACCAACTAAGCTGGGCCGATCTGCTCACGATCTTGGTGATCGATGAAGCCGTGCGATCTGAAGCGGTCGTCGAGAAGCTCTATGTGCAGCGGGCGCTGGACAAGAAGGACACCAAAACCGAATACGGCGGGATCATCGATGTCGACAACGCGAACGCGACGCACCGAGCCGTGCTGTTCCGTCCGCGGGCGCGGGATCGTGTGAGCGATGAGCGATTCGTCGCGAGCGACGACATGATGCGTTTCTCGGATCGTGCACTGGCGCACTACCACTTCCACGCGAACGAGCGCAACAACGAGAAATACGCCGGCCCTTCCTACGCGGACTTCATCAACGCGGAGAACTCCGGGCGCACCTCGGTCGTTTTCACCTCGATCAAAGAGGATGAGCTCAATGTGGATCTGTACCAGCCCGATGGGGTGGTGATTGATCTTGGGATCATTCGGCCGATCGGAAAGTGATCACAATCCAAGCAAGACCTCGTCGGCGGGGACACTGACCTGCCGCTGTCGCTTGAGTTTCTTCTCAGGCATGCTCCCGAGCTCGTAGATCGTTGGGAGGTAGGTCTCTCCGCGATTGGGGTCTGTGGATTTGAGGATGACCTCGTCGGTGCCGTTCCAGTGGATGAGGTCGATTGAGCCGTCCATGCGTTCGACGAGCGCGTTGCAGTTCGCGAGATCGGTCCAGCATCCCGAGTTGAGGTAGTCTGGTCCGTCCTCATTGACTTTGATTTCTGGGTTATGGATGTGTCCGCAGATGATGCCGTCGTATCCGTGGTCTTTCGCGTAGTGGAGGGCGCTCTCCTCGAAGTTCCCGATGATCATCGTTGCTTTCTTGACCTTGAGCTTGATGAACTTGGAGAGCGACCAGTAGCGCATCCCGAGTCGGCGGCGGATGCGGTTGACGATGCGATTGATCCAGATGAGCGTCTCGTATCCGCGATCGCCGAGCTTTGAGAGCCAGGGAGCGGTGCGGGTGACGAGGTCGAACTGATGCCCGTGCAGGATCAGGTACCGTTTCCCGTCCGCCGCAGTATGCTCGACGCGCTCGGCGAGATTGATCTGACCAAAGTCACGCGCCGCGTCGTTGTCCCCAAGGAAGTGCATGAGGAACTCGTCGTGGTTGCCGATGGTCAGATGGATCGGGGTGTCCTTCTTCGCGAGCTTGAGCAGACGCTGAACAACGTTGATGTGTTCCTGTGTGTTCTTTGCTTTGAGGAGTCCCGCTTGTTTCCAGCGCCAGATATCGATGATGTCTCCGTTGAGGTAGAGCGCATCGAACTCGTTCTTCTTGAGAAAGCTGTAGATCAACTCCGTCTCGGCCTTCTTGCTCCCAAGGTGGAGGTCCGAGATCCAGCACGCACGATACCGCATGGCAACTCCCAATGATGTAATTCTGTCGTCTTGACTCGTAAGTCATCCGTGACGCGAGCAAGCCGTAGGTGCTTCACTCGCCGAACTTTACCTTTGGATGCGGATGGTTTGTGCTTGAAAGTCCAAAGCTCACACAACCTTAATCGCATTGACCGAATCTGCATACTTGGGGCGCGAGTGCAAAAATCTTCAACACAAAACATGCCCTATTGGTTTTAAACCACGATCGGAAAAAATCCCCGCTCACGCGCTTGGAAGGGCGATTTTGGGGCTCGTAGACTCCCGCGTGACTCTTAACCAACAAGAACAACTCATCGCACAGACCATCGCTTCCAAAGCCGATGCGCTGCTCGAAGACCTGATCCTCCACGTCGGCACCAAAACCGGAGGATTCAACGAGCAAGGCATCGAGCACACGCGCGAGCTGCTGACCTCCAGACTGGTCGCACTTGGAGCGAAGCACACGCAGGTCGATCCCGATCCCAAGCCCGAATGGTTGCTTGGTGGGAAGCCCGGCGGGTACATGCCGACCACCTCGATCTGCGAGCGTCTCAATGGTGCTCAGTCCGGACGAGTCCTCATCGCGGGACACATGGACACGGTCCACGATCCGGCATCCGATTTCAACAAGCTCACGATCTCCGACGACGGCAAGACCGCGCTGGGACCAGGATGTGTGGACATGAAGGGCGGACTGGTGATCGCCGTCGCGGCCCTCGAAGCACTCGAAGAATGCGGCGTCAGCGCCAACTGGACCTTCTCGCTCAACGCGGACGAAGAGACCGGCACATACCACTCCGCTCAAGCACTCCGCGATCAAGCGAAGCTCCACGATTTCGGACTGGCGCTCGAACCCGCGATGCCGGGAGGGGAGCTGGTCGTCGAACGCATGGGCGCGGGACAGTTCATGATCGAAACCTTCGGCAAATCCGCGCATGTCGGACGAGCATTCACCGATGGGATCTCCGCGGTCACCAAGCTCGGAGAGTGTCTTGTTGCGGTGGGGGACATGCCTGATCCGGAAAGAGGACGCATCCTCAATATCGGACCACTCAAAGGTGGGCCTGTGACCAATGGGGTCCCGGATCATGCGCAGGCGTGGGGGAATGTGCGATTCCCGGATCAGACAATTGCCGATGAAATAGCGACCATGCTCGATGCACTCAACACATCCGGAGAAACGCTCCCAGGAGTCAAGGTGCATCGCAGCTTCAATCGTCCTGCCAAGCCGATGATCCCAGCGACCGAGTCACTCGCGCTCCAAGCACGCGCAGTCGCGGAGGGGCTCGGACAGAAGCTGCCGTTCGCGAAAACCGGCGGGGTCTGCGACGGCAACATCCTCCAGCAAGCTGGACTCCCAACCATTGATACCCTCGGGGTACGCGGAGGCGGTCTCCACACCCCCGACGAATGGATCGAAATCCCAAGTCTCGTTGAACGCTGCCAGTTGCTCGCGATCCTGATCGCAAGACTCAGTGCAGGCGGTTCCGAATCGTAAAGGTTATTTGTAAACAGAAGGACTCAATGAGATGACCACCCAAACCCAGACCGACACCACCGGAACCAAGCTGCTCAACGATCAGACCATCCACGATACCTTCAACACCATCGTGGATCAGGTATCGCAGTACAGCGCCCAGATCACGGACGTTCGGCCGCCGAATCCGGATCTCGCATCGAGTTTCGACGACATGCTCCAGGAAGCCGGACGCATCAAGGGACGTCCGCTGCTCTACCCATCCATCAGCTCCGGTGTCGGCAACGGCGCACTGGTCGAGATGGCGGACGGGTCCGTCAAGTGGGACATGCTCACAGGGATCGGTGTCCACTTCATGGGACACTCCAATCCCAAGGTCATCAAAGCACAGCTCGACGCGGCGCTGCTCGACACGACCAAGCACGGCAACCTCCAAACCTCGTACGACGCCGTCGAGTTCGGGAAGCGGCTCGTAGATCGTGCCGCAAAGACCTCGAACCTCGCGCACGCATTCGTGACTACTTCCGGCGCGATGGCGAATGAATCGGCGATCAAAGTCTGTTACCAGAAGCACGCACCCGCATCACGCGTGCTTGCGTTTGAGCACTGCTTCATGGGACGCTCCGTCACCATGGCGCAGATCGGTGACAGCGCCGGCGGTCGTCAGGGTGTCCCGCTCTCCACACAGGTCGATTACATCCCGTTCTACGATCCCGCCCGCGCCGAGCAGATGGGTGGCGAGACGAAGTTCATCGATTACGCGGTGAAGCGTCTCGAGAAGTATGTCAGCAGATACCCGAAGCAGCACTCATGCTTCATCTTCGAGCTTGTCCAAGGCGAAGGCGGCTTCAATGTTGCATCGCGTGACTACTTCACAGCACTCATGGACATCTGCAAAGCGAATGACATCGCGATCTGGGACGATGAGATACAGTCCTTCGGACGCACCGAGGAGATGTTCGCGTACGAGATGTACGACCTAGGGGAGTACATCGATGTCTTCTGTGTCGGAAAGATGACCCAAGCATGCGCGACGATGTACACCGAAGAGTACAACCCGAAACCAGGTTTGCTCTCAGGGACCTTCACCGGTGCGACCGTGGACTTTACCGCAGGCAACGCGCTGCTCGACGAGTTGATGTCCGGCGATTACTACGGCAAGGACGGCAAGTTCGCTCAGCACCACGCCGAGTTCCGCAAGCAGGTCCAGATCCTCGCCGACAAACATCCCGAATGGTTTCCTTCGGGTGACACATTCACTGACCTTGCCGGCGGTGTTGGCGGCATGATGCGTTTCACCCCATTTGGAGGAGATCGCGCCAAGGTCATCGCGGCGTGTAAAGCCGCGTACGACGAGGGTGTGATCTGCTTCTGGTGTGGTCACGGCCCATTCCATGTCCGCATGCTCCCGCCGCTTCCAGTGATGAAGATGGAAGACTGGTCACGCGTGTTCGAGAGTCTTGAGCGTGCACTCGCGAAGGTCGCTGGATAATCGATCAAGGAGCTACCGATGGATCGACTCCGCGAAGCACGACGCGATGATATCGATACCCTGCTTGAGCTGGCGCACACAGGGAACTTCATCAATCTCCCGCCCTTCAAAGAGAAGATCGCGGAGATGCTGGAGATTTCCTCGCGGAGTTTCGATGCAGTTCGCGAACAAGGCGTCCCCAGTGATGGGCATGATCGTACGCACGACAACTACATGTTCGTTCTTGAGGACGAGGATGGCAAGTGCCTGGGAACCTCAGCAATCCGAGGCGGGATGATTGCGACCGATCATCCGAATCTCTCGTATCAGCTTCTGAAGCTTGTACGCGAATCGACGCTGCTCTCGAAGAAGGTGCATCAGCCCGATCAGCCCGACAACGATCACGATCGCATGATCGTCTCTGGACGCATGGAGCATGTCTACGCGATCCTCTTCCAAGACAACGCATGCCCGACCGAACTCGGCGGGAATGTCATGCGCCACGATGCACGCGGACGCGGTCTCGGGAAACTCCTGAGCTACACGCGCTTCCACTACCTCAAGCGTCATCCAGAGTGGTTCTCTGATCGGATCCTCGCGGAGATGATGGCCCCGATCGACGAGTACAACGACGGCACCCCATTCTGGCGCGGCGTGATCCGTAAGTTCATCAACATGTCCTACGAGGACGCGGACCGACTCTCGACGCATCAGGACAAGCGTGAGTTTATGTACGAACTGCTCCCGAAGTTTGTGAATCTCTCGCTGCTCTCTGATGATGTCCTGACCTCGCTCGGAGCAGTTGGTGTCGCGACGCGACCCGCCGCGGAGATGCTCAAGGATGTCGGATTCACGATCACACATCGGATTGACCCGTTTGATGCCGGTCCTCACCTTGAGATGCGCTTGAGTAATCTCAAAGCACTCGCATGCGCCAAAACGCGTGTCAAGATCGGTGAGCCGGGATCAGACGCGATCGATGCGATCGTTTCGACCGAAGACTCGGATGATGGCTTTGTCGCGGTGCGAACACGCGTCGAGCATCCATTCACGCAAGACGAGGGGGGTGCCCCAGTCATCATCGGACACAACGCCGCGAACGCACTGAAGATCGCCAATGGCGCGATGGTTACAGTCAGTCCGATGCGATTCCAGCCCGATCGTCCGCGTCCGGCGCCGATCCCTTCGATCCACCTTCGCGACGAGATTAAGTCTCGTAGACCAGATGTCGCAGGCACAAAGCTTGCGGCTTTGCCGTTCAGTGATGTCGCGAAGATTATCCAAGACCATGTCGATCGCATCGCTGCAGAACTCAGCGAGTAAGCGAACGATTCCATCCATAGATTGGAGTTCATCATGCCCAACAATCACGCCGCGCTCGCATCGCTCCCGAGCAATCTGATCAAGAACCAATGGCTCCCGATCCCAGGAAACGCGATCGTCTCGACGATGCCCGCGAATCCTTCGCAAGTCATCTGGTCCGGATCTTCGAGTGTGGAAGCCGTTGAGCAAGCGATCCGGAGCGCTCGTGAAGCACTCCCAGCATGGTCACGGACCCCGATCGAAGATCGGATCAAAGTCCTCCGAAGATTTCAAGAGATCGCCCAATCAAAGGTCGAGGAGCTTGGCGAGCTGATCTCCGATGAGACGGGCAAAGCACAGTGGGAATCCAAAGCCGAAGCGGGACTTGTTCCCGGCAAGGTGGACATCACACTCGAAGAAGGCGAGTTCAGCGGACGGCATCGCGTGAGTGATTTCAGCTTCCCGCTCAACGACACCAAGAACGCACGCTGCTTGTTCAAACCCCACGGTGTGATGGCGGTGGTCGGTCCATTCAACTTCCCAGCGCACCTCCCCAACGGGCACATCATCCCCGCGCTGCTTACTGGGAACACCATCGTGTTCAAGCCCTCGGACAAGACCCCAGCCGTCGGTCAGTTCATCGCGGAGATGTATCAGCAGGCTCTGGAGGACTGCGGTGCTCCAGCAGGTGTTTTTAATATGGTGCAAGGCGCTGTCGATGAGTCGATCGCGTTGTGTTCGAGTGATCAGGTTGATGGTGTGTTGTTCACTGGATCATGGGCCGCGGGTCGGGCGATCACGCAAGCGAATCTCGATCAGCCCGGGAAGATCATCGCGCTGGAGATGGGGGGCAACAACCCCGCGATCATCATGCCCGACGCGGACCTCTACCAAGCGGTGGTTGAGGTGACGCGATGTGCCTTCAACACCACCGGTCAGCGCTGCACGAGCACGCGCCGATTGATTGTGCATGAAGACGTCGCGGACAAGGTGATTCCCGCGATTGTCAAAGCTGCGTCGAATCTGACGATTGGTGATCCGAGTGCTCCTGAACCGGTGTTCATGGGGCCGATTATTTCCGAAGAAGCACGCGAGCAGGTCTTCGCATTCGAACGCAAGGTTGTCGAAGCGGGAGGGCGCTTGTTGCTCGAATCAACTTCGCTCCCGAATCACGAAGGGTGGTACTGCACGCCGAGCATCATTGAAGTTCCTGAGTTCACGCTCGGAGTGGATGATTGCGGATGCGACGAAGAAGTGTTTGGTCCATTGCTGCGGATCACGACGGTCAAGTCCCTCGACGAAGCGATCCAGCAAGCCAACGCGACACGCTATGGCTTGAGTGCTTCGATCTTCACGGCAGACAAAGAATCCCAAGAGCGATTCGTCTCAGAATGTCGTGCGGGATGTCTGAACATCAACTGCGGGACCGCTGGAGCGAGTTCCAAACTCCCGTTTGGTGGACTCGGATACTCCGGGAACCACCGACCAGCTGGCGCGTTCGCGCTGGACTACACCGCGTATCCAGTCGCGAGCATGGAAGAGACCGGCGATGCGTGTCTGATCCCGAACGGGATGCGCGTCGAGCGTGATTGGATTCAATAAGTTCTCACCCTGAGTTTCGACGAAGATTCAGCACGAGCTCGACTTCACCTACTGGACGGTTGAGCTTGTTGGCGATCTCCATCGCGTTGAGTCCTTGCACCGCCAGTTCATCGACCTGCTCTGGGAAGGTCATCTCCTTCGCAGGACGACTTGGTTGCTCGGGATGATTCGCAGAACGCTCCATCGGTCCGCGTTCGAACCGATACGGCGGTTGTCCATCTTCTGCAGTAGAATCTTGGGCTTCTGAGAATCGTTCTGCTCTATCCTGATCGAGTCGAGCGCGATCGAGTGCTTCAGGAGGGACGCCTCGGCTCTCTGTGGATTGATTCGACTGTGCTTGCTCAAGCTGTTCTTTGCTCGCTCGCTCGAGTTGAGCAATCCGCTCATTCGCTTCTTGCAGTAGGATCTCAATCTTCGCGGCTTTGTTATCCAATACCGCGCCCATTCGTCGAGTGAGGTCCTCCGCTTCGACCACCGCTCGCTGAGCAGGTTCCATGCTGACATGCGCCTGACGATTGAGCTTCTCGATCCGCTCGGATGGCTGCCCCATCGTGTGGGTCTGGAGCTTGCGTTTGGAGGATGAACGACGAAGCGCCCGCATCAACACGATCAGCGCGAGCAGGATCCCCATCAGCATGAGCATCGATGGAACGATCGGGTTCTCTTGCCCTTTCATCCATGTCTGGAAGAAGCTCTCGCCAGTTGACCCCTCAATGGAATGTTCGGTCATGCCTTGATCAATCGTCTGGGGTGGCTCAGTCTGGGCCGTGAACTCCTGCTCTGAAGTCAGAGCACCCTCGCTGGTCATCTGATCCTGTGAGTCGCTCGCAACATCAGACTGGATCTCTGTTTGAGACTCAGTGCTGGGTGTATTTGATGGGGGTTGGGGTCCAAGCTGCACGATCGATTCCTTCTTGCTCCCACCACAATATCATGTCCACATGGACTCTGCCCGATCTGAGCATCCAGAATCGATCCGAGCGAGGGAAAGTGGGATAGAAATGTCCCGTAAACACCCCATCGCGGCGCGGGTCCTGCGCCGTTGGAGGGAACTCACAGGAGGGACCCAAGCTCGCGATGACCAACGGCGCACGCTTGTCGCGTGTTCTGGAGGAGCGGATTCGACGGCTCTGAGTGCGATCCTGTCGCTCGTGACCCCGAAGCCTGTCCTCATGCACATCGTGCATGACCTGCGTGAACGATCACTCGCAGATGCTGATCGGGAATCGTGCGAGCAACTCGCGGCTCGATTGGGTTGCGAGTTCCATGCACACCCCATTCAAGTCGCGGAGCAAGCCGGGAATACGGAGTCGAACGCGCGTGACGTACGTTACAAGGCGTTGCTCAAGACAGCATCCGATCTTGGGATTGACTATCTCGCGACTGGTCACCACGCCGACGATCAACTCGAAACAATGATGATGAATCTCTCGCGAGGGTGTGGCGTGCGAGGTCTCTCAGGGGTCCACGATGCACGCATTCAGGATGGAGTCCGAATCATCCGTCCGATGCTCGTGATTACGCATGATGAAGCGATTGAGTACTGCGAGCAGCACGATCTCGCGTATGTCCATGATCACACCAACGACGACCAAAGCATGACACGAAACGCGATTCGTCATCAACTGCTCCCGGCGATGCGAGCGATTGATCCAGAGATTGCTCTGCGTGCCTCCAGTACGGCTGATGCGTGCCGATCAACGCAGAGGGGGCTCCGAGCGTTGGTCCAATCACATGTTTGGTCAAAGGGGCAGCAATCGGAATACTCAATCCACTTCGAGCGTTCCTCGCTGAGCATCCACGAGGATGCGGTGATCATCGAAGTGATCTACCTGTGCATCGAATACCTAAACGAATCCAAGGGACACGATCGACTCAATCAGCAATCTCTCCACGACGCGTGTCAAGCGATCAAAGATGATTCAACAGAGAAGCGAATGTGCCGAGTGGGACCTATCGTCATCGAGGTCCACGCTTCGAAGGTTGCGTTCATGAGTGCCCATCGGAGTTTGGATCCAGGTCTGGATAAAGGAGTTCCCAATGACTGAATCTGCGCCAACCGTCACCCTCGTGGGACACTGCCGACCTGATATGTTCGCGCTCACCTCCGCGATCCGAGGATTCATCCCCTCCGCGAATGTGGTCGGGATTAACGATGAGTCTCAGATCAATGAGCCCACGGATCTCTATGTCGTCAACCGTATCCTCGACGGCTCGTTCGCCAACGAATCAGGGATCGAGCTGATCCGGAATCTGGGTGAGGGCGCCGCTCCCGCGATGCTCATCACCAACATCGAAGAACACGCACAGACAGCGCTCCAGGTGGGCGCTGTTCCGGGGTTTGGCAAAGCAAACATGCGGAGCCCCGAAGCACAGGCCGCGCTGCTCGCAGCGCTCAAGATTGAAAGCACAGCAGAATGATCGATACGAGTATCAAAGTCTCCGAATACCAAGCACGCCGCAAGAAGGTGCTGTCGGCACTCAAGGGCTCCGTCGGGGTCGTCTTCGCGGGAGACGGCGCGCCTCCATTGCGTGGTGAGTGGTTCCCAAACTTTGACTTCAAGTACCTCACAGGGATCAGCAACGAGCCCGGCGCGTGCGTGATCTTTGATCCGACCAATCCCGATCCAAGACGGAAGATCATGCTGCTGCTCAAGCCGGTCAATCCAGAGATGGATGTCTGGGATGGGTACCGCGATCTCGTCGACGAGAAGCTCCGCAAGAAGCTTGGCTTTGAGTCGATCTTCCGCACCAATTTCCTTCCCAGACTGCTCGGTGAAGCCGCGAAGCGGACCAAGTCGATGACCTGTCTCCATCCGCTGAGCACGTACACCCAACCAGTGTCTCCCGATCTGGACATCTTCCAGAAGCTCACTAGCCGAATCCCGGGGAGCTCGATCCAGGATCAATCCGAACTGATCACGAGTCATCGCATGGTCAAGAGCGCCGCGGAGCTCAAGCACATCCGCAGCGCGATCAAGGCGACTGCTGAAGGAATCGATCGCGTGCTCAGAGCATCCAAAGCGGGAATCAACGAGCGTCAGCTCCACAACACGCTCGTTTCGGGATTCACCGACATGGGCGCCAAGACCGTCGCGTTCAATCCGATCGTCGGCTCAGGGATCCGCTCCACAATCCTGCACTACAAAGAGAACGACCAGCTCACCTCCGACGGCGACCTCATGGTCCTCGACTGCGGCGCTGAGATCAACGGCTACGCATCAGACATCACACGCACCTTCCCAGTCAACGGCAAGTTCACCAAGCGACAGAAACAAGTCTACGAGATCGTCCTCAAAGCACAGAAAGCGTCCATCGCAGCCGTGAAGCCGGGAGCGACGATGGTGCAGGTCGATCAAGCGGCTCGCAAGGTCATCACCGACGCAGGATTCGGAGACTTCTTCCTCCACGGAATCGGTCACCACCTCGGACTCGAAACCCACGATCCCGGAATCCAGAGCGCCAAGCTCAAGCCTGGGATGGTCGTGACCATCGAGCCTGGGATTTACCTGCAAGACGAGAAGATCGGTATCCGCATCGAGGACGACATTCTCGTCACGAAGGACGGGCGACAGAACCTGTCGAGCGCGATCCCCAAGAGCGTCGCGGACATCGAAGCGGCGATGAAGAAGAAGTAATCAGCCAACCAGTTTCTTCGCGTCCGCGATCAGGCGATCGACTTCGTCGGGATCGTCGTAGCGGTAGAGGCCGATGACTGTGCGATCAGGTCCGAGCAGGATCAGACGCGTTGGGTGGTTGATGAGTCGGCCGTTGTCCTCGTCCTCGCTGGGATCACCCAGATCAAACTTGAGCCCCTCCATGACCATCTTGCGGACGATCGAGGGATCTCCAGTCGCGAACGCCCAGCGTTCCGCGTCGCAGCGGTAGTTGGTCGCGTACTGATCGATCACGGCCGGGGTGTCCACGTTCCCATCAATCGAGATGCTCATGAATCGCAGGTCCGTCCCCTCGGTCGCCATCTGCACGCGCAGCATCGACTGCGTCATCCCAGGACACCAGAGCGGACAACTCGTGAAGAAGAAATCGACGACGGTGTACTGACCATCGAGCGCTTCGTGCGTGATGGGTTCGCTGTAGCGATCCGTGAGCGTGAACTCAGGGACATAGAAGTCGGAGTACAGCGACGAGGAGTCCTCCGTCTCAAGCTCCTGCATCGGTTGGACAGTGCCGGCGCTTTGCTTGGACGACATCATGACGTACGCCAAGATCCCGAGAGAAGTGAGCATGAAGAGTCCGAGCGAGAGCGCGAGTGTCTTTGCATTCATGCGTCAGTTTAGACCCGCCGCGACGCTCGTCCCATGACCGCGATCGCGAGCACGACACACGCTCCAGCAAACGCGAAGGTGATCAGCCAATCCAGTCCAGAGGGCATTCCCTCGATCCCGACCATCCCGACGGACGATCGGATCGCTCCGTGCGCCCAGGTCAGCGGATTGCACAGCGCGATCACCCTCAGCCAACCCGCGGCATCGTTGATCGGGAAAACCGCTCCAGAGGTGAGCCACATCGGCATGAGGACTGCGTTCATGATGCCGTGGAATCCTTGGGACGAGTCCACGATCCACGCGAGTCCGAGTCCCAGTCCGATCAACGCGATGGAGATCAGCGCCAATCCAGTGCACGCGCCCAGGACACCAACCACACTCAGCTGCACCCCAAGGAACGGCAACGCCGCGAGGACGACCAATCCCTGCACCATCGCGACCAGTGCGCCAGCGCCGACCTTCCCGACCACAATGCTCCATCGAGGAGCCGGAGAGATCAACGCGGCTCGCAAGAACCCATCATGACGATCCTGAATCAACGAGATCGACGCAAAGATCGACGCGAACATGACCGTGAGCGACGCGACGCCGGGGATCATGTACGCCGTGAGGTTGGCATCCGTGTTGTCTTGTCCGATCGCGCTGGAGAACCCGCCGACGATGAAGATCCAGATCAGCATCGGGGTCAGCACACTCGCGATGATCCGCGAGGGTTGGCGCACCTGACGGATCAGCTCGCGTTTCCCAAGACCGATCGCTGCTTGGAAGCCGCTCATGCTGGACCTCCGATGCTCTCAGTAATCCCCGCGCGTGCGTGCCAGAGGTACACATCCTCCAGCGTGGGAGCCGCGAGCGTGACCGAGACGGGATCACCAGGCACCTGCGGAGCGTGCTGAGCGTCCGCGTGCGAGATCAGCACATCCGTTCCGCGATACACGCTTGGACACCCGATCTTCTTGCACCAGGATTCGAGTGCTTCATACTCACCCTCGTCCCGGAGCTGCACCCTCAGGACTCGTTCACCCAGCGCGTCGATGAGTTCGCTTGGTGAGCCGTCGACGACGATCTTGCCGTCACTCATGAGGATCACGCGATCCGCTTTGCTCGCTTCTTCAGTCAGATGCGTCGCAAACAGCACCGCCATGGACGACTCTGAGCGGATGGAATCAATCGCGGACCACAGCGAGGCACGCGCCTCGACATCCAGACCAGTCGTGGGTTCATCGAGCAGCAGCAATCTCGGACTCGGGAGCAGCGACCGCGCCAGATCCACACGTCGCTTGAGACCTCCAGAGAGCCGACGCACCTGCTGGTCGATCCGATCAGCGATCCCGAGCGTCTCAATGAGTGCTTGGGTGGAGCCGTTGATCGAGTCTTTGCTCATGCCGTGGAGATCACCCGCGAGCCGAAGGTTCTCACGCACCGTCAGCAGATCATCGAGCGCCGGCGTCTGAAAGACAATCCCCAATCCATTCTCGTATCCACGATGCACAGTCCCCTCATCAGGGAACACCGTCCCGCTCAGGACCCCCATGAGCGTGGACTTGCCCGCGCCGTTGGGGCCCAGCAGCGCGACAGACTCGTGTCCGATGCTCAGCGAGACGCGATCGAGCGCGACGCGATCGCCGTCCTTGTTGGGATAGACAACGCGGAGCTGGTCCACCTCAACGCAGTGCATCACAGCACCCCGCGGACAAACGCTTCGATGACAAACACCGCCATATACAGAGGCAGATGGACAATCGAACCAAAGAACACCACGCGAGCGGAGCGATCCGTCCGAAGACGAGCGAACCTGATCGACAGCCATACGAGCATCAATCCGAGCAGAACACCCGCGGCTCCTGTCGCCCAGCCGCTCAGCTCAGGGATGTATTTGAGCGGGAGCAGTGAGATCGGGATCAGCAGCAGCGACGAGAAGATCATCGCCGCGGCGGTGTGGTTCCCCGATTCATCGACACTTGGCAGCATCCGGAACCCGCCCTTGTCATAATCCACGCGGCACATCCACGCGATCGCAAAGAAGTGGGGGAGTTGCCACACAAACATCAGCGCGAACAGCATCAAACCGATCGGATCAGTCAACGGCTCAAACCCGATCCCAGGGGCTACCGCGGTCGTCCCGATCATCGTCGGAAGCGCGCCGGGAACAGCACCCACAAGCGTATTGGTGATCGTCTTGGTCTTGAGGGGCGTGTACATCACCACATAGCTGATTGTGGTGAAGACAGCAATCAGCGCGGGCATCAATCCCAGCGTCCACCACAGCACTCCCGATCCCACGATCGTGAGCAGCAATCCGAACCACAGCACAAACACCGGACTCAGCCGCGTCGATGGGATGGGACGCGTCTTGGTCCGATCCATAAGCGCATCGAGGTCCGATTCGTACCACATATTCAGCGCATTGGCACCTCCAGACGCGAGGGCTGTTCCGATGACGCATCCGATGATCATGATGATCCAGTTGCTCAATCCGGTCAGCTGATAGTGGAGGCCACCGATCAGCAATCCGACCAGAGCCGTGATCGTGACCAGCTTCGTGATCCCAGGCTTAGTGAGCTCCACGCACGCACTCAAGAGACTCGAAGTCATCGCTTCGTTGGTGTCCGTGCTCTTGTTTTCGCTGATGGCATCGCTCACAACAGATCGTAGCCCGATTCAATCAGGGGTTGGGACAACCAGATCAACCCAGACCGGGAAATGGTCCGAAGCGAACCCCTCATCGTCCAGCACGCCGTGCCTCCACACCCCAGCATCGAGGACCTCGCAATCCGACGAGGGCAGCACATAATCCACACGCAATCGGAAGGACGAGGTATCCATCTCATCAAGCCGCTCAACCCCGACGCACGAGCGGGGCTCAACATCCGGCGCGACCTGCTGACTGCTCAGCAGATATGTACCGATCGGATTCCCCAGAGAACTCCCGTCTACCGGATCCGCGTTCAGATCACCCAGAATCACGAAGGGCGCGTCATTTGCCAATCCGCCACGAACCCCAGCATCGTCGTAGAGCGATTCCTCGTCGTCGATGTACGCACGGATCAGCTTGATCTCGTCGCGATTCCGATGCTTGTTCCGCATCTCGGGACCATCAAACGCCGGCGGGGTGGGGTGGGAGATCAACGCATGCAGCACCGCTCCATTGGGGAGCGTGATCGGGACATCCGCGAAGGTCTTGGACGAGAGCCGAAAGATATCCCACGCTTGATCGCTGTAGTAGTTTGACCCATCCGGATTGGTTGGAGCGATCGCGCCTTGGAGGTCTTTCCACAGGAACTGCTGGAATGTCCTGGCGGCATCGGTGTTGATGGTGAGTCTCGGATCGACGAGCAGCGCCATGCCGTACTGTCCAGGGAACCCTCCGAATCCGAAGCAGTCCCCGCCGTAGTCTCGTTGCTGTTGGGTTTGTCTCGCGGTCTTGGGTGGGATGGTCGGATTAACCGTCCCCGAACCATCGAGATCGATCCCGCTGTGGACTCCGGTGTTGGTGGCAGGCGTGAAGCTGACCATATCGATGGGCTGCAGATCCGATGCTTGCGGGACCGCGAGGTAGTTGCGGAGAAACAATTCCGCGGTGCTCATCTGCTCGCTGGAATGGCCGTCTCCCCGCAGCGTTTCGATCTCGTTGAGCAGCAGCACATTGGGTCGAATCCGCTGGATGACCTCCGCGAGGCGCTGGAGCCGACGATTGTCTGGTTCAATCGCTTCGTTATGACGGACATCCTCGAGATTGAACGTCATCACGCGTATCAGGGTGTCCGCGCCAAGCGATGGAGCGCAAAGCACAAAGCCCAGCAGAATCGAGGCGAGCGGAATCCGTAAGCGTGCTATCATGCCCCTATTGAAGCAGCTCCAAGGCACCCAAGCCAGCGATCTGCACAATCTTGCCCCGATAGCTCAGCTGGATAGAGCAGCGGACTTCTAATCCGCAGGTCGTAGGTTCGAATCCTACTCGGGGTGTTTCCTATGCATGCGTCTCCCACATCAGATCCCGCGCATGTCGCGATCATCGGAGCCGGCGCTTCGGGACTGATGACCGCGATCTCCATCGCACGCTCACTCGCTTCGCAAGGGATCGATCCGAGGTCCACACGCATCCTCCTGATCGACGGCGCCAACAAGATCGGCATCAAGATCCTCGTTGCCGGAGGTGGACGCTGCAACGTCACCCACCACGTCGTTGACGAGCAGCAGTACGCGACCACCAAACCCCCAATCGTCCGCTCGGCGCTCAAGCGCTTCTCCGCACAAGACAGCATCGACTTCTTCGAGGAGCTCGGCGTCACCCTCAAGCAAGAACCCACGGGCAAGATGTTCCCGACCACCGACGACGCGCACACCGTGCTCCACGCGCTGCTCGACGAGGTCGAACGTCTCGGAATCACCATCCTCCATCCATGGCGTGTCGAACACGTCGAGCACTCAGCAGACGGATTCATCATCCACAGCGATCGCGAGCATCCCCCGATCCATGCGGAGCGTCTCGTCCTCGCAACAGGAGGCAAAGCGCTCCCCAAGTCGGGTTCAGACGGACACGGATACACCATCGCCCAATCCCTGGGACACACGATCACAAACGACATCCTCCCGGCTCTGGTCCCGCTGGTCGCTGATCCTCGCAGCGACTGGGTCAGGGAACTCTCAGGCATCAGCTCGAGAGCGACGATCCACGCCGTGAGTTCGACGGGCAAGCGTCTCAAGTCGTTCACCAACGATCTGCTCTGCACGCACTTTGGAATGTCTGGTCCCGGACCGATGGACGTCTCCCGATACCTGAGCACCGCCAAGCTGAGCGACAAGGGGGCTTATCTCCAGATCAACTGGATCCCAGATGCATCCTTCGATCAGGTCGATAGCGAGCTCTCAACGCTGGGAAAGGCACAGCTCATCACGCACCTGCGTTCGTTGATCCCGGAACGTCTGGCGCGATCGCTCTGCGAGCAAGCGGGGGTCGACCCGAGCATGCCGGGACATTCAATCACGCGTGAACAGCGCCGATCGCTCGCGCACCTGTTCACCCAGTGCGCCGTCTATATCCAGTCGGATCGAGGATTCACGCACGCCGAGGTCACCGCCGGAGGGGTGCCGATCGAGGAGATCAACCGCAAAGACTTCGCGTCAAGAGCATGCGATCATCTTTGGCTTGTCGGAGAAATCCTCGACGTCGATGGACGGATCGGGGGCTTCAACTTTCAGTGGGCGTGGACAACGGGATTCATCGCCGGAAACGCGATCGCGAAATCGATCTGCAGCTCAGTCACTCAGGGTGACTGATCGCGTGCCTGCTCAAGCGCCGCCATGCGTGCTCGGCTCTTCTGCGTCCGAGCATGATCAGCGCCGAATGTCGCCTCGATCACAGGATGACTCTGCTGGAACGCGAGCTGTGCGTGATCGAACTTCCCGAGTTTGGTGAGGCATTCGCCGTAGTTGTTGCGGAAGATCGCGAGGTAGTAGTGGTTGGGGGGCAGCAGCGCCTCGCACATCGCCATGAGCTTCTCGAACAGCGCCTCGGATTCTTCGAGCCCGTCGTTATTCATCAGCAGCATCGCGAGGTTATTGATCGGAGACCATGTTTCGGGGTCCACACCGCCTGATGCTCGCTCTCGGATATCGATGACCTCGCGGTACATCGACGCCGCCTCATCGACCTTGCCTTGATCTTCGAGCAGATACGCGAGGTTGCCCATCAGCACGAGCGTCTTGGTGTGTTCATTGCCGAAGCGTTTCCGATGCCCCTCGAGCGAACGCTTGGTCAGCACTTCCGCTTCATCGAGTTCTCCGATCTGGATAAGGGCTGCGCCGAGATTCCCCATCGACAGCAGTGTCGAGAAGTGATCCTCGCCGAGCACGCGGATTCTGCGATCGCAGACATCGCGGAAGATCTCGATCGCTTCCTGATCGCGTCCCTGCTTCTGGATGACGCTCGCGAGCACATCACGCGCGATGAGCGTATGGGGATGATCAGGACCGAGTGAATCGGAGCGACGCTTCACGACCTCGCCCATCACGATCTCGCTCTCAGCGAGTCGTCCGATGTCCTTGAGCGCCACGCCTCGATTGTGCATCGTGACGAGCGTCTCCTTGTGGTTGGGTCCCAGATGCTCCGCGAGGATCTGCTCGCATTCTTCCCACTCCGCGAGGGATTGGTCGTGCTGACCACGCATGTGATGGATCCGTGCTAACCCACTCCGGAGCTTCGCGGATTCGACGGGCATCCCCAGCGTGCTCACGACCTCATCCGCCTCCTTGAGCAGACGCTCCGCTTCGTCGTATTGTCCGAGCTCGGTGATCACCAAAGCCAAAGTGCTCTTGGCGTCAGCGGTCAGCGAGTCCTGATCGCCCATCGACTCCGTCGTGACGCGGACCATCTCCCGCGCGTGCTGCTCCGCGGCACTGAGATCTCCCAAACCAAGATACGTGTTGCTCAGTGCCATCCGGATCGTCGCGTGGACCCCAGGATGGTCCTGCAGATCAGACCCCACAGTGAGGGCTGCGGTGTCGAGGACCTCGCGGACCGTGAGTTCCTCGCCGAGCGTTGAGCCGGGGTCCGCGGATCCGAGCATATCAACCATGAACCGATTCACAGCGATCGCGCGTCCGCGTTCCGCTTCAGCGTGTGCTCGCGCCTGCTCCGCTTGCTCGCGCTGGGTTTCAGCGGTCGCCCACCCCTTGGTCGCACGAGCCGCCTGATAGCTCGCGGCGATCACTCCAGCAATCAGCACCATCACCGCGAGACACGAGAGTCCGACCAGCGCCCTGTTGCGATTGACAAACTTCTGTCCGCGATACCAGCGCCCGCCATTCATCGCCTCAACGGGTTCGTGATGCAGGTAGTTTCGTAGATCCCCGGCAAGCTCCGAAGCCGCGGCATAGCGATCCGCACGCACCGGTGCCATCGCTTTAGTCACAATCGCACGGAGCTCTGGATCCAATCCGCTCGTGTCGAGCTTCGGATGTTGACAGACTAGCTCCAGAGCATCCTCAATAGTCTTCCCATTGAGTCGATTGGGGAGTTGTCCTGTGAGCACCTCATGGATCATTACCCCCAACGCAAAGACATCGGTCCGAAGATCAATGTCCGTGTCCCGCCGCAGTTGTTCTGGACTCATGTATGGGATGGTCCCGACCAGTTCCTTGACCCCCGAATCCTGCTCAAGCGACTTGGCGACCCCGAAGTCCAGTACACGCGCGCGACCATCCTCATCCACGACAATATTGGCCGGCTTGAGATCGCGATGGACAATCCCTCGCAGGTGCGCGTGCTCGATCGCTTCGCAGATCGTCCGCAGCAGCTCGATCCGCGCCCGTAGTCCCAGCATGCCGGCGTATTGTTCCAGTTCCTTCCCTTGCACGTACTCCATCGCGAAGTAGGGGTGGAACCGCCCCTCGCGCTCGGTCTGTCCCGATTCGTAGATCGTCGCGATCCCAGGATGCTTGAGCTTTGCGAGCGACTCGGTTTCAAGCTCGAATCTCTTGAGCCGAGTCTCGGTCATCTTCTCGGCGTTCATCACCTTGAGCGCGACGGGACGCTTGGGGTTCTGCTGTTCTGCGAGGTACACCGTCCCCATCGCGCCGCGTCCGAGCATGCCTTGGATTTTGAAGTTCCCGAACCAGTCTCCTGATTCGAGGATCAGATCGCCACCTGTGTCGGAGGGTTCTTCGTCGTGTGAGAACTCCATCGTCTGTGATTCCTGGAGCTCGATGAGCGTAAGCACCTTTCGTCGAAGTTCGGAATCAGCCTCACACACACTGTCGAGATAGGTATCGCGCTCGTTGCCTTGCAATCTCCCCGCGTGCAGTGCGATGTCCCTTGGATCCATCTCCATCGTGTCCCTATCTATACCACAGGATCAGCGTCCAGTTCATCGGATTCGTTGTTCATGCTTCGAGGATCTGTCAGAATCGGCATCGGTATGATCTTATCAGACGCGGATCGGCTGCTCGACTCGCACACCTTTTGGGAGGTAGGGGAGCAGTTCTTCAGGGATCCGTTTGAGTCCTCGTCGCAGTGCCTTCGCGACCGCATACTCCAGAGACTCATGCATCCGTTGATGCACACGCTCGGTCACATTCAGTCCCAGTTCTTCCATCTTCTCGATCGAGAACTTCCACGCGTAGTACTCTTCCAAACAGCGCGGCTTGTAAGTCCCAAACCCAATCGCATGGTGTCCGATCTCGTGAAGGAACACAGCCGCGGACATCGGTCCCTTAGGTTTAGGCGATTCGATCAGTTTGGAAACACTCCCGTCCTTGTAGGTCACTTGCCAAGCAACGCCTGACATAGATGTGCGCCATTTCCGGACACGCACGCCGTGCTCCGCGAGCATCAGCTTGGTGATTTGCTCGTAGCGGAGCTGCATCGGAGTCTCGCGTTTGAGCGATTGTGTGCTCTTTGCAGGCACCGTGACAGGGGCTGGCTTTTTCCTCCGTTTCGGAGTCAGCAGATCCCAGAGTGTCATCATGTGGAGCGTCATGAGCTACGACCAATCAGTATCTCGCCATCTTTGACCTGCCGTCCATTCGCATACGAAGCCCAATCCATTGGTTTCTTCCCTGCAGGCTGGACCTCCAGCAAGCGGAGTGTCCCTGAGCCGCACGACACCGATCCCACATCCGCATCGACGATCGTACCAGTTTTTGATTGGGAATCCGTCATAAATGATTCTGCGCGGAGGACTTTCAATGGCTGCCCTCGATGCTCGATCGTCACGCAAGGCCAAGGACTCAGCCCATTGATCCGGCACCGACACGCATCCGCACTCTGCGAGAAATCGATCCATCCGTCACTTTTGAGCATCTTGCTCGCGATGGTCACGAGCTCGGAGTCCTGCTCCGTGTACAAGACACGATCGTGCTCATGATCTTTAAGCACCTTTATGATCAACTCCGGACCATCGGTTGAGAGCAGGTTGTGCAGCTCGCTCGCGGTTTGAGTGGGTTCGATTGTTCGCTCCGACTGTGCGAGCACGGATCCTGCATCCATTTCCTTCGCGATCGTGATGACGGAGTTCCCAGTCACCGAATCCCCCGCAACGATCGCGGCATTGATCGGCGCCGCGCCGCGCCATCTTGGAAGACGAGACGCGTGCAGATTGATCGCGAACCGATCCTCGATGAGCTTGGATCCCAGATATTGTCCATACGCGATAACGACCCAAGCATCCGCACTCCACCCACGCACGATCTCGCGTGCATCATCCGTGTTGATCTTCTCCGGCTTGATGATCGGGACATCAGGCAGATGCTCCGCGGCCCAAATACCAACAGGTGTTGGAGTAGGGACCTTCCCTCGTCCCGCTTTGCGATCGGGCTGGGTGACAATACCGGTAATCGTGTGTTCTTGAGCAAGCCGCTGGAGTGTTGGCACTCCGAACGCGCCGGATCCGAGGAAGACGATGTTCATTGTTTCGCACTCCTCTCTTCAGCCAATCAACGCTTCTTTGTTTTTTCCATGGCTTTGATCCGTGAGCGGTTCTTCAGTCGAGAGGTTTGGCTCATTTTGTCCAGAATCAGAACACCATCAAGGTGATCGATCTCATGCTGCCAACAGCGTGCAAGCAGTCCACTCGCCTTGATCTGAATCTCGTTGCCGTCAAGATCAATTGCTTTCATCGTGACCTTGCTTGGACGGCGAACCTCGCCGGTGATTCCCGGTAGAGACAAGCAGCCTTCGTCGAACGGCTCGATGTCTCCGCCAGTCTCAATGATTTCTGGATTGATAAACGCCTGCGGCTTGGAGGTGTTGCAAGGGAACTCCTCGTCCACCGGATCTCCCTCATGCACAGGGACATGGGCGACAAAGAGTCTCCAGCTCAGTCCGACCTGTGGAGCAGCGAGTCCGATCCCATCAGCGCCGCTCATCAGCGTGACCATCCGTTCAGCAACCGCTCGGACCTCAGCAGTGGCAGAAATCTCCGGAGCTTTGGTCCGAAGCACCTCAGTGGGGTATATCTCAATACGGAGTTTCGCTGGATCTACAGTCATCATCCCATCGTATGGCCGGAAGATGATCGGTGTCGGGATGCGATACCAATCTGGATTCAAATCGCATACACTCATGGACCCCATCTTCCGATGGTCTCAATCAGGAGCGTGAACACCCGTGGCGATGTTTGGCAAAAAGAAGAAGAACGACGAAGAGTCCGCTGTTGCGGAGTCTGCACCCGAGATCGCATTCAGTCCTGAGAAAGCAAAGGCTTTCTTCGATCGCGCCAAGTCGGTCCACGACTCCGAGAGCTACGAGTACGCGATGCAGCTCTGGCTCAACGGACTCCGTCAGGACCCCTCCAACATGGTCGGATTCAACGGCTTCCTCCGCTCCGCAGAGGTCTACGCCGTCGAGAACCCAAAGAAAGGTGTTAGCAAAGAGACCAAATCCGCGATCTCCGCAAAGGGGAACCTCGGGAAGTACATCAACGCGCTGCTGGACTTCGGTCTCAAGCGTATGGATGTCAGTATCGCGATCAAAGCCGCGTCTGCAGCGGGGAAGCTCCAACTCAGCGAGCCGACGAAAGCATTGGGTGAGCACGCACTGACCCTTGCGACCAACGATCCAAAAGCGAAGAAAGACATGTTCGTCAAGCTGCTCGACGCGTTCGATGAAGCAAGTGTCTATAACCTCGCCGCGATCGCAGGTGAGAACGCATGCCGCATGGATCCAGGTGATGGCGAACTCCAGGTGCGTGTCCGCAATATGCTCGCGGCCCAGACCATGTCCTCCGGCGGATACGACGACACAGAACAAGGCGGGTTCCGTAAAAACATCCGAGATGCCGACAAGCAACTCCAGCTTGAGCAGCAAGATTCGGTCGCAAAGACCAGCTCGACCAAGGACGACATCATCGAGAAAACAGCAGCGGATTACGAGTCCCGTCCTGATGATCTCTCAGCACTCGGTGCGTACGCGACGGCACTTCTCGATCGCGGAAAGAACTCCGACGAAGTCAAAGCGATGTCGCTCTACGGCAAGGCATACAAAGCATCCGGTCAGTTCCGATTCCGCCAACTCGCGGGTGAAGTCCAGATGCGCCGCGCGACGCGGATGATCAACAAACTCCAAAAGCAGATCCAAGCTGATCCAGAGAACGCTGAACTCCAAGCGAAGCTCGCGGATGCTCAGCCGAAGTTCGTCAAGCTTCAAATGGACGAGCTCGGACTGCAGGTCGAGAACTATCCAACAGACCTCAGCCTGAAGTACCGGCTCGGGAAGTTGTACTTCCAGACTGGGAAGTACAACGAAGCGATTGAGCAGTTTCAGCTCGCTCAGAACGAGCCCAAACTCCGCAGAGAAGTCCTCAATCTGATGGGGCAGTCGTTCATGCAGCTCGGCGGGTGGGAAGATGCAGCGATCCAGACATTCCGTCAAGCGATCGACGGCAAGATGGACGACGATTCCGAACTCGGCATGGACCTCCGCTACTCGCTGATGAATGCACTCACCGACAAAGCGGAGAAGGATTCGGACCTTGAATCCGCGAATGAAGCGGACAAGATTGCAGCCGCGATCGCGATCCAGCAGTTCAACTACCGCGATGTCCGCGAACGCCGCGAGGTCATCAAATCGCTGATAACCAAGCTCAAGAGCTAACGCATGTTCGGGAAGCCTTCCCCCAAAGCCATCGCGATCATCCCGGCTCGATTGGGATCCACCAGATTCCCGCGCAAAGCACTCGCCGACGACACCGGCAAGCCGATGGTCGTCCATGTTTGCGAGCAAGCGTCGAAAGCGGAATCTGTGGGTCGGGTGGTCGTCGCGACGGACGCAGTGGAAATCAAAGCCGCGGTCGAGGCGCATGGGTTTGAAGCGGTGATGACCTCCGTCGAGCACACCAACGGCACAAGCAGAATTGGTGAAGCAACCACCTTGCTTCAACTCCACAAGCATCAGGTCATCTTGAATGTACAAGGGGATGAACCTGAGATTGAGCCCTTGACGATCGACGCTGCATACGACGCCTTGTGTCCCATCAAAGGTCCCAGTACCGATGCAGTCGGAACTGTTGTGTGTCCGATTGATGCGGACGGAGATTTCCAAAATCCCAACATCGTGAAAGCGGTCATGAATGACTTCGAGTTCTCTCGGCCCGAATCGGGTGACGGAGTTGGAATCACTCGGATAGGACAAGCGATTTATTTTTCGCGATCACCGGTACCTTATCAGAGGGTTGAGACAGATCGTCCAACGTTTCGACATGTAGGGATCTATGCATACATGGTCGAGTCGATCCATCAGTACCTCAGTTGGGAGCCATCAACTCTTGAGGTCACCGAGTCGCTTGAGCAACTCCGTTGGTTTGACCACACATACTCAATCTTCGCGGCGATAGTGAACACTCCGCACGCCGGTATCGACACCCCAGAACAATACCGGTCCTTCGTTGAGCGCTTCAACAGCACTCAATCCTGAGAAATTCAAACGATCTTGTCCACAAACCCCTCGCCGGGCTTGCAACCCATACCCCTGCGTTGGTACGATCGGACATGCCCCACCAGAGTAACGACACATCCCCCGGCGATCACCAGTCCAGTGACCTCCTCGCCCAAGCGGGGAATATTTCCGGCGCTGAGCGTGAGTTCTTCTCCCCGATGCCGGATGGGTATGTGCCCGGGAAGCACAAGTATGTTGCGATCCTCGGCACCGTGATGTCAGGTCTCGGCAAGGGTATCTTCTCTTCGTCAATGGCCAAGGTGCTCAAGGACAAAGGCTTACGCGTCGCTCCGATCAAGCTTGAGGGTTACCTCAACATCGATTCGGGAACGCTGAACCCATATCGCCACGGCGAGGTCTTCGTCCTCGACGACGGCACCGAGTGCGACATGGACCTCGGGACCTACGAGCGCATGCTCGATCAGGACCTCACCAAACGCAACTTCGTCACAGCTGGTCAGATCTACTCTGAGATACTCGATCGTGAGCGCCAAGGCGTCTACCTCGGACGCGACGTCCAGATGATCCCGCACGTCACCGGCGAAGTGAAACGCAAACTCCGCGAGCTTGCGATCCGTGGTGATGGGTCGGGTCCAGCGGACATTGTCTTCGTCGAAGTGGGGGGAACAGTCGGCGACTACGAAAACGGTTTCTACATCGAAGCACTCCGTGAACTTGCCTTCGAGGAGGGGCCGGGATCGGTCTGCTTCGTTGCGTTGACCTACGTCATTGAGCCCCAGGCGCTGGGGGAGCAGAAGTCCAAAGCGGCGCAGCTCGGAATCAAGCGTCTGATGGAATCAGGGATCCAGCCCAACCTCATCGCGTGCCGAGCGGAGAACCCAGTCGAGCACAAGGTCCGCGAGAAGATCGCGATGTTCTCAAATGTCCCTATGGAACGCGTGTTCTCGATGCACGATCGCGACAGCATCTACAAAATCCCAGACGAGCTCCGCGCACAAGGGCTCGATCGTGAGATCCTTTCGACACTGAGTCTCCACGATCGCGTCGATGCGACAGCAGAGGATCGAGCACGCGTCCGATGGTCCACATTTGTTGATGGATTGACCGCTGAGCGTATGCAGACCGTCAAGATCGGTATCCTCGGCAAATACGCCGAGCTCCGCGACGCGTACGCATCGATCGACAAAGCGCTCGAGCACTGCGAAGCACACTTCCGGACCAATGTCGAGCAAGTCTGGATGGACACCACCGAAATCAACGACGCCAACGCCGCCGATCGTCTCCGTGACCTCGACGGCGTTATTGTTCCAGGAGGGTTTGGTTCCCGAGGAGTCGAAGGGAAGATCTCCTGCGTCAAGCACTGCAGAGAGAACGCGATCCCATACCTCGGGATCTGTCTCGGATTCCAGGTTGCTGTCGTCGAGTTTGCTCGTAATGTGCTCGGGATCAAGGATGCGTACTCCACAGAGTTCGATCCAATGACATCCTCGGCGCTGATCTCCGAACTCCCAGATCAGAAGAAAATTGAAGGGCTCGGCGGGACCATGCGTCTCGGTGCTCAGGATGTCCAGATCACCCCCGGCTCGCTCGCGTCGTTCCTCGCTGACGGTAAGACCTCGATCCATGAGCGCTTCCGTCACCGCTACGAGGTCGATCCAACCTACATCGAGCGCCTCGAAGCGGGAGGATTGATCTTCTCAGGTCGTCACCCAGAGCAGCCAATCATGCAGATCCTTGAGCTCCCTTCGCATGTCGAAACAGACGACTCGGTCGCACCTTCGGAACCGATCACGCATCCGTACTTCATCGGAGCTCAGTTCCATCCGGAGCTCACCTCGCGTCCGCTCACGCCTCAGCCGATGTTCATGGGACTCGTCGCGGCGTCGCTCAAGCACCGATTCGAGCACAACGAGCAACAGTGGGAACAGATCCTTAGAGCTTGCCCAATCCTGAAACGCTGGCTCCGCTCACCCAATGGGCAAACGCAGGCAACCAGTTGATCACAACTGAGCTTTGAGCGCTTGGACACTGTCATACAGGACTATCGCGCTCAGTCTGTCAGGCTTACCGAAAGTCACGCAGCAGTTGTTGACAAGCGTCTGTGCATGCAGCATCGCGTCAAGCTGCGTTGATAGTTCTTCCGACTCGATCGAACGCACAATAAATGCGTGGACTCCCCAAGGGCGATTGATCCCGTTGTCAGGTTGCAGCTCTCGTGTGTGCCAATCGATGAGCTGGTCGATGCGAGGCCGGAACTCTCCACCCGATTGAGAATCCAGATGCCAGAGCGCATGTAGAGCGCAGAGCTCGATCAGTGTGCGATGCTCGATCGCATACGCATCGGACTCAACGAGTCCCCCTTCAGTTTGAATTAGTCCGCTCCAATCTTGATTGCCCTCCAAGAGACTGTTCCAGAGTCGAGTGTCCAGATCGTGCAATCGATCCGAAGTTGACACACGCACTCCCAGTACACGACCCAGCAAGGGAGCGTCCGTCGCGCGACGGCTTCCAAACTCGTCCTGGAACTCTCCGATAAACGATTGCTTCGTGCTCTTGTCCGCATCCAGCGGGACTTGATCCATCGGCTCTCGGATCAGCGATTCCAGATGCGTGATCCACTGCTCGATCGTTGGGATATTGGGGCGATTCTCCACATCAGATCATAGAACCACGAGAATCAATCATGACTACGATTGAGCATGACCCAGACCACTCTCAAAACGACCCCACTCCACAAGTATCACCTCGAATACCACGCTCAGATGGTGGACTATGCGGGATGGGAAATGCCCATCAAGTACGAGACCTCGATTCACGACGAGCATACGCACTGCCGGACAAACGGATCGCTCTTCGATGTCTCGCATATGGGGCGATTGTCCGTGAAAGGTAAAGACGCCGCTCGTTTGTTTGAGCGGGTGTGTACGCGGCGCATCGGGGATATGCAGCACGGCCAGTGCCGATACTCGTTCATGTGCAACGAATCGGGTGGGGTGCTCGATGATGTGATCGTCAATCGCATGGACGACAACGAGTTCCTCGTCGTCGTCAACGGAGCCAATCGCGAGAAGATCATCGCTCATATGCAGCAGGTCATCAACGATCGCGGATTCGATGTCAAGTTCGAGGATCGCACAGAAAAGACAGCGATGGTCGCGATCCAAGGCCCAAAGGTCATGGACCTGCTCAGCAAGGTCTCCTCGGAGCTCGCTGAACTCAAGCGGTTCCGATTCATTGTCAAGAACCTGATGATCATGAAGGTCATCGTTGCACGCACGGGTTACACCGGAGAGAACGGCGTCGAAGTCATCCTCCCTGCATCCGCAGTCTCCATGGCAATCAATCTGCTCCAGAAAGAAGCCGTGAGCATTGAATCAGACCTCGACCTCAAACCCTGCGGACTTGCCGCACGCGACACGCTGCGTTTGGAAGCCGGACTCCCGCTCTATGGACATGAGTTGGATGAAGAGACATCTGCGCTTGCAGTAGGGATGCCTTTTGCGATGAACCTCGACAAGTCGGTCGAAGCCGACGGCGAAACATTCATCGGACAGGAAGCACTACTTGAGCAGCAAGCCAATGGTGGTCCGGGTCTGTCACTCGTCGGGATCGAGATTGATTCCAAACGCACAGCACGCCAAGGCATGGGGGTGCTGTCTGGTGATGAATCGGTTGGCCGTGTGACTTCGGGATGCATGTCTCCAACACTCAACAAATCCATCGCGATGGCGTATGTTGACTCGTCGGTCTCCGAACCTGGATCGAAAGTTGCCATTGACGCAGGCCGCACCCAACTCGAAGGCACAATCGTGTCGTTGCCGTTCTATAAAGCGTCCAAACCAGCTCCAAAAACGAGTTGATTAGTCGATCTGATTCTCTTTGCCGCACTCAATCCAGCCGGCATCCGTATGCCTGACGATCGCTCCTGTGACCTGATAGATCACTTGTTCGGCAATGTTCGTACAGTGATCCGCCATCACCACAGCTTGATGGATAATTGAGTGCAGATCAAACGCGTGGTCGACGCCGAGTCGTCCATCCGCGATCCGCTGTTCGCTCTTTTTAACGATCACATCATAAAACTCAAGGACTGTACCTTCGGAGTTCAGAACGATCTTTGCTCTCGCCGAATCATTCTCGGCAAAGCACTTGACGGAATCTCGCAATATCCCAACAACAGAGTTGGTCATGACCATGGTGGTCCGAGGAAATGTCGAAGTCCGATCTCCTAGCGAGACAACTCGGTTCGCGACATCCGCGGCCGCGTCAGCGATGCGTTCGAGTTCGTTGTTCACCTTCACGGCAGAAAGCAAGGCACGGATCTGCTGTGGAGTCAGAGGACAGCCGTCTTCGGATGCTCGCTGGAGTAGATCGACCGCGTCTCGTTCGATTTCGAGGTCAGCTTGGTCAACCTCATCATCACGAGTCATAATTCGTAATGCAGACTCAGAATCCATGCTGAAGATCGTCTGGAACGCTTGCTCCGCGATCTCGCAGACCAACGCACCTTGCTGAGCAAGTCGGCTCCGGATCTTGTCGAGTCTCTCATCGAACTGCTCTGATGTGATGCCCATGGATGGGTCCTCTACCAAACCACACAAGTGACACAGGATTCATGCGCACGATAGCAGAATTCAGATGACCAATCACCCCGATCGACCTATCCTCGATGAAATCACAATGCTTTTGTCGATTTCACCATCAACCGGAGACCTCAAACATGGCTTTCGATATCGATCTTGTCCACGCCCGTCAGATCCTTGATTCCAGAGGCAACCCGACCGTCGAGGTCGATGTCGTCCTCGCATCAGGTGCTGTGGGACGAGCCGCGGTTCCCTCTGGCGCCTCCACTGGAGAGAGCGAGGCCGTGGAACTCCGCGATGGTGGGGACACCTATATGGGCAAGGGCGTCGAGCAAGCCGTTGCAAATGTAAACGATCAAATCGCACGCGAAATCGAAGGCATGGATGCTCGCGATCAGGAAGCGATCGACCAAGCGATGATCGATCTCGACGGCACTCCAAACAAGTCCAACCTCGGCGCCAACTCCGTGCTGGGTGTATCGATGGCGGTTGCCAAAGCTGCCGCAGAGACCTCTGGGCTCCCGCTTTACCGCTACCTCGGTGGTTCAGCCGCGAAGACTCTCCCAGTTCCGATGATGAACATCCTCAACGGCGGCAAGCACGCCGACAACACAGTGGACTTCCAAGAGTTCATGATCCAGCCTTGGGGATTCGACGATTTCAATCACGCGTTCCGCGCGGGAGTCGAGATCTACCACCACCTCAAGTCGGTACTCTCGGCTCGCGGGATGTCCACCGCAGTGGGTGACGAAGGGGGATTCGCTCCTGACCTCAAGGACAATGAAGACGCGCTCAAGGTCATCGAGGAAGCTGTGGACAAAGCCGGATACAAGTGGGGGGAGCAGATCTTCGTCGCACTCGATCCCGCGACCTCCGAGCTTTGGAACGAAGCCGAGAAGGACGGCAAGAAGGGCTACAAGTTCTTCAGCTCTTCGCAAGAGATCATCTCTTCCGACGACCTGATCTCCATCTGGGCCGACTGGTGCAACAAATACCCGATCCGCTCGATCGAAGACGGTCTTGCTGAGAACGACTGGGAAGGATGGGCGAACCTCACCTCGAAGCTCGGCGATAAGGTCCAGCTCGTCGGAGACGACCTGTTCGTGACCAATAAGAAGTTCGTCGAGCGTGGTGTTGCTGAGAAGTCTGCGAACGCGGTGCTTGTGAAGGTGAATCAGATCGGATCGTTGTCAGAAACCTTCGACGCGGTGAACTACGCGATGTGCAACAAGTTCAACTGCGTCATGAGCCACCGCTCAGGGGAGACGGAAGACTCGACCATCGCCGACCTCGCCGTCGCGACCAACTGCGGTCAGATCAAGACCGGCGCCCCTTGCCGATCCGATCGCAACGCGAAGTACAACCAGCTCCTCCGCATTGCTGAGGAACTCGGAGACTCCGCGGTCTACGGCTCTTCCACCTGGAACCACTGATGATTAGGAACCGGTGACTCGTCCATCGGTACCACCTCTCGTATGGGTCAATCAGAATGGAAATCCTCGTACGACGACGATGGTGACCGCTTCGCGGGAATCAAAAAAATCCTTGCGCGAATTTTCGGCGACGGCGAGAACCCACTCGCGTGGGGATTCACACTGTTCAGCATCGCCGGGACCAAATTCAAAATCCACATTCTGATGGTGGTCTTCCTACTCGCTCAACTGATCTTTACCCTGCCGGGACACAAGGTCGGCGCGGTGTTCATGGTCCCGATGCTATTCGCGATGGTGGTCTTGGTCTTCGCGCATGAACTCGCTCATGTGTTTGTTGCTCGTCGTGGAGGCGGTCAGTCCGAGCTCCGAATGCTCTGGCCGTTGGGGGGGCTCGAACATGCACAGTTCGAGGATGACAATCCCAAAGCCGAGTTGAGGACGGCGCTCGCAGGGATCGCGCTCCATATCGCACTGATCCCGCTGTTCTTAATCCCGCTTGTGATGCTCACCGGCGGATGGGATGCGATCGTATTCCATCCCCTCGTCCCATCGTCATCGATTCATGCGTTGATGCTGAGTTCTGATCAGACCACACCTTGGTGGCTGATCCTGATCTGGTCATTTCATGTGGTCAATCTGATCTTGCTGATTGTGAACCTGATCCCGATGCATCCGCTTGACGGCGCCACTGTGCTCCGATTGTTCATGACCAAATCCAATGGCGATCTCGCGGCTCGTCACCAAGCCGCATTCATTGGACTCTGGGTCGCGACCGCAGTGGGATTGATCGGGATCCTCTTCCAGGACGCAACGATGCTCCTTGCAATCGCAATCGCATGCGGCATCGTTTGCACGCTCGAGCGTCGGAGACTTCAGTTCCTGAGCTACGCGGACATGGTTCCTGGATATTCTTCGAGTATCGATGATTCGCAAGTCAATACCGTCGAAGCAGAGCGAGATAACCAAGATCAGAATGAGCTCGATAGAATCCTTGACAAGATCTCGTCGTCCGGTATTGAGTCCCTTAGTCGATCTGAACGCCGCACGCTCAAGAAAGCGACCGAATCGAGCCGAAATTCGGAAGGAAACGGCTGATTCTCCCAATCATCCCAAGAAACGCGTACCCTCCAGAAGAGGCATACTCATATGGGCATCCACGATCGAGATTACAACCGCTCAGGAACCGGCTTGGGAGGTCCGCCGAGAAGCGGCCAAGGTATGCTCGTTCGCTCTCCAGGTTGGTCAGTCAATACTTGGCTCATCGTGATCAACATCACGATCCACATCCTCGCGGTCACTGTCCTCTTTCCAGGCCTCTATCGCGCTGGATCGTTGACCATCGTCGATGGATTCCAGCGACTCGAAGTCTGGAGACTCATCACCTTTCAGTTCCTTCATGATCCCTCAAGTATCTGGCATGTCGGCATGAACATGTTCGGCCTCTGGATCTTCGGTCCGATGGTTGAGCAGTACCTCGGCGGGAAGAAGTACCTCGCCTTCTATCTCGTCTGTGGTCTCGCAGGGGGCTTGTTGTTCTCAATCCTCACAGTGCTCGGGAATGTCACCGGCGCCAGTGTGCCTGGATTGCTCAGTAACAGCTTTGACACACCACTCATTGGCGCATCCGCGGGGGTCTTTGCCGTCATCGTTGCGTGTGCACACATCAGCCCCAACACCACTGTGCAGCTCCTCTTCCCGCCAATCCCGATGAAGCTCAAAGTTTTCGCATACGGCTATGTGGGTCTTGCGTTGTTCCAGCTCCTCGTTGGATCATCAAATGCAGGCGGGGAAGCCGCGCATGTCGGTGGTGCAATCGCGGGTTACTACTTCATCCGCAACTCTCATCACCTTATGGACTTCTTTGATGTGTTCAACGATTCACGAGCGAAATCTGGAAGTAGCAAGAGCCGTTCAAAGCCGGCGAAGGGTGCACCAAGCACATCAGAGGTTGATCGGATACTCGAAAAAGTCGCGCGTTCAGGGATCGGATCGCTCAGTGAGAAAGAGAAAAAGACCTTGAATGAAGCGAGCAAGAATCAGCGGAACGCCGGATAAGCCTGTCCTACGCTTGCTCGATGTCTTCACCCCTCAAGTTTACAGTCCACGCATCGCTCGGCAATGCTCGCTCGGGAACGGTCGAAACGCTCCACGGCTCGTATGAAACACCTGCGTTCATGCCTGTGGGAACACGCGCGACGATCAAGGGGATCCTGCCGCAGCAGGTGAAAGAAACAGGTTCTCAGATCCTGCTCAACAACACCTACCACCTCATGCTGCGTCCTGGATCCGAGCTGATTCGAGAGATGGGGGGGGTCCACAAGTTTATGAACTGGGATGGACCGATCCTCACCGACTCAGGTGGATACCAGGCCTACTCCATGGCGGACATCAACGCGATCGACGAAGATGGCGTGTCCTTCAAGTCCATCCTCGACGGCTCCATGGTTCGCATGAATCCCGAAATCGCGATGCGAGTGCAAAACGAACTCGGTCCTGACATCATGATGGCGTTTGATGACTGTCCACCATCGATTGATCCGAATGCTGGAGTTGTGAATCAAACTCGTCTGCGTCACGCGGCTCGCAGAGATAGCGGGAAGAAAAAATCATACAATCACATGGAGCGTCTGATCCTCGCGAATGAACGCACAGTGCGTTGGCTAGAGCGCTGTAAAGAATCGCACGCGCGTCCTGACGAACAATCGCTCTTCGGGATTATCCAAGGCGGGACTGATCTCGAACAGCGAGACTGGTCTTTAGAACGCATATGCAACATCGATCTCCCCGGATACGCGATCGGAGGCGTCGCGGTGGGGGAGTCCACTGAAGATATCGCTCGGATCGTGCGACATACGGCACCTCAGATGCCAAGCAACAAACCCAGGTACCTCATGGGGGTTGGTTACGAGCGGGACATTGTCGCCGCTGTCATGGCGGGTGTGGACATGTTCGATTGTGTACTTCCAACACGCAACGGCCGAAATGCGAACGCATTCACCTGTGAGCCCGGACGCAATGGCCAACTCCGAGTCAGAAATGCAACATTCGCACGAGATCCACTCCCGATCGAGCCTGGATGCGATTGTCACGCATGTGATCCAGGCAGGCATGGCTGGTCTACACCGGATAGCCAGCCATTCACAAGATCCTACATTCGGCATCTGTTCATGACTGGAGAGATGCTTGGTCCAATCCTCGTCACACTCCACAATCTCCGTTTTTTCCAACGACTCACTCGTGATCTCCGTCAAGCGATCAATGCCGGGAGTTGGGACGAGTTGCTCAGCGTCAGACCTCACCTGAAAGAACTGGTCGAGTCAGTCTAAACCTGATTCCTGACGAGATTTGCCCCATCCAGCCCGATCAAGGGTCCTACCATCCCTGCCCAGCGGGATACACCCGTCAGGGACATGAAAGGTATCGCTGCATGGACATCAGCACACCCACACTCGTGTGGAGCACCCACATCATGCTCGCTCAGGACTCCAGCTCATCAGGAGGTGTGCTCGGCGCTCCTTCCGGATCATCATCCGGACAGACCCCACTCGGCACTCCAGGGGACGGAGCGGGGACTGTTCAACCGAGCAGCGGCATGGGATCCCTGCTCCCAATCATGCTCGTCATGATGGCCGGGATCCTGATTATGACCTCTCTGTCAGGTCGCAAAGAACGCAAGAAGCATCAGAGTTTGCTCGCGAGTCTTGGAAAGAAAGACAAGGTCAGGGCAGCAGGTGGGATCATCGGCACCATCATCGAACTCAAGAACGATGAGGTGCTCCTTGAAACTGATCGCGCCTCAAACACAAGAATCCGTGTCGCGCGTTCTTCGATCACCACCGTGATCAAATCCAAGTCCACGCCAAGCAGCGAAGAAGAGACGGCTGAACTCGCCGATTCCAAGGCTTAACACGCCAAGTCAGACATCCACCGGATCAGCCGGATATCAAGAGGCATTGCATGCGTCACTTTACTCGAAACTCAATCATCGCCATCCTCATGCTGGTCATGGCATTCTGGGCCGCAAACCCACCGTCAAAGACCATCGGACTCGGAAAAGACCTCCGAGGCGGCGCATCGCTGGTCTACTCCGTGCAGATCGATCGCACCGAGACTGCTTCGCAAGTGATCCCCAAGGTCATCGAAGTCCTCAAAAAGCGTATCGACCCCAACGGACTCTACGAGATTCAGATTGTCTCTCAGGGACAGGACCGCATCGAGATCACGATGCCGCTCCCAAGTGAGTATGTCAAAGAGCTCCGCAAGGGATTCGAGGATGAACTCGCGAAGCTCGGCGTGACCTCGATTGACGCGGATGAGTTTGAGCGCGTGATGGCGCTTGATACTGCTGAGCGAACGGCGCAGATCGAAAGAATGGGCGCTAATAGCCCCAAGATCATGGAGCTGCTGATTGAAGCAGCTCAAGCGTTCGATGACGCTGAGCGTTTCCGGCAGCAGCTTGAGACCCTATCGATCAATGCGGATACACCTGACGAGATCTTGGATAATGTGATCAACAGCGCGGCGGAAGCGGAGCTTGCTTACGAAGCCGCAAGAGATTCAGTGCTTGATAGCGCGATCTCCCCTGAGGATGTACGCCGTGCACTGGAGCAGTCGACTGAGCGCAAGACCATCCGCGATGAAGCCGCGGATGCTGTGGTCACGCTTCCTTCAGAGCGTGAGCGTGCCCTCAATCGCATCCGAGAGCGATACCCAGATCTCAACACCCAACTCGACCAGGTCATCGAAGCTTACGACTTCTATTCGAAGAATCGCAACTCACTCGACGACACCGCGGACCTCAAGCGATTGGTCCAAGCCGCGGGTGTGCTGAGTTTCCGCATCACCGTGGATCCAGCAGGCGCTGGGACATCGAACTACACGCATCCTGAAGAAACATCACTCCGCGAAAAGCTCCGCACAGGTGGTCCAACACAAGCCGGCGCCCGCGATGTGCGTTGGTTCAAGCTCAACAAGCTCGAAAGCTGGTTTGATTCTGTAGATGGCTACGACGCGATGATCGCAGATCCCGCTGGATACTTCGCGTCGCGTTATCGCTATATCGTCGAAGAATACGAAGGCGATTACTACATGCTCTGCTGGGACACGCGTGGCTTGCGGATGACCCAGGACGATGGGCGCTGGAAAGTTGACAACTCGCGTCGATCTGTCGACCAGCTTGGTCGTCCCGCAATCGGATTCTCCATGGACCCCGCAGGTGCGAATCGCCTTGGAGAGCTCACTGGTCCCAACACGGGCGCCAACATGGCGGTCCTTCTCGACGACCAGGTGTACACCGCGCCACGCCTCAACTCACGAATCACAAGCTCAGGCATCATCGAGGGTGACTTCTCTCCAGAAGAGATCGACTATGTCGTCCGAGTGCTGACCGCGGGATCGCTGCAAGCGAAGATCTCTGCTGAACCGATCTCGGAGAACACGATCGCACCGGATCTTGGACAAGACAACCTCGACGCCGGTGTTCAAGCAGGAATCATCGCTCTGATCGTCGTCTCCGTGTTCATGTTCCTCTACTACCTGGGATATGGCTTCGTCGCGGTGATCTGTCTCGCTGTCAACGGCCTCCTGATTTTGGGTGCCCTCGCACTCTCTCGAGCATCACTCACACTCCCGGGTATCGCAGGAATCATCCTGACCTTCGGTATGGCGGTGGACGCGAATGTTCTGATCTACGAGCGTGTGCGTGAAGAGATTTACAAAGGACTAGATCTCCGTCAAGCGGTGCGTCTGGGATACCAGAAGGCGCTCTCGTCGATTGTCGACGGCAATGTGACCAACCTCATCGTCTGTTTCGTGCTTGCCAATGTCGGCACGCAAGAAATCAAAGGGTTTGCGATCACACTGGGTATCGGTGTGATCTGTACCATGATCAGTGCGTTGTTCTTCAACCATCTGATCATGAGCCTCTTGGTAGACAAGATCCGCATCAAGAAGATGGCAATGCTGCCTATGGTGCTTAAGCCGATCGAGAAAATCCTCTATCCGAAGATCAACTGGATTGGTCTTCGCTGGATCTTCATGGTCATCTCATTGGGATATGTCAGTCTCGGGATCGGCATGATTATCTTCCAAGGCGAGAAGATGCTCGATACCGAGTTCCGTGGTGGTACACAGGTCACCATGAGTCTGAAATACTCGGACCCCAATGACTCATCCTCACCTCGTTTGACATCGACTCGTGCCGAGATCGAGGATCGTGTCCGCGAGCTTGGAGAAGAAGTCGCCGAAGAGTCAGCGATCCGTGCGTTGCGTTCCGCAGAAATTATCCCAGTCAATCCGCAGTCTGATGGGATCACTTCTGACAAGTTCATCATCAAGACCTTCGCAACGGATCGCGAAGCCGTGGGCAATGCAATCAGCGCCGAGTTCCAGGACATGCTTGATGCACCTCCGGCGCTCAACTTCCGATTTGCTCAGAGCGATAACTTCGCAGGGGCATCGGTTTACCCGATCCTCTCCGCACGATTGGGTGAGAATATCGCGCGTCCAGAGTATCGCAACAGCATCTCCGATTACATCGGTGGCGTAGCGATCCTCGTTGAAGACATCGACCCGCTCCCGACACTCGAGAGCATCGAGTCGCGTCTGGACATCACACGACGCAAGACAGACTTCTCTGATTGCCTTGGTCGCCAGTTTGAAATCATCGTGCTTGAAGGTGACGAATCCGCTGTTCGTTCGCTTGCGCTCCTGAGCATCGACGAGGGATTGACCTACTTCGACAATGCTGATGCGTGGTCATCTGAGATCGCATCGCGTGAGTGGGATCTGATTCGTGCCGCATTGACGACATCTTCGGATCAACTCAGTGTCCAGAACTTCTCGCCCGCGATCGCGGAAGACTTCCGCGCGACCGCGTTCGCAGCTGTCTTGCTCTCGCTCCTGCTGATCCTGATTTATATCTGGGTCCGCTTTGGATCGGTCCGTTATTCAGCTGCTGCGATCGCGGCTCTGACGCACGATGTCCTCACAGCGATCGGATTGATCGCACTGACTGAGATCATCTATGACCATCACATGTTTACAGATATCGCGAAGATGCTGCTCATCGAGCCGTTCAAGATCGATCTGAACCTCGTCGCGGCGATGCTAACCATCATTGGATACTCGCTGAACGACTCGATCGTTATCATGGACCGAATCCGTGAAAACCGAGGCAAACTGTCGTATGCATCCAAGGCGGTCATCAACCAGTCCATCACCGAGACCATCTCGCGTACCGTGATCACATCGGGAACGACATTGCTCGCAGTCCTGATCCTCTATGTGTACGGCGGCCAAGGAGTGCGTGCGTTCTCATTCGCGCTGCTCGCGGGTGTTCTCGTCGGGACCTATTCATCGATCGCGGTCGCGGCTCCACTTGTCTGGTCACGAAAGAAGGATGTGTCTAAATCGACCGCAGATGAGCTCGAAGTTCCAGAGGGATAATCCAAGATTGAGCACAGCTCGATAGCATTCGTGGTACACTCTCGATGAAGGGTTCCCTCATGGAAGATCGTTCATCAAAGATTTACACCGGACTATGCGTGCTTGTGCTGATCTGGATCGGAGTGTATTGGGCGTGGGAACCAGGCCCATCGACCAAGCCGCGCATCTCGGTCTCGTCTCCTGAGGTGAATGATGAGCCTATTCCGTCTGATCCGGAAGAGTCCGAATCTGATGCTGAAGAGCAGAGCAGCCAGCAACTGCTGATCCTGACGCCGCCTCCAAGCGAGAATGCTGATCCTTTCGAAGAAGATCCAGCTCCGAAACTCATCCCACCTGAGTTCCGCACACACACTGTGGTCCGTGGTGAGATCATGCAGGACATCGCTCAGCGTTACTACGGAAGCACCTCCATGTGGAGCGTGATCGCTCGTGCCAATCCACGAGTCGATCCGCTCAAACTCCGTGAAGGCATGACACTCAGAATCCCTATCGACCCCAATAACATTCAAGGAATCGTCGACAACGGTAGCGACTCGAACGAGGAATCAGATACTGCTACTCAAGAACACCCAGTAGTGGATTACATCGTGCAGTCTGGAGACTCGCTCTCACTCATCGCTCAACGCAATTACGGCTCAGCCCGCTACGCAGACTTCATCTACGAATCCAATCGAGACACGCTCCGCTCCAAAGACGCGATCCGAGTCGGACAGACACTCAAACTCCCTCCGCTGGACCCATAACCGCTACAGAGTCGGGCGTGAGCTTCCGCGATTCTGAGCCATCAAGTACCTAGAATCTCCGCATGTCCACGACGAATCCAGTCTACATCATCACCGGCGGAGCGGGGTTCATCGGCTCCAACCTCGTCGCTCGTCTCCAGCGTGACGAACCCGACGCACGCCTCTATGTGGTCGATGATTTTTCGACCGGATCGTACGCGAACATCGTCGAAGCGTGCGAGAGACACAACGCCGGACCATTCCGCGGCACGATCATGCCGGACTCAATCACGGATCTGAACTGGCAACCCGCGATCATGGGACTCGCACCTAAAGCAGTATTCCACCTCGCGGCGATCACCAACACGCTAGAGTTTGACGAGAAAAAGATGATCTCTGTGAACACGGAGCCGTTCATCGACATCCTCGACGCGTGTATCGAATCGGAAATCCCGCTCGTGTACGCATCCTCCGGCGCAACCTACGGCACACCACCACAAGCTCAACAAGAAACCCCGTTCCCGACCAGCGCCGCCGGGAATCCATCGAATGTGTATGGCTTCTCCAAATGGCTCATGGATGTCGAAGCCAATCGAGCGTTCGAGCAATCCATGATCGAATCCGGTAAAAAGCCTCATGTGGTCGGACTCCGATACTTCAATGTCTTCGGTCCAGGAGAATCACGCAAAGGCAAGATGGCCTCGATGATCTACCATCTGACGAATCAGATGCTCGCGGGACAGAATCCAAGAATCTTCGAACACGGGCAGCACCAACGCGATCAGATCCATGTCGATGATGTGGTCTCCTGCACACTCGCCGCTGCGAATCCATCAGCAAATCCTGGGATCTACAACCTCGGGACCGGAACCACAACAACCTTCAACGACATCGTCTCAGCGATCAACCAAGCACTCGGACGCTCGATGGATCCCGAGTACATCCCGATGCCTGAAGAGATGGTCTCGTCGTACCAGCATTACACCTGTGCGGATATGAGCGAGACCAAGGACGGTCTCCACTGGACCCCAACCCTTGATACGGCTCAAGCAATCCGTAAGTACGCCGCAGAACTCGCAGAAAACCATCAGAATCAACACAGCACGGTGACTCAATGACCGATACGACCATTCAGGAAGTCAAGCCACGGAGAACCCGATCCATGCCAATGAAACGCGTGCTTGTCACAGGCGGTGCTGGATTCTTGGGATCCTACTTGTGCGAAAAACTCATCGCACAAGGTCATGATGTCATCTGCCTGGACAACTTCTTCACCTCCCAGAAATCCAATGTGCTCCATCTGCTCGACCACAACAACTTCGAGTTGATCCGTCACGACATCACCCATCCAATATGGCTCGAGGTTGACGAGATCTACAACCTCGCGTGCCCCGCAGCGCCTGGTCACTACCAGTACAACCCGATCAAAACCATGAAGACCTCCGTCATGGGGGCGATCATCACCTGCGGGATGGCGAAACGCTGCAACGCCAAAATCCTCCAAGCATCCACCTCCGAGATCTACGGCGATCCCATCGTCCATCCGCAACCAGAGTCCTACCGAGGCAACGTCAACACACTCGGACCACGCGCCTGCTATGACGAAGGGAAGCGAGCCGCCGAGACGCTGTTCATGGACTACCACCGCCGACACGGACTGGACATCCGCATCGCACGCATCTTCAACACCTACGGCCCGCGCATGCACCCATTCGACGGACGCGTGATCTCCAACTTCATCCTCCAAGCACTCATGGATCAGGACATCACCATCTTCGGAGACGGCTCCCAGACTCGCTCCTTCTGCTACCGCGATGATCTGGTCGAGGGATTGATGCGTCTGATGAACACAACAGCCGATGACATCCACATGCCGGTCAACCTCGGGAACGAGGGCGAGTTCACGATCAAACAGCTCGCTGAGATGACTATCGAGATGACCGGATCCAAATCCAGCATCGTGTATCGAGAGCTCCCAGAGGACGATCCCATGCAGCGCAAGCCGGACACGACGCGCGCGAAGAAGCTGCTCGACTGGACCCCAAAGATCCAGTTTGAGGAGGGGCTTGCACGCACGATTGAGTATTTCCGTACTGTGGATCTGGATGAATATCGCGAGCCGACCCCTAATCATGTGATTGCGTGAGGAACGCAGGTTCAGAATTGCACCAGATTGACCCCCTGAGCGGTCAAAATCCGATAGATTTGTAGTATGCAAATCCCACGCTTCCCCAACGAGCCGTGTTTACTGATCACCGACGCCGGACTTGGTTCGCTCATCCTCTCCGCGATGGCCGCCGAGCAACCCAACAAGGATGCGACGTGCCTGTACCCCGCGTGGTGGACCTCACAGGATGATACGGATATCCGTATCCCAGGAATCGATCGAGCGATCGAGATGCAAGCGGATCTGCTATCACTCCAGCTCATCCGCGATCGAGCAGGATATCCAGAAGAAGTCGGTCCTCGTTCCAATCCAGCATCATTGGGAACTCACCAGACCCGGGTGCTCCTCGATGCCGCGACGCTCGCGATTGAATTGGGACTCAAACGAGTGATTTGGCCAATCCGTGCGGCAGAACCCAGCGATGAATCCGACGAGGTCGCGAATCTTGATACCATCGCGACTGCGATCGATCGTGCTCTACTCGCCGCTCGCCTTGCGACAATCGATGCTCAAGAGCACGGCGGGGTTGAGGTCATCATCGAAACCCCCATCGTAGACCTGACCAATCATGAGCTCTCCGATCTTGCGGCGGATCTCAATGTCCCGATCAACGCGTGTTGGTGGTCCGACACTACGCTCCCAGATGCCCAGATCCACTTCAACTGCTGGAATCAGGAGCCGACGACCGCATCGATGCTCGAACATCGTCCGATGAACGGATCTCAAGCCGTCAATCACTGAGTGATTTCGATTCCATATTCCGATCTCATCAAGTCATGCTGGGTGCTATTGAATACACTCTTGGACTATGTCCATGAACCGATCCCAAGCAGTCGTCCATCGCTGGTCACAGACCATGATTCCAACCACGCGTGAAGCGCCCTCAGACGCGCAGATGCCATCACACATCTTCATGACGCGTGCCGGATACATCCGTCCAGTCGGTGCTGGGATCTACAACTACCTTCCGCTTGCGTGGCGCTCGCTCCAGAAGATCTCGCAGATCATCCGCGAGGAACTCGATGCCGCCGGGGCGTCGGAGATGTTGATGCCGGCTCTCATGCCAATTGAACTCTATGAAGGAACGAAACGCGATCAAGACTACGGCGACCTGCTCTTCCAACTCACTGATCGCCATGGACGCAAGACCGCACTGGGACCGACACATGAGGAGGTCATCACCGATCTCATGTGCGGCTGTCTGACGAGCTACAAGCAGTTCCCACTGAATCTCTACCAGATCCAGTCCAAGTTTCGTGACGAGTTCCGCCCGCGTGCGGGATTGCTGCGCTGCCGCGAGTTCATTATGAAGGACGCGTACTCGTTCCACCTCGAACTCGAAGGTGACGCGGGTCTCAATGAAACCTACGACAAGATGTACAAAGCGTACACGAACATCTTCACGCGCTGCGGCTTGGACTTCTCCGCCGTCGAAGCCGAGGCGGGACCGATCGGGGGATCTGCATCCCACGAGTTCATGGTCAACTGCGTCAACGGCGAGGACACGATCTTGGTCTGTCCAGTGTCGGGATACGCCGCAAATGTTGAGAAAGCGGAGATCGGTGAGCGATCGTTCTCTTGGGACCACGAAGCAACTGCAGAAGTCACCAAGCACCACACCCCTGGCATGCCAGGGATCGAACTGGTTGCTGAGCACCTCGGGACCAACGCCGCTGGAATGCTCAAGACGATCGTCATGCGAAGCGTCGAAGAATCCCCACGCTGGGTCCTCGCGGTGGTTCGCGGAGACCATGAGGTCAATGAGGGCAAGGTCCGTGATGCTGTCGGGGTTGCTGTCGAGATGGCAGATGAGAAAGAAGCGATCGCAGCAGGATTCGCGATCGGATATGTATCACCCAAGATACTCGATTCCATCGATATGACAATGGTCATCGATCCTGACGCACTCGAAAGTGGGAACTGGGCGACCGGTGCTGACGAGAAGGATCATCACATCACCGGATTCAACTGGTCGCGTGATCTTCCGAGCGCAAAGGACAATGCGATCGTTTCAGACATCCGCAATGCACAAGCGGGAGATCCATCCCCAAGAGCCGCAGGGGCGAATCTTGAAGCGAAGCGTGGTATCGAGGTGGGGCACATCTTCAAGCTCGGGACCAAGTACTCCGCCGCGATGGGACTCAGTGTCCTCGACAAGAACCAGAAGAACCAAGATGTCATCATGGGATGCTACGGCATCGGTGTTTCACGCACGCTCGCGTCGTGCATCGAGTCCTCGCACGACGACAATGGAATCATCATGCCGATCTCCATCGCGCCGTACCATGTCCACATCATCACGATCAAACCAAACGAAGAAGGCGTGCTCGACCACGCATTCACACTTGCAGAAGAACTCCGAGAACTCGGGATCGATGTCCTCGTCGACGATCGCAACGAACGCCCAGGGCCGAAGTTCAAGGACGCGGACCTCATCGGCATCCCGCTCCGCATCATCGTCTCATCCAAGACGATCGACGAAGGTCAGGTCGAGTTCAAGAAACGCACCGACGAAGGCAAAGCGTTCCTCGTCGATCGTTATAAAATCGTGGACATCTGCGTAGACGAGATGCAAAGCTGAGTTTGTTTTTATTGACGCTTATTGGAGTAGCGGAACAACTGACTAGGATTACCCATGAGCAGCGATCCATCGAACAACCCGATCAATGTCCTCCTCGTCGGCGCTGGAGGACGCGAGCACGCCCTCGCTCTCGCGATCTCAAAATCCCCCAAGCTTGGAACGCTCTACGCGACCGGGATGTCCAATCCCGGCATCGCCAAACTCGCACAACCCGTCGATGTCGACTATGAAAACGAGAAGTTCTACCGCCTCAACCAGTTCTGCGACAGCCACAACATCGAACTCGTGGTGATCGGTCCAGAAGACCCACTCGCAGAGGGTTGGTCAGACAAGCTCGCAAAGAAATCCGATGGCTCATCACGCATGATCTTTGGTCCCTCGCAACGAGGCGCTCAACTCGAAGCGGACAAGGCATACGCAAAACAGATCATGCGAGCCGCGTCGATCCCAACCGCGGAGGGTAAGGTTTTTAAGGACGCTGACCATGCTGATGAGTACATGAAGACCCGCGATGAGCCGTATGTCGTCAAAGCGACGGGACTCGCGAAGGGCAAAGGCGTCATCGTCCCAAGCACGATGGATCAAGCGATCGATGCGATTGATCAGATTCTTCGCAAGAAAGCGTTTGGTGACGCCGGGAAAGAAATCCTGATCGAGGAGAAACTCCAAGGCACCGAAGTCTCTGTGCTCGCGTTACTCGATGGTCAGAATATTCTTGTGCTGCCTCCTTGTCAGGATCACAAGCGCCTAATGAACAACGATGAGGGACCCAACACTGGGGGAATGGGCGCGTTCTGCCCTTCTGGGACGCTTAGTGATAAGCTTTCGCATCAGATCGAGTCCGAAATCCTTGTGCCCACCGCGGATGCACTGCGTCGAGACGAGATTGATTTCAAAGGCGTCCTCTACGCCGGGATTATGCTGACCCCAGGCGGGCCGAAGGTGCTTGAGTTTAATGTGCGATTCGGAGATCCCGAGTGCCAGCCGTTGTTCACACTGCTCGAATCCGATGCGATCGAGTTGCTCACTGCGACAGCATCTGGGAAGCTCGACAAGATCGATGTCCGATTCTCATCCGATCACGCGGTCTGCATCGTCCTCGCCGCTGAGGGATACCCAGAGAATCCACGCAAGGGCGATGTGATCACGGGCGTTGATGACGCGGAACAGATCCCGGGAGTGACCGTATACCACGCTGGTACTAAGATGACCAAAGGCGACCTCTACACCAACGGCGGACGAGTATTGAGCGTCACCGCGACCGGAAAGACACGCGAGCAAGCACGCGAAGCCGCGTACAAAGCATGCGATCTGATCCAGTTCAAAGGGAAGCAACTCCGCACGGACATCGCTGCGAACAATCCGGTCCATGCGTAATCTAGTTTGAGCTCCGTGACCCCATCGCAGCAATCCAAGCACCGCTCCCCGCGGCTTCTTTGCTGCTCATGACCCAGACTAATGTCCCTGATTGCTGTTGTCCACGCGTCAGATGCAGCCGAATCGACCCTCCAAAGGATTCAAGCCCGGCTGTGTAAAGAAGCGCCGATCCATCACGCAGTGTGAGCACTATGGAGCCAACTCTGCTTACACCATCTGCAAATCCTGGATCTGTCTCGTATATACGAGCACTTTCTTGATCGGTCAGCACTTGCATCAGCCGTTCGATCGCATCCGTCTCGTTTGGTGTCGCCGGGACAGAGCTTCCTTCACTCTCGCGGACCCACGATTCAGCCGCCGGGCGGGAGGCAAACAGCAGTTGATCATCGATGTCGAAGATCTCAAGTTTCGCAATCTGGGTCTTGTCTACACCAGTGACCTGACGCTGAACATACGCGACTGGTGAAGCGGTGAGTCGATTCAATCCCTCAGTCGGGACAGAGACGATTGCGATCGCTCCATCTGGAGTGGTGTAGCGTGCAAAGACCTCGGAGCCGCTCGCATCGACACCCGATCCGATTTCGATGGAAGCGGGGGAGTCGAGTGATTCACGCGTCGAGATCATGATCTGAGCGAGGGGGGCATCCAGACCCGTCAAGGTATCTGTGTACGCGGCATCGTCAAAGAACCGCGTCGCTTTGAGTCCCAGAGTGAGCCCGAGCATCCCTTGAACCATCGCTGAATCCGCACCGATCTCCCAGGGCAAAACGCGCCAACCCCGATCGCCGCGTTGCAGAGTCGTCTCGTTGCTTCCCGCACGCACAAACGCGGAGCGAACTTCAGGGATGGTCATCGGGAACAGATCAAGTGAGCGCCATGAAGCAAGACCCTCGCCGATCAGCGAGTCACGCATGGATCGCTCGATCCGTCCGAACCAGCGATCCGTCGCGATGCCGTCCTGGCCTCGAGTGACGACCTCCACAGCAGCAAATCCACCCGTGCTTTGTGATGAAAACCGGAGCTCAGTGGTCAGTCCATCTCGATCAGTGAGCGAGAGTGTGCCGGCGCTATCAACAATCTCATCGTCTTCGGATGGTGAGATCGAAGCCGTTGCAAGTGCTCGGAGCACTGTCCGCACGCGAGCGCCATCCGCGGCCCAAGCTGCTGAATCTTCTTTGAGGTATAACATCCAAGAATCCATACCTCCCGGATCCCGGATCGCTCGCTGATTCCCACGCTCCTCAGTACGGATTTGGACCTCCTTGATCGCAACAGCGTCGATCCCGATGGTCTGGACTCGATTGGATGTTGAATCATCAGAGCCGGAGAGTGCTTGAGAAATCAGCACCAAACCAGCGAGCACTCCCGCGACAATAATCGATATGAGCACAGTCCTCAGTGACATGCACACACTCTATTCGATCAATCTTCCACACGCACGCCTTGTGGAGCCGACAATGAGGGAACATGCACACAAAATCATCATCAAACAGACCCCTCATCGCGATCACTTCCGATCTGATGATCCGCAAGGATCGTGAGACCGCGTATTTGACCATGACATACGCCAACGTGGTCCATCAAGCAGGAGGGATCCCGGTCGTCCTCCCGCCAACGAGCACAGATCCAGAAATCATCAATCGGTTAGTTTCCACCTTCGATGGCTTCATCCTCTCCGGCGGAGATGACCCCGTTATGGAATCATTCGGAGAACCCACCCACGCAAAGGTCACACAGGTACTCCCGGCACGACAAGCGTTTGAAACAGCCCTGATCTCAGAACTTGACAAACATCCCGATGTTCCCATTCTGGGTATTTGCCTCGGTATGCAGATGCTCGCGCTCTGCCGAGGGGGGAAGCTCAACCAGTACCTCCCAGAAACCCACGACACGCACGAGACCCACTGGAACCATCCCCACGAGATCCGTTCAATCGATGAGTCCGTACTCCAATCAGGGACTGTCTATTCATCGCACAAACAAGCGGTGTCAGACGCCGCAGATTACCGAGTGCTCGCGTCCGCTCCCGACGGCATCATCGAAGCGTTCGACGACCCATCCCGCGAGTTCACCCTCGCGATCCAGTGGCACCCAGAACGCACTGACAACCCAGCACTGGGTGCTGAACTCTTTCGCAAACTCGTCAACGCCTGCAGTTAGAACGGCAGCATCTCGCCGCTCGCGAGTTGCGCCGAATCCCGCACGCCGAGCGATCGATAGATCTCGATCGTTGCGCCGGATTTGTTGAGCGTGTAGAAATGGATCCCTTGGGCGCCGTGGTCGAGCAGATCACGACATTGTTCCGTTGCCCAGTGGACTCCGACGCGCCGCAGAGCATCGTCTGAACCGTCAGTCCGGCGAACCGCACGCAGCAGCGACGCAGGGAATCGCATCCCAAGCGCCAGATCCGCCATCCGTTTCATGCCTGAGATCGATTGGACGGGCATGATCCCAGCAACAACTGGAGCTTTGATGCCCGCAAGGATGCAGCGATCGCAGAAGTCGTAGTAATCGCGATTCTCGAAGAACATCTGTGTGACGATGAAGTCCGCACCGGCATCGACCTTCGCTTTAAGATGATTCATCTCATCGAGCCGATTCGCGGTGCCTGGATGCCCCTCAGGGAATCCCGCGACCCCGATCCCGAAACCGCCAAAGCTCCCGCCGCGATGCCGATCGTTGAAAGCGCTGATGTGTTCGACGAGCTTGCACGCGTATCCGAAATCTTCGTCTTCCCAGTTGTACGCGCCGCCTCCCGGGGGATCACCGCGGAGTGCGAGGATGTCCGTGATCCCGCGTTCGGCGTACCTCTCAAGGATCTCGTCAATTTCACTGACACTATGCTGCACGCAAGTCAGGTGAGGCATCGTGACAAGCCCTGTTCGTTCTTTGACACGATGCACCACATCGCGTGTGAGTTTGCGAGTAGATCCCCCAGCGCCGTAGGTGATCGAGACGAACGAAGGATTGAGCGCTTCGAGTTTCTGGATATGTTCAAACAGACGATCAGCGCCCGCCGCATCCTTCGGCGGAAAGAACTCAAAAGAGAATGTCGTTCCGCTCGCGAGCAGTGAGCTGATCATAAACAGCCGCCCACCCTTTCGAGCAGGCGCCTGGACCTCATCAATAACGGTAGTGGTCAGGTTTGTACGGCCCATCGACCGGGATATCGAGATACTCGGACTGATCCTGCGTGAGCTTGGTCAGCTTCGCTCCGAGCTTGTCAAGATGCAAACGAGCGACCTGCTCATCGAGGTGCTTCGGAAGCACATAGACCTTGTTCTCATAGTTCTCAAGGTTCTCTGCAAGCTCGATCTGAGCGATGACCTGGTTGGTGAAGCTCGCGCTCATCACGAAGCTTGGGTGACCAGTCGCGCAGCCGAGATTGAGCAGTCGCCCTTCCGCGAGGACGAGGATGCTCTTGTTCTGCGACTTGAACAGGAACTCATCGAACTGAGGCTTGATGTTGATCCGCTCGACATCCGAATCCTTCTGGAGCTTCTCCATCTGGATCTCGTTATCAAAGTGGCCGATGTTTCCGACGATCGCCTTGTTCTTCATCCGCTTCATGTGATCGAGCGTGATGATGTCCTTGTTGCCGGTCGTGGTGATGAAGATATCAGCAGTATCTATGAAGTCCTCGAGGGTCTTCACTTCGTGCCCTTCCATCGCGGCTTGCAGCGCACAGATCGGATCGATCTCAGTGACCACAACGCGGCAGCCCTGCCCCTTGAGCGACTGGACACAGCCCTTGCCGACATCGCCGTAGCCACAAACGACCGCGACCTTGCCCGAGAGCATGACATCTGATGCTCGGTTGAGGCCGTCGATTAGCGAGTGGCGACAGCCGTAGACATTGTCAAACTTGCTCTTGGTGACCGAGTCATTCACATTGATCGCTGGGAACGGGAGCTTGCCCGCGTTGGCGAGCTGGTATAGTCGGTGCACACCAGTAGTGGTCTCTTCCGAGATCCCGCGAATCTCAGGCGTGTTCTTCATGAACCACCCTGGATTGCTGTCAATCGTTGAGCGGATGGTTGCAAGGACATGCTTCCATTCTTCTGGATCGTTCTCTGCATCGAACTCTGGGACAACACCAGTGGTTTCGTAGTCAAGACCATTGATCATGAAGAGCGAAGCGTCGCCGCCGTCGTCAACGATCTGATCAGGACCTGAGCCGTCGGGCCAAGTTAGCGCCTGCTTGGTGCACCACCAGTATTCTTCGAGTGTCTCGCCCTTCCATGCGAAGACCGGAGTGCCCTTTGGGTTCTCAGGGGTACCACCGTTCTCTGGACGACCGACCACGACCGCTGCTGCGGCAAAGTCTTGGGTCGAGAAGATATTGCACGAGCACCAGCGGACATCAGCGCCGAGTTCGGTCAGTGTCTCGATGAGCACCGCAGTCTGCACAGTCATGTGCAGCGAGCCCATAAGCTTGAGTCCCTTGAGTGGTTTCTTGCTGCCGTATTGCTCGCGGAGCGCCATAAGTCCAGGCATCTCGTGCTCAGCAAGGCGGAGTTCCTTGCGTCCGTGCTCGGCTTCGTTCAGATCACGGACCTTGAACTGGAGTCCGTTGATCTCATCAATCGTCAGTGTCGATTCAGTCGCTGTTGCGGTCATTGTCAAATCCTTTCGTGCACCTTCCGTATTGTGTGGTGCTGTTGTACTTGTTCAGCGATCCAAGACGGATCGGAGTAAACTCTGTTAAATCCAGGCCACCGCTGCGAAGAGTGGGGGGCCGGAACTGTTGACATCAGGACGAAGCGGATTCACAAGCACACGCTCGAAACCAGCTTGTTTGAGCAGTTCTGTGATTTGCTCATCGTTGAAACCGAGATGGACATGCCCCATTGCGCGTCGGTAGTCTTCGTTGGTATGGGCACACATATCAACAATGAGGACAACCCCTCCGCCGCGTTCACTGGTCACAATGCGACGCATCTCACGCATTGCGCTGACCGGATCGGAGAGGTGGTGAGCCACAAGCATGCAGACTGCGGCATCAGCGCTCCCTGATTCCAGTGGCAACTCGTCGAGTTCACCTTGGATGAACGAAATGTGATCGGTGCGGATGCCTGCATTCTCAAGTCGCGCTTGCGCCCCCTGGAGCATTTCCTCAGATTGATCGATCGCGATGATCTGCTCGACCCAACCTGAAAGCAGCTCGGTACAGTTCCCTGTGCCGCATCCTAGATCCGCGACGCGCCAGGTCGGATTGAGCAATCCCAGCAGAGCTTGATCCGTGAAGTGCTGGCCAAAGAGTTCGCCTCGAACCTCGTCCCACTGTCCCGCCATGCGTCCGAAGAAAGAACTCGAATCCGCAGCCCGCTCGCTGAGCACGGCTTTGACGCGCAGATCATCACCAGAAGCTTCTGGGTCGCTCTCAAGCTCATCACGAACCGCAATCCAAACACCACGCATCGCCATCGGGAGTTCGTCGAGTACGACTCTGTAGTATGTCGCCGGTCCGACAGATCGACGCACGACCCAACCACCCTCACTGAGGATTTTTAGGTGTCGTGAGCCGGAGGACTGAGGGATCTGAATCACACGGATCAACTCGCCAACCGCGAGCTCATGCTGACAGAGCACACGCATCATCCGAAGCCGGATGGGATCACTCAACTGGTTGAGAGACTCAGCAGGGGAGATTTGGGCTGTTTGACGCGTGGATTCTTGCATAGTCCGTTCATCCGAATATTCGGATATAGGGTAGCATTCGACGCAAGAATCGTCAAGTTCAAGCCACAGAACACGCTGAAATCTTCAGATTTCTGATCAATCCACGGTCGGTTCAAGCGCCAACGATGGTCCCGGAATAACTCCGAGTCCAAGGAATCGTTGGTTCAGCTCATCAGAGGCAGGATCAAACCACAGTGCCTGGCGCAACGCTTTGATCTCCAAATCCCGATCACCGATCTGTTTCGCGAGATCCGCCATAGCTATGTAAGGCTCCGGAGTCTCATTCCCGGCGTAAATCATCGCCGACTGAATTGCAAGCTTGGAATCGTCCAGGAGTCCAACACGCCGAGCATACTCTGCGAGTCGCAGATATCCCGTTCCATCCTCGCCTTCGTTGACCGTTTCTCGCATCAACTGCATCATGTCATCAGTCCGACCTGCCAAAATGAAGGTGTCGCCGAGCTTTTCGATATACTGTACATTCGCAGGACGCAGATCATGAGCCGTGGTGAGGTGTCCGATTGATTCTGTGTACATACCGAGTTCGGACTCAACTCGTCCGAGCTCGAACTGTGCTGAGTGCGAATGCGGACGACGATCAACATACTCCTGCCAGAGTGCGAGAGCTTGCTGCATGTCGCCAGCAGTCTCTGCACGCTTGGCACACATAGACAGATCGTTCAGAGCGAAGGTTCGCTTGACTTTCTGAGTAGGACCGCAAGATCCGAGTACCAGAGCAATGGACGAAACAGCGAGGATGACAATCGATCGGTTCAGCATGGTCGACTCCAATAGGTTTCCAGTATTGAATATAGCGTGACCGCTCCCAAATCACCACATCCCATCGAGTTCACACCTCAAGATTCCAGCCCGATGGTGGTTCTCCGTCACACCCTACCAGACGGGAGTTCCCACTTCGATTGGATGATCGAGCATCCACAAATTCGCTCAGAACACCGGCTCATCACCTTCCGATGCGTGTCCAAACCGAACCAGTCTGAGCTCGGCGAGGTCGAGAAACTTCAAGATCATCGAGCAGCCTATTTGGATTTTGAAGGTGAGTTATCAGGGAATAGGGGGGCAGTCATCCGAGTTGCTCAAGGCCGAGTCCGATTCATCACGCCTCTCTCAGGATCCGATGAGTTCCCCAGACGAACGGAGGCTTTGATCCAATGGGATGAGCCGGACCACCCCGCATTCAGGTATAAGTTCGAGTTCCAGCGGGACAACATCTGGAGTGTTTCCAAGCAACAGTTTTGACTCGCATGTTGTTTCAATCTTTGATACACTGTCCAGAGCAAGGAGAACACCCATGATTCATGGCCCACTCTATGACCCACTCCCGCCTGGATATTCTGGACCTGTAAAGAAGGAGCCAGAGAAACCTGAGAAACCAAAGAAGGAGGAAGAGTCGCTCGGATTAGACGACACCCTCCCGATTGATCTTGCCGCTGAGTCAGTTGCTCCAGCGCAGCCTGGACAATCCAAGATCACAACCTTCGAGCAGAAACTCAGTGCCCGTAGACACGAGGATGAGTGGGCTCGCTCTCCCAATGTGACCGGCACAGGCGCGATACATGTCAAGAGCTTTCACTGTCGATTGACCGGTGACTCGCTTGAGTTTCTCGACCGCCAGATCAATGAATGGCTCGATGCACATCCGCAATACGAGGTCAAGATGGTCACCAGCGCAATGGGTACCTGGTCGGGCAAGCTCAAAGAACCCAACCTAATCGTCAATGTGTGGGTCTGATGCGCTGCTCGCTCAGCTCCATCACAGTTCTCTTGTTGTGCCTGTGCTTCCAATCGCAAAGGGTCTTCGCTCAGGTTGAGCCCAAGCCCATGCCAGAAATCAGCTTGCCGGATGCTGATCAACTGATCCCGGCGGTGCTCCACAAGGTCATCGATGGCGACTCGGTTGAGCTGTTCGTTCAAGGTCGAATCATCCATTACGAGCTCGTGGGTGCTGATGCGCCTGATGTGATCGAGGACGCGGAAGCACCACTCTTTGGGAGTGAAGAAGCACGCGACTTTCTTCACTCTTTGCTCTTAGGCGAACAACTCGCGGTTCTACCTGATACACACAAGCCGACCGATACGCTCGGTCGTTCTCGTGGGTACATCTACAGGATGCCCGACAAGCTGTTAGTCAATCTCGAACTGGTCCGACTCGGACACGCGAAGCACGCACGGGATCCATCCGGATTCAATACCAAAGTATTCCGTTGGGCACAAGATCGAGCTCGCGATGCGAAGAAGGGGATCTGGGGTCCAAGGCCCAAGCCAATAAAGAAAGCTCAGCCGATTCAAGAGCCAGAGCATGCCCCAGCTCCCAAGGAATCGCAAATAAATCCTGAGAAGGAGCCGGTAGAGCAACAACCCCAGCAGCCCATCTCGCCCGCTGATACGGTGTACATCACCGAATCGGGGAGTAAGTATCATACTAAAGACTGCAGGCACACAAGCGATTCATCCGTCGCGAAGAAACGCTCAGAAGTCCAGAAGACACACAAGCCCTGCAAGGTCTGCGAACCTGATAAGGCGAGTTGATTGGTTGACGCATTCCCTTGCAAAATGCCGATATTCAAATCATGTGTGGTATCGCTGGAATCATCTCAAATCATTCAATCAACGAAGGCGATGTGCTCGCGATGCGGAATCAACTCACGCATCGTGGTCCGGATGACAACGGACTACTGTGCACCCCAGTCGGAACACTCGCGCACACCAGGCTCAGCATCATCGACCCAACTTCCAGCGGCCATCAACCGATGACCACCCCTGATGGTCGATTCGCAATCGTCTACAACGGCGAACTCTACAACGATCATGAACTCAGATCAGAACTCATCAAGCAGGGAGTTCGATTCCAAAGTAAATGCGACACCGAAACCGTACTCCACGCAATCGCTCAATGGGGCATGGACGCGCGGCACAAAATTCGAGGGATGTACGCATTCGCCGTGATTGATATTGAAAATCGTGTCTGCCTGCTGGCACGCGATCCGTTGGGGGTCAAGCCTCTGTATGTTTCGAGGGTGAAAGATAGCCTGGTCTTCGCATCAGAGATCCGAGCGATTTTAGCGCATCCTGCCATCACCGCATCTCCAGACTATGTCGCGATGAGTGCTTATCTCTCTTCGATCCGCCCCGAGTTTGGTGAGCGTACTTTGTTCGAAGGGATCAAGCCCGTAGCGCCTGGAATGTGGTCACTATACCGGGACAACAAGCTTGTCCAGCAGCAGGACTGCTGGGAGAATGCAAGAAAGCCATCCGCACTCCGTAGTACGCAAGACATCATCCAAGACTCTGTACTCAGGCACCTCCGAACGGATGTGCCCATGTGCGCTTTACTCTCTGGAGGACTTGACAGCTCCATCATCGCGAAGATCGCCATGAATCAACTCGGAGAACTGAGGACATTCTGCGCCGGCGCGCGCACAGAGGGATTCAATGACGACTTCGAGATGGCGCGTCTCATCAGCAAACAACTCGGGACCGACCACACCGAAGTCGAGATCACTCCGGAGAGCTTCCTCGAGCGTTGGGCAAGCATGGTCACTGATACAGGTTTGCCGCTCTCAACCCCGAACGAAGTCGCGATCTTCGAAGTCTGTGCCGAGCTTAGGGAACAAGGTTTCCCGGTCACCCTCTCAGGCGAAGGGGCGGATGAACTCTTTGGTGGATATGAATCACCGCTCGTTCAAGCGCATGCATTTGTTGAGCACATTCCAGATTCCGATCTGGTCGCTGGACAGTTCCATCTTCAATCAAATGCGTGGGTTAAGGACGAGATCAAACCCATGCTCATGCATGAATCCTGGTCGTCACGCTGTGATGGGGACAACGAACTCCGCGACTGGTACCAACAGAGCTTCACTACACTCCGAGCATCCACAGAGACATCCATGCAAGCGCATCTTGCATTCCATCGTAAACTCAATCTCCCCAACCTACTCCGCAGATTGGACCAATCGAGCATGCTCGCATCGGTGGAAGGCCGAACACCTTTCGCAGACTTTGATGTCGCCTTGCATGCCGAATCGCTCCCGATGGATGAGCGATTTGTCGTAGGACCACCAAACCGATCCAAGATCGCGCTGCGTGAAGCGTTCAAAGATCAGCTCCCAGAAGCGATCGTCAATCGTTCCAAAGCGAGCTTTCCGCTCCCCTTCCAGAACTGGATTGGACAAATGGCAGAAATGCTGGGCGAATCAGAGTTCGCTCGTGAACACTTCACGCAAGAGGCAATCAATGCGGTTCAAAGTGATCCCGCTCAGCACTGGAATCTCACTTGGCCAATGCTCAACCTCATACTCTGGGGTGAGCGATGGTGGGGCGATCAACACATCGCACAGAAGTACCAACTTGCTGCTCAATCATCTTGAGCTCCGTTGCTTTCAGACTGCGATTCACACCAACGGATCGCCTTGATCATCTCTCGGAGTCCTTGTTTCCCTTGCGGCAGTTCGTGCCCCTTACCGCTGAGCATCCGAACCTCAACTGGGATACCTGAGTCCTTGAAATCCCGCTTCGCATTGATGTAGGTCTTCTTCCAAGGATCGCGTGCTCCAGTCATCAAGTAATACGGCGGTATGTTCGCTCTCTCATCCGCATCTGCAACCTGCGGCTCGTAGTGACCACAGATCGGAATAACTCCTGCAAACAAATCCGGATGCGTGCGACCCATGATCAATGCGATGTTCGCACCTTGCGAAAAACCGATAAGATACACACGCTCTGGATCGATCCCGTGCTCATCAACCGCTTTGTTGATCTGATCCTGAACCATCCACTCGGATTCATCGCGGTAAGTCCACGAGAAACCTTTGCCCGATGGTCGCAGTGCATCAGGCGCGATCAAAATCATCCCGAGTTCATCCGCTGTCTCTGCGAGAGACTCAATCATGTCCTCGCCGCGCATCCCAGTGCCGTGCAACGCCAGGATCAGTGCCGGCGATTCATCAACAGAACTGGGAACATGAGTTTCAGGTTTATGGTTCCTCGCTTCGCGGATGAATCCATCAAGCCGTTGTTGTGCGTTTCTGCGGACTTGCTCAATAATCTCACCAAAGCGTTCATTCTCTCGAAGCGAGTCAAGATCTTCCGATTGCTCAAATGAACGAATGCCCGTATATCCCAACTCCGCTGCTTCCCTGAGCGCTGACAGCGCTGCGTCATGGTCTCCAAGCCGAGCATGCATCGAGCCGATGTTGAACCGCCATGTCGCGGAATCGGGATACCGCTCAACGATGGACTCCGCAGCGATCAATGCCCCCTTGTAGTTCTCCTTGGAGACGAATCGGTCGAAGCGATCAACAAGCTGCTGATCGGATTGGGCATATGTAGTTGAAACGAGAAGCGAAAATACGAGCGAGGCGAGAAGGAATCGCATGTGGGTCTCCTGTGTGCACTCATCTATACACGCTGCGGAGTATTGCGGTTTCGCGAAAGCGCCAGTCCTGATCCCAGCTGAGGTGCCAAAAACAGCGTTTGCAGTGGTTTACGCCGATAAATCTCGGACTTTGCTTGCGAAGGTCGAAATCTGGGCCATTTTCCCTGTAGAACAACATTCTTAAGTTTCTGGAGAGGCACATGCGCACACTGACAGCAATCGGAGCGATCGGACTCACCACGACCATCGCTGGGGCACAGCTGGATCTCGGACTCTACGAGGGACAGTGGGACAACACAACATTCGGATCATCAGGAGCCGCCTCCATGCTGATCGAGAGTCTCGGAGGAGCCGACATCTCGATCACCATCGATCTCGACGGCTTCGTCTTCGGTGGTGATGATCCAGATCCGTTCGTCATCACAGGCACAGTCGGTCCAATGGGATTCACGCCTGATCCATTCATGAACTCAGGATTCGGAACCATGTCCGGCGGAGTCGATGAAAACGGCAATGTGTCCATCGATCTCACCGATGCCGCAGACGGCGCGTTCTCGCTCGTCACTCTCCGTGGCACCGCGATGAATGACGCGTTTGAAATCGACTACTCGATCTTCACGCCAAACAACCCAACCGCACCATTCGCAGTCGGAGAACTCAACATGTACCTGGTCCCATCACCAGGTGGAATGGCGCTCTTCGGTGTAGGTGGACTCCTCGTCGCACGCCGCAAACGCTGATATACAAACAACTCTTGCTCTCTTGCATACAAAGCCGTCTTTCTCAGACGGCTTTTTTCGTAGCAAAAACGGGACGAATCGAAAACACAACCACTCCTTTGGAACCACTCGAATCTCTATACGGATAGTACGGTGTCATAAACAAACGGCCGTGAAGTTTGGTCGTTGGAGTTTGAGTTCTTCATTCTCCGAGACACGAAAAGAAAAACCTACTCTCGCCAAACCCGTGCTGTCCGTTCGTCGGCACGGGGGATCAACCAAAGCCATCGGTGCGCTTTGACCTCATCAATCGCACCACAAGCAAGGGAGAGCTGTCACTGCGCATCCGTTCAAGCGCTTCACCAATCGGGGGTATGCGGAGGAGAGAGCGGGGGGAAACCGGCGAGGAAGTGTGCTGTTCGTGACTCCCAGCACACAGAGAAAGAGAGCCGGGTGGGAGAGAAAGGGTGGGGAGAGAGCGGGTTCCGTTTCGAGCGGTTGTTTGAGAGCTCGTGGGGAACCCAGAAGACGGGCGGTCAGTTCGGACGCCCGTCTTTTCATGCGCTGACACTCAAAATCCAGTATCATCGTGAACTACTCGAAGGGAGATCTCAATGGAACCAATGCTCGTCGTCACCATGTGTGCATGCTTTGTCGCTGTGGGAGCAGCGCTCTTTACAGTCATGCAAGGCTCAAAGAAGTGCAAAGAAGAAAAGCCAGACGATGACTCGACCAACACCGATTGAGATCGCGACCCAGTTCGCCCAAGCCCTCGACCACGAGGACTACCCCGACGCGACGGCGCTGCTCAGCGATTCGTGCATCTACCACATCCGAGGCAAATCCCACCAAGGCCCCGAAGCGATCATCGCGTCCTATCAATCCAACGGCGACCAAGCAATCCAGAACTTCGACTCCATCACCTACGGCAGCAGCGTCCGCCCATCAGACGAAGACCGAATCATCATCGAATTCTGGGATCAGATCACACATCGAGGCCGAACGCATAAGCACCAGTGTGAGCAGTGGGTGCGTGTGGAGGATGGGTTGATTATGGAGATCGAGCACGAAGACCTCCCGGGGGAGGTCGAGGCACTCAAAGAGTTCAAGAAGTGGTGTGCTAAAGCGAGTTTCGAGTCAGGATGAAAGATCAACTCGTATGTATTTGTTCTAGGGTTGATCGAAAATTTATTGAACACTGAATCCGATCCAGACCCGGTTTAGCTGGTTTGGCAGGAATGATACAATGATACAGAGCCAGAAGAAGTTTGTTTTCTCATAATAGCAGCGCAGAAAGTAGCACATGAAATATGTATCAGCTTTGTTGTTGAAATATAGAGATGATTCAAGATTGCTCGGGAAAGAAATTTCTGCCAAGCTCGGCTTGCCAGAAAGCTATGTTTCCGATGTCCACAATGGAAAGCGGCAGTTGAGAGCAAGGGATATTGTTCCTTTTTCAGAGTTGTATGGAATCAAGCTATCAAAGCTCGTGAAATTTTGGCTGATTGATGTTGTTGAATCAGATGAGTATGCGGACAAGTTGCTTGACGCACTTTCTGCAAAAGATGAAGAGGCTGAGCTTTCAGTCAGTGAGCTCTCGAAGTTGAAGATTAATTATTCAACTTTTGTTCTTGGAAAAAAGATATTAAATCATGTCGAATCAATCAAGAGAGACATTATCCATGAACTCGCAAATAACTCAGCAGCGACATCGTTGTCGATGCGTGAGTCATGTATGTCGTACAATGTTGGCGATGTGAAGTGGACGCCGATCTTTGGCGGAAGCAAAATTTCTAAATCAACTGTGTTTGTTACTAAGCGTCCATCGCCTCTTGTGGTAGAGTTGCACAAGATTCCCCAAGGTGTTGCAGCAATGCATCGAATGCCTAAGGGGTCTTCGTATTACGAGATTTGGTCCATAGTCCGCGGGGCTGGGTACCTTGTTGTTCAAGAGCAGGAGAAAGATGTTTTTACTCGGGAGATGGTCGCCGTGGGTATGGTGGGGGCATATCAAGGTTCATGCAGGCATCTCTGGGTTAACACAGCTGAAGAAGACTTGATAACGACCTCAGTTGTTTATCCTTATCGACAGTTTCGTGCTGATGAAGAAACGTCTGGAGAGTATGAGGAAGTTTGTGTGGACAAAATTTCAGAAGCAAGTCACCAGTTGTTGAAGCTGGCAAGTCAGGTTCTGAATATTCCGTAGCTTATCGCAGGTAGTAGAACGTTTAACAATTCCAGAATCTGAAAATTGCTTTCTTGTTTACCTGGTTTGATTTCCTTGGTAAGCATGTATGTTGTTAGTAGTGCTTGGCCAAGCTTGTGTTGAAACCAAAACTTAAAGGAGCAACGACATGCATTCAATTCACAGAAAGACCATTGAAGGACTAGGTCGTGTAAAATTGTACGAGCACGGTGTGGTTGGAATTGATCAGTTCAATACACCGCGTAAAGAATACATTACGGAAATGCGACCATTGAAAAAAATTTCTCCCGCATCAAACCAGTTGTTGTATCAAGCGTTCAAAGTAAAGTAAGTCGAATGCCAATTCAATAGCTTAGGGGCTGTGGTTATGATGGCCACAGCCCTATTTATTACCACTCAGGCCCGCCAGTATACCGCCCATAAATATCCGCCATCGCCTGCACCATCTCGCCGAGCGTGCAGTTTGCGAGTGCCCCCTCAACCAGAGCCGGCATCACATTCTTGTTCGCACGCGCATCCTCGCGGATGGTTTCGAGGGCGGCTTCGACCGCCGCGTCGTCACGCCGTGACTTGAACTCCGCGAGTCGTTCGTTCTGGACGCGTTCGACCTCCTCCGAGATCGTGAGGATGTCGATCGGACGCTCCTCGTTGTCGTCCGTGTACTGGTTGACCCCAACGATGATCCGATCCCCGGCTTCGCACTCCTCGCTAAACCGGTAACTCGCCTCGGCGATCTGACGGCGGAAGTATCCCTTGTGAATCCCGTTGACCGCGCCGCCCTCATCGATATTCGAGGTCGTCGCGTGCTCAGGTTTCCAAGGGCCGCGGCCCATGTTGTCGATCTCCTCGATGTACGCGAGCGCCTCCGCTTCGATCTTGTCCGTGAGCTCCTCGATGAAGTACGAACCGCCCAGCGGATCGACGGTACGCGTGACCCCAGTCTCGTGCGCGAGGATCTGCTGCGTGCGCAGCGCGACAGTCACGGCTTGTTCTGTCGGGAGCCCAAGCGTCTCATCCATCGAATCGGTGTGCAGCGATTGACACCCGCCAAGCACCCCAGCCATCGCTTGGTACGCGACGCGGACAATGTTGTTGAGCGGCTGCTGCTCAGTGAGCGAGCACCCCGCCGTCTGGACGTGGGTCTTCATGAACCAAGACCGTTTGTTCTTGGCGCCATAGCGATCCCGCATCATCCGCGCCCAGATCCGACGAGCGGCGCGGAGTTTGCAGATCTCCTCAAAGAACTCGTTGTGAGCATTGAAGAAGAACGACAGACGCGGCGCAAACTGATCGATGTCCATCCCGCGAAGCAGACATGCCTCGACATACTCCATCCCATCCCGCAGCGTAAACGCGAGCTCCTGAGGTGCCGACGATCCCGCTTCGCGGATGTGATACCCCGAGATCGAAACACTGTTCCACTTCGGGAGATGCTGCGACTGGAACTCGATCGTGTCCACGACCAGCTTGGTCGATGCCTCGGGCGGATAGATAAACTCGTTTTGAGCGTGGAACTCTTTGAGGATGTCGTTCTGGAGCGTCCCGCCGAGCGTGTCCCATCCGATATTGCGTTGCTTCGCCATCGCGAGGTACATCGCCCAGATCACACACGCGGGGCCGTTGATCGTTTGCGAGACCGTCACCTGATCGATCGGGATGTCCGCGTACAAGCGATGCATGTCCTCGATCGTGTCGATCGCGACGCCGCACTTGCCGACCTCACCGATCGACAGCATGTCGTCCGAGTCGCGTCCCATCAAAGTGGGGAGGTCAAACGCGGTCGAAAGACCGGTGTTCGCCTTCGTCGAAGTCTTCGCGGCTTCGAGCAGGTACTTGAATCGCTGGTTAGTGTCGTCCGCTGAACCAAACCCTGCGAACTGACGCATCGTCCACAGACGAGTCAGGTACCCCTGCGGGAACAATCCACGCGTGTAGGGAAACTCGCCAGGATTGTTGATATCGCGTTCAAAGTTCTGGAGCGAAACCGGCAGATTCTCAGGGGTATAGCTCGGATTGAGCACGATCCCAGAGATCGTGACCGCGTGCGGGTCGATTGAAGCGTTATCAAGTCCTGGGCCGGTAATCGATGTGGTCTGTGTCATGACGAACTTCCATTCAAAGGGGTGTCGTCAATTATATGCGGCTACACCCACTAGGCACTATTGACAGTGTCATAGGTGTATTTGGGGGTTATAAGACTACATTTGGGGATCTCCTTGTGTTCTTTCTCGTATCGCTGTATATTCAAGCTTGGCAAACATTCGTTTGCATTGGGTTTCATTAAGCTCGTGGGTACACAGGAGTTCATTATGCACGCAACCGCTCATTCCGCGTTGCTGCTCGGTGTCATTTCAGGATCAGCCGCAGCGGACATTGATCCAATCCAACTCGACCCCACCGCCGCGAACATCCGCCACGCCGGACACATCTACTACAACATCGCGACAGGTGAGAAAATCACAACGCTGATTGATTCTGGTGATCTCCAGTCACCCGCCGATGCCACGATCGGACGCGAGATCTGGATCGCCGACACCGGAAATCCGTGCGCGGATCAAGGCTACTCATCAAGCTATTTCTTCGCGCTTGATGACGCTGACTACACCACCATGACTTCATTTACCATCAATGCTGTATGTATGGATTGGAGTGATATCCCATTCAATACCGTCGTCGATTGTGTGCAGGTCCACTGGATTTCCGATCATGCGGACACGGATTTAGATAGCGATGGGAACGCTGACGGCGTAGAAGGATTTAGTGCAAACTGGACATATTGGGACGGTATGGACGGCGGGATTGCGCAGCTGACATGCACTTCGATGCCTGTAATTTCATTCCGACTTTACAACTTGCCGGGTGAATATCCATCCGACCCAAACACAGTAACGCAGTGGACTGCGGACATCGATCTAGGCGCATCTTTTGGAAGTTCTCTTACCTTTGAGTTTGGCGATACAGACTCAGATCTTCAGGGAGCTTCTTTCCATAATGCTCGGATGGATTTGAGAGATGGCGATTCAGACTCAATCCCAGACATCGATCCAGACAACGATGGTCTAGCCGACTGGGGGTGGTCCATCCAGTTCACGCAGCCCGGAACAATTGATACAGACAACGCGGATGGTGATGATGATACTTCAACCGGTATTGATGGTGACTCCTCTGCTCTTGCCACTGCAGGAGTGGCTTATGGATCACCAACTCCAGGTCATGCAGAAATAGACTCATCCGGAAACTGGATGTGGGTTTCCGATGGATTTACAGGACCTACTGAAGACCAGTTTGCAATCGGAACAACCGCAAATCCTGATGGTTCCGGATTCCTGACTCTCAACGGCCCAGTTTTCTTCGGAGGTCTCAACTGCACTCCCGGACAACCCGAGGGCTACACGCCCGCCGCCCACTTCCAGACAATCCTCTACGGCCCATCGACAGGATGCGTCCGCTGTCCAGCAGATATGCCGAGCGAACTCATCCCCGGAGAATGCCCCTCCGGCGACGGCGTGCTCAACTTCCTCGATATCTCATACTTCCTGAGTTTCTACGCAGACGGCAACCTCTTTGTGGATATCGCGGGTAACCCCGACGGCACTCCAGATGGTCAGCTCAACTTCCTTGATGTCTCGTATTTCCTCACCATATTCGCAGCTGGTTGTCCATAAAGAAAGATCAATACCATGAATTGCACCCATTCATTCAGTTCGTTACTGCTCATCGCCTGCGCTGGTTCAATCTCGCACGCGAGCGATCCGGTCCAACTCGATCCCACCGCCGCGAACTTACGCCACGCCGGACACATCTATTTCAACATTGCAACGGGCGAGAAGATCACCACGATGATCGACATGGGAGATCTACAAGATGCGGTCTCTTTATCGTCAATCGGCACTGAGATTTGGATCGCCGACACGAATGCTCAGTGTGCGGACCAGGGATTCTCGACTGAGTTTTTCTTCGGCCTTGATACCACTTCGCTTGGCTATTCACTCGCGCACAACGCGATTACCTTTGACTGGGGCGATATCGCCCCAGATACAGTGGTCGATATGGTGCAAGTGCATTGGGTCTCGGATCATGCCGACACGGATACCGACTCCGATAGCATTGCCGATGGCATTAATGGTTTTGCAGCAACTTGGATTTACTGGGATGCCATGAACGGCAGATCGCCACAGCTGGACTGCACCGCATTGCCGATCATCCAGTTCCGGCTGGAAAGTCTTCCAGGTGAGTATCCTGAAGACACCGCAACGCTCGCTTTCTGGACGGCAGATATCGATCTTGGAGCCTCGTTCGACAGTAGGCTAGTATTTGAGATCGGCGATACAGATTCTGACATGCAAGGCGCGAGTGTCCATAACCCCCGCATGGATTTACGAGACGATGATTCGGATTCGATACCTGACATCGACCACGACAATGACGGCTTAGCAGATTGGGGATGGTCGATCCAGTTCATCCAACCCGGAAGAGTGGATCTCGACAACGCGGATGGTGACGATGACACCCAAACCGGCATAGACGGTGATCCCGCGGCTCTCGCGACAGCCGGGATCGTGTTCGGATCACCCTCCCCAGGTCACGCAGAAATGGAATCCACCGGGAACTGGGTTTGGGTTGCTGATGGCCCGACTGCAGGTGACACAGAAGATGCATTCGCCCTCGGGACTACGACAAACCCAGACGGCTCGGGTCTCATGACCATCGCAGGCGCCTTCTACTTCGGAGGGCTCGAATGTGCCGCAAACCCAACCACAGGTCAATACACACCAGCCGCTCACTTTCAGACCATTCTCTACGGAGGGACGAGTTGTCCAGTCGATATTGCCGGGAACCCGGATGGCAGCCCGGATGGGGCGCTCAATTTCATCGACATATCGGAGTACCTGAGTTTGTTCAGTCAGGGCGAACCATGTACCGACCTTGCCGGGAATCCCGATGGATCTCCGGATGGACAGCTCAACTTCATCGATCTTTCCGCTTTTCTAGCATCATTCGCAGCGGGATGTCCTTGAATTTGAGCCAAAAACCTATTCGACTGGGTTTTTTTGACTACTCGTTAGGCCCTCTCCGCTAAGCAACCAAAAGAACACTCTGTTTTGATGCCAAACGCGTCTTTGGTGCTTGTGTGCAATTGCATGCGGACTTACTTTCAGAGTAGGTGAGCAATGAATGCTCACATCATTCTGTCAACAGTAGTTTGAGGGTCATCATGAAAGCACAAAGCATCATCACAATCATCGCGTCATCAGGAATCGCTGCAGCAGCTGCAGTCAGCTCTCCGGAAACAACTGAGTTTGAGACAGGGAAGCACCGTCACGCCGGTCACCTGTACTTCAACATCGCGACCGGCGAGCGTCTGCTCACGCCGATCGATACCACGGATGTTCAAGCCGCCGCATCGGGAGATGCTGAACCAATCTGGGTGGTCAGTGGTCCAGCCAACGGATGCGGTGCCGCAGGTTCATCAAATACATACTTTGTACTTGATACCGACTCAGGATTCTCGTCAGGTTCAGTCAGTCCCGCATTGTTTGATTGGGGAGATATCCCATCGGACACCGTAGTTGATTGTGTGCAGATCCACTGGATCACTGATCATGCCGACACCGATACGAACTCGGATGGATTCGCAGATGCAAGTATCGGATTCGGAGCTACCTGGACTTTCTGGGATGGATTGAATGGCCGAGCTCCGCAACTTTTCTCGACCGCACTCCCGATCATCGAACTCACATTCACACTCCCAGGCGAGTATCCCAGTGATACCGCGACCGTCGCGTATTACACCGCAGATATCGACCTTGCCGGTTCATTCGGATCGCCGGCAAACTTTGAAATCGGAGACACCGATTCTGATCCACAAAGTGCGACACTGTTCAACCCACGCATGGACTTGCAAGATAATGATTCCGACAGCATACCTGATCTGGACATCGACCAAGACGGGCTCGCTGATTGGGGTTGGTCTATCGACTACCATCAACCAGGTACATACGACCTCGATAACGCCGACGGCGATTCGGATCCGATGACTGGAGTGGATGGAGATCTGAATGACTATGCTCAAGCGGGTCTAGCGTTTGGACTCCCTCAGCCCGGAGAAGCTGTCTTCGATCCAGACTCCGGGACATGGTCGTGGGTAACAGAGCCAGGAGCAGCGAATGTGGAAGATGCATTCGGATTGCTGTTGCCAAACTTTGGAGACCCGTTCTATGACGGCCCATTCTGGTTTGGAGGATTCAACTGTGATCCATACCAACCTCTGGCGGCATTCCAGATGATCCTGTATCAGCAATCGAACGGCTGCGCCGCCGATGTCAACGACGACGGCGATCTCAACTTCCTCGATGTCTCTTTCTTCATTAATCAGCAGATTGATTACAACGAGGACATGTCATTCAACTTCCTCGATGTTTCAGCGTTTCTTGCAGACTTCGCGACAGGCTGCCCGCAACAGGAACTGGAACAGTGTGGTTGGATTCGAGGCCGTCCATTGGGCGGCCTCATCCATGCGCACAAAAAACCCTCCCGTGCAACACAGGAGGGATATGAAGTCTCAAGCAAATTGAATCTTTATGGACAGCCCTGAGCAAACAGGGTGAGGAACAACGAGATATCAACAAAGTTGAAATGACCATCGCTGTTCATGTCAACCCGTGGGTCTTCGCTTGCGAACTCCGAAAGGAAAGTGCTGATATCAAGGAAGTTCAGGTCGCCATCCCCGTTGCAATCAACAGGACATTCAATCCCCTGAGGCTCGCAATCAGGCACGGTCACACACACCTCGATCGAACAGCACTCACCAAGCAACGCATCGTGCATTGTGACAAGGAAGCAGACCTCCTCGCCCGGAGCAGCGCCGCAAATGGTCACGCTCACTGTGTCCGTACCAAAGTTCGGAAGCGGAGCATAATCCCAACGGCTCGGATCCACATTCCCAGTATCAATCGTCGCGCCAGTCGGCGAGAGGACCGAGAAGTATGAGTAGTAGATATCAATTCCAGTGAGATTGTCAATATCGAATGTGTACACAAAGCAGCCCGTTCCATCACCCAAGCATTCGACACGCTCGTCATGAATCTGAGCACAATCGCAC